TCCCTTGTTTTTGGATAGCAGGGGGAGAGGATTGAGGAGAGAGGAGGGAAGTTGGAGGAGCGATAACCAGAAGTACACAAGAGTCTTTTCACTGACAGACATGTCCCCGATCAAACATTAGCTACTCACTGATTGGACGCTGCAGCACACTGGACTCTAAACAGTCTGGGATTAAAATGATGAGGTGGGATTGAAAAGGTGATTGACCTTGACCTAACAAAGTATTGACCCAACATCCAACAAAAGTTATAAGTCACATAGTCTGTTATAATTTGGATCGTGAAGATATTTACCTTGTGTTATCTGTCATTTCTCCTGATAGATGTTCCCTTGAGGAGGATTGAGCTCAGTGTTTCTGTGCATTAGTCTGTCTGTTGTTGCAATTAGCTCTTTTAACATTTACCTGCAGGTCCACAGTTTTATATGATGAAGTAACCTCATCATTAATGAGCCGCGAGTCTGAAGAGTGTGACATGATTTATCTTCACTGAAGCTTTTTTTCCCTGAATATTCATATTTTTGTTTATATGACCTTTTTGCTCTCATTTTTTCTCTTCTTCTCACCTCACCTTTCTTTCTCTTTCATTTTCATCTCTTTTCTTAATCTTTAGATACTTGTCCTGCTTTGCCTTCCCTTCTTGGTTTCCTTCCTTTAGTCTTTTCCATTAAAATTTGACTTCCTCAGCCTTTCTTCCTTTGTATCTTTGTTTCTTTATTTCCTTATTTTTTCCTGCCTTTATTGGCCGTTTTTTGTTTTTCTTCCTTTTACTTATTCTCCTTTGTATTTGATCCTCCAAATTGAGACTTTCCATCCTGAATCTTCTCATTTAAGTCCCTTTTTCTCGGGTCTCCTCTCTTTTAAGTCCCCAAAGTTTCTCACCACATACTGTAAATAAATTATTTTCACACTCCTTTTCCACCGTCTCTTATTCAGGACATCTCTATCATAAAAGACTTAAACAGCTAAAACCAGAAAACCTGACAAAGACGGGCACACATACACACGTCCACGTCCTGGGCTGATGAGTCATTCCCTCCTGCTCTCCTCAGATGATGGAGCACCCATTAACCCGCAGCACCCGGCCGCCTCCAAACACAAATAATCAGCTCTGATGTACCATCGCGTCCTCCCACCAACATAATTGTAGAAAATTGTTGGACCTAATTTAGACCAATTCAGCCCATCACTACAGTCTCTTAAATCTAATCCTCTCCTCTGGCAGAGATAATATAGACAAGGTTTAGATTAGGCCTGCTGAGGGAACGAGTCTGCAAAGAGCGCTAGACCAGAAATATCTCAGCTTCTCATGTTTGAGGTTACATGTTACATATATATTTACAGTATGTGTGAAAAGGAGCACTTTTACATTACAATCAGAAATCTGTATGTGTGGAAGGAAGACTGAGCATGCACGTAAAACAACACGACAGCCAATCAGGGAGCTAGTTAATTGAAGAAGGAGGAAGGAACAAATGCAGCCATGGCAACGACAGCAAACAGAAAGCCCGAACGTAGAGGGATGTCAGAGACAGAGACGCCACTTGGTTGTTCCATGTAGACAACACGAGTGGTTACACAACACAAAGTGCCACTTCAGAGGAAGTGCCAGGAAGCTGCTCAAGAGGGACCTGACTGCAGAAAAACATGGACCCCTGTAGGTGCATGTGCAGAAGGACCTCCAGGGACGCATGCACAGATGGAAGATGGAAGCCGCTTGGATCTTAGCGGTTAAAAGGAATTTAAGATAGGGTGACCATAAGTCCTCTTTTACCCGGACATGTCCTCTTTTTGGGGGCTGTCTGGGATTGTCCAGGGAAGTTTATAAAATCCTCCAAATGTCTGTGGTTTTGTACACAAGTTTCAAGTTTGTGTCACCTACTGGACTCACCGAGTTAGAAGCCCGTAAATGACACTCGATCCAATTAAAAAAACGCTTAAATAGGGGACATTTCTGGGGGCAACTTTAGCCGGAGACACGTCATCTGATATGGGGACTGTCCGTGGAAATCAGAGACGTCTGGTCACCTTAGGTAAGAGTGACAATAGGGATTGGCCCTAAAACTGCGTCTGGCTGAGAATACGCCAACGATGGTCTGCCTGCACACACGTGAAGCTACGCAGTTCAAATATCCAGATAGATTAGAACGTTATCGTTTATGATATAAAACTGAGTTTACTTACAATTAAGGTTTAAAGTTAAAGGACAACTTTTCACGCTGGTGAGATCGTAGACATTACAACTCTTGGGGTGAACTTTGGCCTGAGCATACCCCACAGATGTCTAACTAATTCCTGATTCCTGACTGCAAGTTCAATATCAAACTCTTAAACTTAGTTTGACTTTTTACAGTTAAGGTTTGTGCAAAAAGACACAACAAAGAACAACTTTCTGTGATTGACGAATAGCCAACACAGTTATACGAATAAGTTTGCAGCCTCATGCAGGGGTTTCAGTTATTTTCCAGGTCATGTCAGTGAAGTCTTTTGAGTCTCAGAGTTTAGGGATGAAATCAAGATCCAGCTGCTGATTTCTTCTGTTGAAAATAATCAATTATTTCCACCCTAAATAACAACGAACAAAGAGGCTAGTATGAAGTGTTTTCAGATCACTGTGACTCTTCATTCTTAGCTGCACAGGCGTCTCCCCTCTGGTCAAGGAAAAATAACTTTAGACGTCTTTGTTGAGCTGAGGCAGATCCTCACAGCGTTGCCACTCAGCACCAGGTTGCTCAGCACACAGTTGTGGTTCACCACAGCACCACCGTGGGCCTCAGGGGGGGCCTGAGGCTGCAGAGAGCAGATGAAGGTCCCCGCTGACTGACCGACTGACTCTCCATCTCCAGCAGGTTGTTTCAGATGAAGCTGTCAGCGAGAGGACCCGCGTCCTGCTGGGTCTCATTTATAAGGCAGAGTCGGCTGTGAGCAGAGCAGTGACAGCTCAGGAGGAGAGAAATGTGGAATTCATCTGGACCTCTGGAGTGGACGTCTCGAGAGGATGCAGGAAATATGAAGGAGCGGGTACAGGGGCCGCAAAAACAGAACCATAAAAATGTCACGCTGAAATCTGCCGATGTTTTCCGTTTCATGAAAGCATCTGTAAAGTCATCCTTTAGACGCTTTATTAAGAGAAATTCTTCTTCAGGAATTTAAGCTGTTGTCTTTAAAATTAGATTATTTCAGTATTTCCAATATGGAGACAATACAGGCTTCAGAACTCCTCATAAACCAGCGGATTACACCATGTCTCTACATCTACGTTTAAAGAAGTCATTCACTTTGGATGCAGCGAATCCATAAATCAAGGTGATTAAAATTCAATTTAGCCAAATAAACAGTGAAATAACTCAGAGTTTGAGAGGCCAAGGTGAGAGGAGTTAAACACATTAAAAGGGGGAACACAAAAGCAGCGTAAAACCCTGTCTGATCAGTCAAATCAACATTACAGAGGTTCACAGAGGTTATTTGTCTGGTAAACGTGGTCCTAACCTTCTTCCAAACCACCAAAATCACATCTTAACCACCCAGTTTTAGTACACACTCACTTTTCCACACACAGACATCACTCCCTACAGTAAGTTTACTCTGCAGCCTCTCACTTCCCAACTTTGATTGAAAAATCTGTTTATTTCCTTCATCCAACACAAACTGGACTTTAGTCTGGATGAAATCACACTAAATCAAACTCCTCATAGTCAGACTGACATACCTGGATAATGCAGTTAAGGATCAATTTTCTCCATCATGCGTACGGCTCAATCAAACTGAAACTGGCCTCAGTGTTTGAACGCTGGGCTTTGAGCTGCAGACTGAATTGCATGGATGTGTTGCTAGAGAGCTGAGCAAAAGAAACTTTGACAGATGAAGAAAAGACATAAAATGTTCCTGTCGTGCAAACGGACACTACAGAGTCATAGGAAGATGGTTTTTATTCGTCATTTGAAGAACGTCTCCTGGGAGATGCTAAGAAGCTGAAAGAGGGCATGTCCCTCTGGACTCAGGCGAAGCGGACAATATCACGGTTGGGACAAAGACAGTAGTCCTATTTAGTCGCCTCAATCACGTACATGTAAACTTACTGACTGTGATGTGTTGTTTTAATCTGTCATGGCTGTCTATGCGGCAAACATTTGCTTGGTAGTAACCCGTGGAAATCCAACATGGACACTTTGTCCTACTGAAGTCCATCAAATCTCAGTCAGGCTATTTACTTATTTATTTAGGAAAGATGCAATAAACTAGAAACCACCTTTTACTGGAAGTTTTATAACGTTTATAACTGATTCTAATCTGCAGCATCCGTCCCAGAGGGGCTTTTGTGAGAATACAGACCAGGACTATCACAGTTTCAACAAGGTAAGCGCAATCGAGGTCTAACATCCACTTTTTTTTCTTTTTAATTCAGCACAGCTTCATTATTTTGGCCATTTTTAATATGAGGGAAAATTACAGTGTGAGTTAAATTTGTGTAGATGCAACCTTGTTAGTGCAAAATAAGTGAGGGACACAGTGTTGTATCACTATAGTCTGAGTATGGGTGAAGACAGAATAGGCTGTAGGTTTTACTGTATTGTTTACATGTTTGTCTTGTAAGAAAAGTGTATTTTATCCAGACATTAACATAAACTGTCCTCACAGAATTTCGTATTAATAATCTTCTTTTTCCTCCACTGACAGATGATGCCACCGACTCCTCTGAGAATAATTTGAGTTATTTTTGTTACGGAGTGAATGAAACTGTGACCAGAAGAGTTTTAATCTGTTATAATGTGTTACTTAAAAGTGAAATTATTACAGTGGAGATGAATTACTCCACTCTCCTGGCAGGCTTTGGACTCATTATGAGAACAATTGGATAATAAGATAATTACTCAGGTTGGAGCCCTACTACAAAAATAACAAAAAGAGAGGCATGACTCAGCAAGCTCACTGTTTCCATGAGATCCTCTGAACGGCTCGTTTTCAACATTTGATATAATCCAGTTTCTTCAGTCTGTTCTGATCACTTCTGAACATCTTGGCCCGGTTTCACAGTTCGGTTCCCGCTCTGTAATAATGACCTCACGAGGTCACATTCCTGCACACCTTTCCTCCTGTATTCATGGCGGCTTTGTTGTACTTGGCGTCCCACCTCACCGAGCTTCCTGACCCCTTCGCACTCTTCATATTCTTCGGTCCGCTCCTTTGACCCCTCTCTGTGTTTGTTTGGAAGTCTCCAGGAAGAGGAGCCTTCTTGTGGTTTCTCTCTATGTGCCATTATGTTAGGCGTAGCTGGAGTGGACGTGCTGCTTTTATTTGTGAACCCCTCAGATAGGATGTACAGAGGGAGGGTTAAATTCAGAATAACATAAAAAAATCTTCAAGATCTGTGTTTGGTCTCTGTCCTTCATGATCTAAAAGTCTCTGCTGCAGCTTGTTGCACTGGTAAAAGCAGATTTATGCTCCGTATCAGATATGCATATGGAGCTTGATGAAGTCTGACATCTATACTCGGCTTTCATTCGTCTATAATATAAAAAAGTTTTCTACAAACTTGCAGAGATGGACCAAACGTTGCAGCACCACCATGAATCTTTAGAGCAGAACAGCTGATAATTCAAACCATCAAACTTTGTAAAACTGAACTCTCCGCCCACTTCATGATGGTCTCACAGACCACCATCGTCTGCGTTGCATCCTCTGCTTTTACCTTTCTCTTTAGCGTTTATTAATCCTCTCAAAGGCCACCATGATTGTTGACTTTGACTCTTTTTCTTCAACACCCTCGAGCTCAGAGGTGGGCAAACTAAGGCCCTCATCCAGCCGGCCAAGCCATCACAAAAAAGGAACATTACTCCATGAGCCAAATACTGTAAGCTTGATTTGTGCCATCAACCGTCTCTGGTGGGGCCGATTTACAGGCTCTACAAAACATTCTCCCTGTCATCAAACACGATTATGAGTTAACCCCCAATCCACATTTAGGGGTTTGTTTCATGCACCACCTGTTCAGCCCGTCCATTCATACTTAAAACCCAATGTGGCCCCTCAGACAAAAGAGTTGCCCACCCCTGCTCTAGCTGATTAACTAAATTCAATCTGGCACTTCACTTCCCATGAGCCCTGGCTGCACACAGGTGTTCAGGTGAAGCCTTGCACTTGTTCAGTGGAGACCAACAACACAGTAGTGGAGCTATTTGGCTGCAAACAAACAGGGTTTTTCTGATCTGTATTTTGTAGTAAATGTGTTTTTTCATTGGACAATAATCACATCCAGTCATTTAAAATGAAATAACTCCAATTACTCAACATTGTAAAGTTTAGTAACATAAAAAAGATCCGGGCTCAGTCTCAAAAAAACACCATCCAGAACTTGCAGTTCAGCAGATCTACTTTAAAGTCTCAATAAAGACCAGTCCAATGTCGCCCCCTAGTGGGCAAACAATGTGCAATAATTTCTCTTCATTAGAGTCAATAACCAAACTGTCCACCAGGTGTCACTGCAGTCAAAGAAATAAAGCCACCAGGGACTAAACCAGAGCTTAACAATCCTTACATCAACTAACCTGCTGCTAGATCTTTTGATCAGAGGTATCAGGATCCTGAATGAGTCCGTCATAAAGACAGGCAGCCTGTTATCGCCTCTGAAACCACCATTTATCCTCAGGATGACTTAATATGTCCTAATAATATCTTAATATGTCATTTTAGCCCTTTATAAATACAGTAACTTCATTTTCCCACAGCGTCACTCTAGAAATTCTCTCTTTTATTCCTCGGTGTGGATCTGAAGCTCCAGGATGAGGCCTTGATGAGAGGGTGATGTAAGAAATCCAAAAATCATAGCAGTGGCGAAAAGAAAAAGTACAAAGACAACAAATACAGATGATTGCACAAACATTACTCTATCAGTTGCTTGCAGCTCTCATCGTTTGTCACAGTGGGGTGAAAATCTCCCGAGGATCCCCCCTGAAACAGTCGGTGTGTGTTGTGGAGTTCATTACAGGAATCTGAAGACGGAGCTTCACCTGCCCGAGGCGGCTCTCCATCAACAGTTGGAATTCCACTGAGCAGCAGAGGACGGAGATGTGCAGGAAACCGGAGATGCTCTGGAAGTGTGAGAGCGAGGGACACAAAGCGGCCGGGCCTTTGTGGCCGTCTGAGGAATGTTCCGGCATCAACACTTTTAAAGAGTCTTTGATGTTCGGCGCTGTTTTCACCTCTCCTGTGACAAACACATGACGCCGAGGACACCCGCAGTCACCTTAGTGAACACGATCAACGCTCAAGTATAGAAAAGTTTAATGACTCTTAATGTACTTAGAAACTTTGTTTTCATGATACTTTACCTTTAATTCATGAAGGTATTTTAGAGCAGCTGGGTTTTATTTATTCCCTGAAAACTCCTCCGCTTTATTGCACAGAAGTAAAATTTCACACTTTCTTTGTCCAGCATTTCAGATAAAAAGGGTTTTCATTTTCAAATCTTTTTTTTATTTCCATATAAAAATAGAAGATCACACATTCATACTTTAGTGTTTCAGTCAGTTTGTTCAGTCATTAATACAGTAGGACACGTTTAAAGGTCAGGACTCAGTTTTCAAACTGCTTCATTTGTTAATCCAGGTGTCTGGATACAACTTTTTCACTTCCGATACGATACCGATATTGTAGCCTTCAAAATTGGCCGAAACCGATATTGATCCGATACTGGTGCAAAACTGTGCATGACAAGTTTTGCACTCAGCAGCAACACCTTTCTCCTTTCCGACTTTAACGAAAAATACTGCCTCACGGTCGACATCACTTCTACTCCTTGAAGTGCTGACATTGGAGATTTTACATGGGGGCCAATATTTTTTGGCCGATACCAGACCGATATCCGATATCAATATCGGATCAGGACATTCCTGTTTGTTAATGATCATTTAAAATTTGCCTCTTTCTGTTTTTTGTTGCCGTTTGTGCTGCCATGTGTGCAGCTACGTCTTCATCAGTGCCTCTACCAGCCCTCGAAACAGGACTTCAGGATCCATCACCGATGAGATCGTCATTAGCGGGGCAGAAATACAACCATTTGGTAACCAGTTGACTGTTAGACTGTTACCATAACGACAAACCGCCATTTGACCAAAAGTCAGCAGTAAACAAAGTCACCTACTGATTCTACCTTTATCATCAGGGATGTATGTGAACATCAATCTAGTGACGAGATCAGAAATCTAACTTGTGGACTGAGGCTGATATTCTCTTTGAACAGCACCTGTTTTTATTGTGTTATTGGATGGTAAACATGATGTTTTTATACTCAGCAACATTAAGATTAGCACTGACAGAGGAGTCAGGTATAAAACTATAAATACTCTTGTGCAGACACTTTGCCTCTCTGTGATTTCAGATGTAATTGCTCACCAGAAATTAGCTGTTAAAGATTTTTTTTAATTAAAGGTATGACCTGTCGTTTTCATTCCCTCTATTCAAATATGGAGCAGTTAAGTGTCGACAATTTATCAAATTATTTACATTTTTAGGATTTTCAGCCTTGAATACGACAATAAGACATTGTAACATTAGCTGAGTTACCTGAACCGTCATAGAAAGATGGCCGTCATACTTGGATATGAAGTCTATAAAGGTTAGAACTTAGTGATTTGGGTGTTGACCACACAGACAGATTTAATGGCAGACACTAATGCATTATGGGAAGTGTAGGACTCTTGATTTCTGGAGTTATTTTACCCTGTTGCTTAAATGTCCCAGAACATGTTTGCTGTGCAGGACCAAGTGTGTAATTTATCCTTGAATGACCCCGGATGAATTTTAACCGTTAAACAAACTCGTTCCTGCAGTACTTGTTAAGTCGACTCTCAGGGATGCATCCGTCACGCCTGCAGAAGCTGCCCCACCAGTGCAGGAGTCCTGTCCCGGATCAGAGCTGACGTGATCTCCGCCGCCTTTAACACTGACCTCTCCCACTGCTCAGTGTCCTGGAAGGAGAAAGATATAGAAGAGGAGGAGAGACAGGGAGTCGGTTAGTCAGACGACACAAAATTACAATCAGACATGCTACCACCATGTTTAATAAGTGAGCTCAGTAGTCAGATCCTGCAATAACAAAGTGAGACATCCTCACGCAGATTCACATTTGTTCATGTTTATCTCTTTATTTAATAGTCACGACTTCGCCTGAGTCAGGCCAATGTTTGCACTCCCGTTTATGAGACTGCCAACCAGAAGGACACAGAGTTAAACCATCGCCATGCTGTTCCACTTTTGGTTATGGCAAAAGTTAGCAGCAGGCTGCATGAGAGAGTTCAAACATGGATGACATTTGGTGTGAAAGAAGAAGTCTGGAAGGGTTCGATTTTCTTCTGTTTTCTTTAAAATAGTGACACTTTTATAAAACGTCCAAACTACACCTCAGCTTTGGAGAAAGATGCCCCCTTATGGGTGCAAAATCTGGTTTCTTCTGTCCCCTTTGAGGCCCAACAAAGACATAATCTGAACCCACCACATTTCATCTGATTGAATTTAATCTCTGGTGGAGGATTATTCGTGTCTCCAGAGTTATTTCACAGCTTGTTCAATCAACAGAAGGAAGCAATCTCCAGGGAAAAAAACAAGCACCGCAGAATAAAGCCACTTCAGCTCTCTTTTCTCCCAAATCTGCGTTAATGGCGAGCCCTCTGAAGGTCTACTTTGGGATTTATGGTGCATGATATTGGACAGAGCTACGCTGAACCACACGCATGCATACATCCACTCCGTCTGTTCTTTTTAAAGCTAACTCCACTGTTGTGGTTGTTTTGCTTTCGTGATTTCTCTCTTCTGTATCTCTTTCTTCTCAGCAGACCGCCTGCACAATGCGCTTTTAATGGTTTTCACTCCCCTGACTTCATTCTTTCGGCTACAGTGACTCCCAACTTTGATTTAGTTTCTGGATGAAGCCGGAGAATGACCTGTTTTCCATCTTTCAAAGCGGCTGCAGTTCAAGGAGCTTTACTTTGTTTTAACCACAGTCCCGTTCCCCCCTGAACAGATTTATGCTTCATGCTCTACCTGGATTTTTTCATAAATCGGTAATAATAAGGCTTGTGACTCAGCTTTTGATGTAGAAGCATGCATGAGGGAGAAAATATAACAAATAATTTCATCTCTTGAAACTTTGAAAGATGTAAAACAATGAGAACAGAAGAAAGACGTAAACCACAAAGAAGAAAAGAGGAGAGCGACGCCTGGGACTGATTTTTGTTCCCGCATTGAGGACGCTTCACACACTACAGCTCTGCAACTACTTTAGCTCTAGAAGTTTGTAGAAAACGTCTCTGAAGCCGCTTTCATACATGCATAAAACTCACCAAAATTTTTAAGATGAGCTGCATGTGTGAACACGGACTGAAAATCTTCCCGCGTAAACATTTTCCTGCTCCTCCTGGTCAAATTTACAAATGAGGTTAGGGTGAGAAAAAGTCGGAATAGCGTAAAATTAGAGCTGCTTGATTAATCAAGTTTTAACCTCAATCAGGGTATGTGATTATTTATTGATTAGGGGTGATTAGAAACATCATCAGAAAAGCAGATAGGTAACAAAAGGCCCAGGTGTGTGTTAGTGAAGCAGAGGGATGTGGTGAGACAGAATAAAAAAAATTCTTTAAAATCATGAATAAATGTGATTATTCCATTCGATATATCTTTAAAAGTAATCACAATTATAATTTTGTTGTAATCGTGCACCCCTACATGAAATATTCAGAAATCTCTTGAATGTTTCCCGAGCTCATGTTTGAAAAAAATCTTAGCAGACTTCATATTTCTGACAAACCTGGTTTAAATAAATGAGAAAATTATAAAATAGCCTTTGATATTCATAAGATGAATATCAAAATACTTTAAAATATATGTGTAGGTAGTTAAAAGAGACTGTCACTTCCAAGCTCTTCTGAATAACGGTGTTAATGGACAACCTCTGCTATATAGTGACTTTAACAAACACTATAATAATAATAAAATAATCTTATACAACATAACTAAGAGCACTCCTTCAACAATCAAGATCTGCAGACATCAAGGAGACTACTTTGTCCCTTTGGTTTTTTGGTGAGTGCTAACATGAGACTCTTATCGCTGTTATTTTGACTAAAGGATGCAGAGAAAAACCGACAGAAAAACACTCAGCTGTGGTAACTGACAGTGAACATAGCTGTACAATCATTCAAGCCCACCCTAGAATATCACATTCATATCACACAAGTCTCCTACACCATTGTATCGTATCATACTCTATCATATCAAACTGTATTGTATCATATCAGATATTGTATCGTATCGTATCATGTCATATCATATTATACTGTATTGTATCATATCATGTCTTATCATATCATACTCTATCATATCGTATCTGATATCGTTTCATATCATATCCTATCATACTGTATTGAATCGTATCGTATCGTGCTGTATTATATCAGATCGGATCATATCATATCATACTGTATCATATCATATCAGATATCGTATTCATCGTATTGTTTCAAATCGTATTACACTGTATTGTATCGTATTGTACCACACTGTGTCTATGTATCGTATCATATCATATCATACTGAATCATATCGTATCATATCATACTGTATCGTATTGGATATTGTATAGTATCGTATCATATCGTATTATACTGTATTGTATTGTATCATACTGTATTGTAACATATCAGATATTGTATCGTATCACAACATATCATAATATACTTTATTGTATCGTGTCTTATCATATCATACTCTATCATATTGTATCGGATATCGTATTATACTGTATTGTATTGTATTGTATTGTACTGTACTGCATGTATCGTATTGTATCATATCATACTGTATTGTATCGTATCGTATAATATTGTATCGTATGGTATAAAACTGTATCGTATTGGATATTGTATTGTATTGTATCGTATCGTACTGTATTGTATCGTATCCTGATTATATCATGTCACCCAGAGTTTCCCTTCCCTACAATTTTAGACACAAACAATCTTCTCTACCCAAATCTTTCACCACCTGCATCTAAAAGTAGCAAACATCGGATTTCCCTTTATTGATGAATTCTCAGTCATTGACCTTTTCCACTGCAGCCTCTGTAACATTCAACAGTAAAAGCCCTGGTGTTACAAGTGACGTCATGATGGCCCTGTTTCAATTATTGGCTCCAGTAAGTCCTGACAGCGAGCCAGACTGGACAACACCAGGGGCCTGGAACAGCACCACACAACCGGTAGGCTGTTATACTAACATTATCCACTCTATTTTCCCTCAATAAGAGTGAAAAAAGGATATTACTTTGACAAAAAATACAAGGGACCGATCTATAAAAACTGAAACCAAGTTGTAAAAGCTCACAATTATCCTTCCATTTGTTCTTAGTTTTACTTTTCACCATAAAACCAGCGCCCAATCTCACACTTTCTCCTCTGGGTGAAGAAGCAATTTTAACAGCCAGCTCTCATAAGGCAGGTTTTCTGAGGCGTGAAATCCAATGATATGAGAGGGCTCAAAAAGGCCTTCCACAAAGACATTAATGTTCTGCAAAAAGAAATATTAAAACATATTGAAAATATATCCCAGTAAGAGTCAAAGAAACAGTGATTTGTGATTTGGGACATTAAATCAAGCCTGACTTAAGAACTGGCCTCTAAACTCATTTTGCATTTGAAGAGGGTGTCAGAAGCAGGACGCATTTGGAGCCGAGTGTATGATCACCAGGAGGAAAATCAGCTCTCCCCTCACTCTGTCGTTTCTTGAAGTTATAGTCGAGCTTCACGGGCCAGCTCCGAACAGCTCCGTTTGTGCAGCGGCTGGACGGTAATGTGACGAGGTGTGAGAGCGATGAGCGTGGAATCGGGCCTGACCGTGGTTAATGGGAGCGAGAGACCCCAGCGTTCAGAACTCCTGGAGCACTCCTCCCTAATCAGAACCAGCGGACGGGGGGAGTCAGATGACATGGATTTTCCACACCGACCTACTGAAGAGGGGAGCTGAGGCACTGAGGCGCAGATCAGCGACTCCAGCCTCTCATTGATTAAAGAAACACGGGGGAATGCAAAACAAAAAAGCGATCGCCTTGAACGAGCTCCAGAGGTATTCTCCAGTCTGCATCGACGACTGAGATTTACAACCGGCGAGACCTTTGAAGAATCAAAGGGATCTGAGTGACGCAGAAGCAGAGAGGCTTTCTTGCTCTTTCTTCTTTTAAGGCAACCGAGTCATTGTTCTGCGGTTTGATCCATAACACGATTAGATGTAGAGATGGGCAAATCTGCAAGCAGTCAACAAATTCAGCTGTCAACACAACGTCTTAGACATCTTGATCAGTCTACGGGCTGTGAGAGAGACAGCTACGACTTATTAAAATCTGATTGTGCCTTATCTGTGTTTACACCAGTTCAAAGCATTCCTTCCACACTTATCTAAAACAAACTACATCTTCACATGGAAAGTATTTTGAGATGTTACATGTGTTTGGAGAGGCAACAAGGCCGGGTGGATGATAAATGTGATGAGCACCATCATTGGTTGATTACCACCCAAGCGCATTGATGAGGACCGCGGGAAAGTCACGGAAAACTCTGGATGTCACGGGCACGCTCAAGACAGCTACGGGCATTAAACCACAGCTAATGACTCTATTACAGAGCTCTTACGGTTAGGTTTGCACACCAGATAACACGAACAAGCACCAAGAGGCGAGTCGAGATCACCAAGGAGGATCAAAAGTTTTTAAGCCCGTCTAAGCCCTCTCAGCTGAATTATTTCCACTCCAGATACGTAGTCTTTGAAATATGAATCATGCTTCTTGAGCAGCGTTATTAGATCAAGTAGTTGCTTGCGCAGTGAAACACAAAAACAACTCGAGGTCTTCATTGACTCGTGGCACAGCTTTAAGTAGTCACAACTGCCACTCAGGCTTCAAATGTGGTCGAGGGTAAAGCACGACAAATGGGTAGAGTTACCGAACAACAACAAACTCGAAGATATTTGCATATTGAACAGCTCACAGGCTGAAATTAATATGACCTGAGAGTGAGGGCTGATCATCAGTGAGGGGAAGGTATCGACGGACAAGGGATGGCACCACTCCTGAACCTTGGACTGCGCTGCCGTTGGCGGGGGTGGTGCTCCGTTCATCTCCTCTTTCCACTGAGGACCATCCAGGGTGAATACAGCAGCTTCCAAACAAGCAGCTTGCTGACTCATTGTTACGGGCACGCAAACATCCGAGGGAGAAAATTCATGTGTTGTGGCTCACGAGATAGCATTTATGTATATTAAAGACAGAACACATGCATGGACTTGGCAGAGCCTTTATAAGGGTACAAGTGCATCCTCAGGCGTACAGAAACAAAGAAGTGGGATGTCATCGTTGAGGGATTTGCGTGTGTTCAGAGCTTCAAAGTCCATGACCTCCAGCGTAGAGAGGCAGGGATTAACAGGCTCTGGCCTTAGTTGCACTTTAAAATGTCATGCTTTATCGTAAAGACTCTGCAGCGGCGAGTCTTTCTCCTGTCACTCTCAAACACGGGTTGGTACATCATGTGTAGAATAAGGACATACTGTCCTCGTTTTCAGTGCTGCTGTTTCACTGGTCATTTCCATCTATAAAACCAACACAAGCAGAACTCCCCTGCAGCTCAGTGTGGTGTAAACTTCTCTCAACTTCACCCTGACCAACTCGAGGGTGCAAACAGGCTGTAAACAAGCTCCAGTTGACCTTCAATCTTCCTCCTCCTTTTGCCAGTACAAGAGTCACCCTTTTACTGCCTTTCCTGTACAAGACGACCCCTTCTTTTCTATTTCAAGGGCACAACAACGAATATCTGGACTTGTGCTGCCAAACCATTAGAATTTTTGATCAGATTAAGTTTGATAAATCAAGATTAAATATCATTCATTGAAGTCAGAGTGCAAGCAGAATCTCAGACTAACATATGCTTCACGTAAATGTGGTATTTTACTCTGGAAGTGAAAGTAAAACTCCTTCCTGCAGAGTGTGTATAACACTTTATGTTTGTTCCATCATGTTTTTTTTTTGTACTCAAATTTCCCATCAGGAGGGCCAACGGACTGTTTAGCATCTTCCATATTGAGTTGTCTTTGAGCCTGTCACTGCCGGATCAAGAGCCCATTTGCGCGATGCTAACACTACTTGGACAAACCATCTGAAACGCGCTGCCAGAGACGTTTCAGGGATTTAGAGTCAGTCTGCGCTGAAAGTGGGTTAACTGAGTTAAAATTTTCAATCAGGAAAATCATGATGATGGATTTATCTGCGTCAACACCCTAATTTTGACCAATATAGTTTTTGTTGTATTTGACATTTAGCCACTCAACATTTTGACCCATGATGGTACCTGGTTGACTGCAGTGGGATATGCTTGGCCACATAGACCCAGCTTGGAGTTGAAGTCCTAACTTTTGCAGACTAGTCTTGATGTGAGGTCGCTTTATTAGTGAAGTGGTGACTCCTGTGATTTTCCCTCATGGAGAACTTTCAGTGCCGAGACCCACAACAGGGCTTGAATGACAGAAACTGACCATCAAAATCTGTGATCATTGTATCCCTGCTCCAGACTGAACTACGTCAATGGTTTTCAATGTCCGAGTGTGTCATCCAGCAGAATAGGGAGATGAGGAAGTTGGCAGAGACGCTCATGTTAAAACAAACAGATTTTTAGCGCCGAATCTGAACAGACATGAGGTAACCCTGAGAGCCTGATTGAGTCTTTGAGATGAAACCCACAAGGCTTATTAACAGAGGAAACTGAGCAAGAAGGTGCTTCTGACCCTTTCATAGAAATGAATAAATCTTCATTTGTTCCAAACACTGAAATTTTCTTCGCCAGCAGGAGGGTACTTCACATCGTTTTAATCTAGAGGAGCTTGTTTTTACGAGTTTCACTCGAATATTATTAGACGTGAGGGAGCCTCAATTTCCACTTCAAAATAGTTAACTGCCACAAATCTGGACTTATAGGATTTCCCAGCCAAAAGTACCATCATCTATCCACATTATTGTATGGACCATCGGCGGTTATGTACGCCATATTAAACAGGAAAGCGACACATTTACATTTTTGGAATTCGACCATCTTTTCCACACGTAGCAGAACCTCTGCTTCTTCGATTACTGAAGCATCCAAATCCCTTGGTGGCCCAGATGACATTTATATAGTTTCTCTTGACAGACTTCACTTCCAAAAAAATAGAGACTGTTCGCAAGTTATATATAAACTGTGTCGAGGGAAAAATACCACAGCATAGGAGTCATAGATGGAGAAAGTTCTGGGGATTTTATTTTTACTTTACGCATCAAGAACCTTGATTCCAGTCCAAGAGGCAAGACGTATTAAGACATGGAGTGACAGCATTGTTTCAAAATATAAACAATGCAATACATAATCATTAAACAGGGAGAGTGAAATGTTTTCCATTAGTCCCATGTGTTTGAATGCACAAACACATGCAACAGGCTTGTTGTTTCAAACCACAAGTTCATGGGAATGGAACTCCAACCATTAGCCTCGATTTTTGCTTACTGTTTAAAAGGAGGATTTCGACAAGCTGAGAGGCGACAGGTCTTTGAAACAGAGCAAGCTAGGAAGCGGAGGGGGGAGGGAATCATCCACGGACCACACAATAAGCAATCCCCTAACTCTCTTTTCTCCTAAATGCCACAGTTGCGATCAACCTTTCCATCTAAAGGGGAGCGGCGCAGCGGCACTCCAGCCACACAAGAAGAGCCCGCTTTGAAGCTCAAAGGTTTCAGCCAATTAGGACCTTTTACAGTGACAATTTGTACGCCTCTGTCATTTCCCCTGCAGATCCGCAGCCCTGAGGAGCGCTGCTAAGGGCTCCCACCTCTGCTCCCTTCATGAAATGCCAACAGCGCCGGGTCCTGATTGGAAAACAGCTTATGGAAAAGCTTGGCGCGGCGCCTGAGCCAAGAGACCTGGAAAGAGTTGTTAGAGTCACACCAGCTACCATAACCCGAGTGGCCAAGAACATTTAGAATTTTTTTACAACCTCTTTTCATCATCCGTATGTTTTAGTGTCCTCTGACATCTGGGTGCTTCACTACTAACAGTTGTTGCATCCACTTGAGGGCAGTATCACTACTATTAATGAAGCCAGAAAGCCTTCTTCACTGTGGGAGTCTTAAAAACTCAAACCACCACCTAACATGAACTTCACAGAGCATTACTCTGACTCCCGCTCTTTAATCGATGAAGTAATTTCTCAGAAAAACTCGCCCCAAATGACCCGAGAGTTGAATCCCAGTGATACAGCGCAGCTAAAAACACCCAGCGCTGTGGTTCCAGAAGAGGATAGAGTTACAGGGTCTCTGACAGCTTGTCCCTGAGTGGGTATTGTGGTCCTTCTGCCCTTACACCCCTCTGTGTATCACTGCAGACAGGCAGTAACCTGGGGCTAAGCTGTGAAGAGAGAAAAGGGACAGAGGTCCAATTACTGCTGAGTCCAAAAGTCTGATCGGAGCCCTAAATTTTACACCGCCACAGTCCTGCAGAGACTCATTTTAAACGATGAGGAATAGTAGCAGAAAGACTCAAATCCCTTAAAAACTTGGAGGTATCACAGGGGGAAAATACACCAAAACATGTCACAAATCTCCAACCTTGTATATCCATTCATTTCGCAGCTTTTACGTCTGAATAATCAAGATTAGTTTCTCTACAGGACCCGACGGTATCACACGGATTCTCTCTCCTTTTTTTCCAGCTTGTTGTTGAAGGTATATGTGAGAAATCCTCAAACCAAAATTACCTTGTTTTTCTGGCTGGAAACACCTCGCTTGTCTCATGCATCATTTTTCCCTAAATTTAGTCTGACATGCGTGATATCTTTGGAAACTTTGGATCTTCCACTAAAATTGACATAAAGATCTGTGGTTTGGAAGAAAACACAGCTTGAGTTTCAGTGACTAAGCCATCAGGAGGTCAGTGGGATAAAAACGTAGAAGAAAAACATCTTTTCTATAACCCTGATCCAAGTCAATGTACTCCCTGTGAAGTAATGTGTGTAAGGTCAAAGTGTTTGTGTCTAGTTTGGGAATAGTTTTATGTTTTCTCACCAGTTTGAGACAAGAGGTAAAAAGAAGAGGGATCAGGATGAATACTCTTCAATAAGTCATGTTTTATTCACTTTTGGGACAGTGGTTTACATCTTCAGTTTAATTTAAAGCAGAACGATAAATCCTCTCCATCCAGTCTCATCTTGTTGAACACACAGACTGTAGAAAACATGGACTTGGCTGCATTTCCATCGAGCGGTTTGGCACAGTGTACAATTACTTGTGTACCCAAATAACCCACCATACCCTCCTATATCATAGCACCCTGAGTCGAATCTCTTCTAACCTGATGCTATTTGATCATCACAATTATGGAACTTAATAAATTACGTCTTAGTTTTATGTACATTTTTAACTTGCACTTGCCCCACAACTTCAAAATAAAAGCATTGTGTGAATGCAAGAGTGGTCCCTCCAAAGAAAGAAGGGATCAGGCTTTTTCTCTTTAAGTATTACAGATGTGCTTTTGTGATATATTTTTAATGCATGTGATATAAATGCAAGTGAAAGAAAACCAATACAGCTTCTAAATGATTATTTTTCTGGACATTTCAGCTGAGATCTGTGCATAACTTGCAGAAATAAATAGGCAAGTCTTTTATTCTTTAGATTCCGGCCTCTGAGGAAGACTGCCAAGACCAGCAGTCTTCCAGTGTGCCAGGGTACCTACCAAATTCAGGGTTTCCTGTACTGAACCATAACAAAAAGTAGCAAGAAACAGCGCCAATACAGACCCATTATAATCCAAATTTATGTGAAACTTTTAGCTCTGAAAACAAATGAAATAGATGCACTTGACAAAATTACTGTAATTCCCTGTGCTGCTGTCACTTTAAGACAAACGAGCTGATGATTTTTTTTAAAATATGCTGCAAATATGATTAACAGATGTTTAATACTGAAGCTAAACAGGATTTAGTGTCATTTGGAGCATGCCTCAAGTGGACATTAAAGGAATTGCAGTTTTTTTCCAACTGCAGGATTAGCTTCATTTTTGAACTCTGGGACTAGCTGCTCGGCTCTACATCATAAAGCTGAAAAAGCAGGAGAGGGTTCAACCATCTGATCGTGAGAGACTATTAATCCAGAGCGCAACATGCAAAACTTACCAAAATATAGCTCACTCATACTCTCAGGGATAATAATCAATCCCGCAAAAACTGTAAGTACGTTAAAGTGAAAAGGTGGAGGGAAAACACTTCGACCCAATCTGTTTCAATATTTACAACCATCCCAGCAGACTCCAGACTTAGACTGAAGGGGCAGCCATAAATAAAAGCCTTTACTTGAATCCAGGCTAAGAGTCTCATCGCCAAAGTCAACAGAAACGGCGGCAACATTATTTCCTTCCTCTCACGGATGAAGCATCTTCGTGGAGAGTGTTTAATTGAATTTCGCAGAGGTATTTATTGTCTCTGCCGGAGCGTCTGTATTTTACATACCTGTGTCGTTCCCACTCTGCCTCACTTCATCTGTAAAGCAGGAAAATAAATGAGTCTGTTTCCCACCGTACTTTTGTGCATCTGCAGGTTCCCTCAGACTTTCCAGTCTTAGGAAAAGCAAACCTTTGCACTGATAACTGCTTTCAAACCCTACTGAGAGAACAATTGCTGCCACACAAGCCTCTCACGGTACACTTGTGAAGATCTGTCAACACGGGTTTCCAAAATATCCTGTCGGGGGCGACCGCTGGGCAAACACGGCAGTTTGTTAGTCACGTCTAATGAACAACTTCTCTTTCTGTGTACCCTCTTCAGAGAAGGCAAACCCTGCATTTCCACTGGATCCCCTCATTGAGAGCTATTTCAACGAGCTCCGCTGAGAGATGACTTTGTTTGGGTTCAACTTACCGAAAGACATACCTCAAAACAGAGAGCAGGACAATGGATCTTTAGTCAAGGAGGTATGAAGGCATGAAGGTATGGGTGGGATTTATGAACTGGGACTCGGCGAATCCCACATGTGGTTAGAGAGCTCCGAAATGCTCACACACCCTCCACGGATGCCTCATTTACTTATCACAGTGTATCACTTACACCGAAGCAGCGAAGCCAAACATGGTCCATATCCCAGGCCATCTGAGGTCAGGTGCAGGTGCAGGAAAACTTCACCAAACAAGACATTCATTACAAGCTGGCTTTTCAGCAGCTCACATCCTGGCCGAGGCGGAGTGCCCTCACTTCCATCCTCAATACTAGCATGAGATTGCTATCGCTTTAGGCTGTCAGCCAAACATACAAACATAGGTGAAACACTGTGTTTTTGTACCGCTGTCAAAATATCAGTGTACCGCAGACTAAACATCAGGGGGATACAGCCGGCTGTGTGGCTTGACAGATGTAGTGTGAGAAAAAGAAAGGACTGCTAAAAAAGCTGTTAAGGTAAATTATTTTCACATGACAGCGGGCCTGTGAGCTTCATCTTAAATACAAGAACAGATTAAAGTTTTGAGTCCTACCTTGAGATCTGGTTATTTATAACTTTAAGAACGCCAAAGTGGGGTTTCCATCAAGAGCAGGAAATTTAATTTTAGGACTGAGGCCTAAACCAAGCCATCTTTAGGTTTCAAGTTTCTGATGCTGATGGAGACAAATTCTGGACCGTTGAGGAAAGGTAATTCCTTTAGAGCGGCACAAAAAGAAAAAGCAGTTTGCTCAGCGAAGTGTGCGCAGCGACCACCACACTCACGAAAAGAGAAAAAATAAACAGCATCAGTCTTATCAGATTCAGTGGTGAGGAAATCCTTGAGCACAACTCCAACCATGTCATCACACCATCTGAAAGCCTCTAAAAATGGATCCTTCCAGTTTGGTGGTTATCAGAATTTGGTCACGCTCAGACTGTGGATGCAAACGGCCAAAATCAGATTCTTCTAGAGTGTGGTCGGCCATCCTTAGAGAGAGAGGGTTAAGAACCTGCAGCTTCTGAAGGCAATTGGAGTACAGCCATAACTTCTTTGCACTGAAGGGAACAAACTAACACACTAAGTAACTGGATGGATGGATGGATGGATGGATATCCAATATAGCAGATAAATGGATGGATAAAAGGGTGAATAGATAGATGGATGGATAATAGAGGTGGATGAATGGGTGATTAAATGGATAGATGGATACATGGATGGATTGATTGATAAATACATGGATAGGTGGCTGGATAAAAAGATGGATGTCCATTATTTTCCAATATAATAGATAAATTGGATGAATAAGTAGATGGATGATTGATGCATAAAAGATGGATAAAATGATCAAACATTGAAGAAAGGAGTGGGTGGATGGATGGATGGATGGATAATGGCTTGATAGTCAATGGATGGATGATAGATGGATAGATGTTTAAATGGACAGATGAAATGATGGATGGATAGATGGATGGGTGGATGGATGAATAATTGCTAGACAATGGATGGATGGAAGTTTAATGGATAGTTGGTTTCAAAACTTCTTTTGGTGTTTACCAGTCAAACTGGGTTGAGTCATAAAACATACTTTAATTAGATGGATGGATGATGGATGGACAAATAGATGGATGGAGAGAATCACTAAATTGGTGGTACTTATGACTGAAATTGCACTTTGTCAACTTAAAACAGCATGAAATAAATATAGTTTTTTATACAGTCTTGTATGAGGTTCAAAATTACATTTTTCAGACCAGGTATGAAGAAAACAAGAAGCGATATTCAGGAAAAGAAGTTGCATTCAACTGGAGAGGAAGATGTCCTTTAGTAAAATCATAAACTTGTATGATTTTTATTAAGTAATGATTCTCGCCTGACCTGGTGGTTGACTGCTAATATGCTAAAGACAAAGAAGAGGATTTCCCCGCCCTGTTTAATTATCAAGGTGGTAAATTACAGTTTTTATTTGATTAAATATTAAAAAAAGTTGACTTTTTATGACTATCTGTGGTTGATTTTCTGCACAAACAGGAACTCAGTTCGCTCGCAGTTCTTCATTAAGCTCGTCTCAAGAACGCACTCCTGTGGATTATTTTCCCGCAAATGTTCCGTTCTGTGTTTTGTCAAAAATAAGAAAAAAATGTGAACCGTTTACTCGACTGTGTTTATATTTTTCCAAAATAAAATGTGATAATGATGGAAACAGCAGGTTGAAGTAATCATATGACTAAAATGAAAACATATGAAGGTCTGTTACTTATGTTGAGGCTTTTTAACCTTCACTGAAAGGTTTTAACACGCTTTGTGGCTCCCTGTAGTTTTCAGAGGGTAAAGTGGATCTTTCCACAGGAAAGTTCCTGACCCCTGGAGCAGGCAGAGGCACATACCCCTTTTCGTATTCATAGTTTGCAAAAGTGACTCTGGGAGTAGATTTTTATCAGTATTTGGGCAGTCTGCTGGTATTTTCTCTGGTCTGAACACACTGTGTGCTATTCTGAAGCTTTTTTTTTTTCCCACCACACCCAGCCAGACAAACAAGTGCACGGAGAGGTCCCTGCAAATAAAAGCACTCGCCCAGCAGGAAGGCAGGAAGGTGAGTGCCACGAAAACAATCTTTGATGAGACCTGTTAAATGAAAGCATAATCCCTGCAGAGCCAAGCCTCCCAACGACAAGTATGAAGAGCGGCAAGAAAACTCAAACCAGGACTACCGTGGGTGGTCAGGAACGGTTCGAAACCAAGTGGCAAAACAAACATACAGGCATGTTTTCCTTTACTCTGAGTGATTGAATGTTTACAAACTAATTGTGAAGAGCTGGCTCGCATTAATCCTCCATAAGAACATGCCGTCTGTTTGCAACACTAATTCTGTCTTGGAATCTCATCTCTAAATTATCTGTCCGAGCTTGCATCACGTCACGTCAGCCCCGAACAGAGCGCTCGCTGCTCTTTTTAATCTAGAAAATCAAAGCTGAGTAAACACGGCTTCGGTATGTCTAATTCCTGCAGCCAAACTCCGGCGGTCAAGTTTCACACATACCGACACACATCTGGAGCGTTCTCGGCACAGAGGATCAAGCTTGATATCCTGCACATGTTGTGGCCGTGCGAGTTTCTCTGAGGATCTGACCCTGACACTCTACAAATACATCACTAAGGAGGGGAGCAAATCCCGAGCTTCTGTCTGTATGGAGACGTCAGGATTCCGGCGAGAGAGCCAAGAGCTTTCATCCATATTTCCAGGGTCGGTCTTCAGTAAAGTTTTAAGACAAATTGTCAGGACAGTGATGAGGACTTCAGCAAACAGCAGGGGAAAACTGCGAGAATGGGCAGAGTAGGTATTTGGGTTTGATTCTGACGTTTCGAGACGTGGATCAGCAGATCTGTCAGCACTTTAGAGACACAGTCAGGGTAACTCAAACCGGCTTTGGAAAGGGCCGACCATCTTTTCTGTGCTGCTTTCAGCTAAATTCTGATTAATTTCTGTTTTGTTTATTCAAAAATGTTAAAACAGGGAACCGATATTAACAGGGTGTTTCTCTCTTTACTTCAGATTTCTACTTAGATGAGATACGCCAAGAAGGCCAATGATTGCAATTACGTAATCAAATCGATCTTGTGATGAAGACGGCTCTTCTTTTTGAGAAACTTGCGTGATGAAAACAAAGAAAATAAAGAACCGCTCTTTCATTCTCGAGAAGAAATCAGCAATCCCTGATCTTCCCTGACCTCTCTGAGATCCGAACTCAAAGGTGTGACAGGAGGAGCCTCTGTTGGCTATCTTGGGTTTCATCTGCTTGCCGTCTTGGACTCGAACAGGACAAGCCTCCTCGTATGTGGCCTAACAAATGTACTGTGAGGGAAAAGAAGTGCGGACAAAGACCTCTGGAGAAATCATTTTCCCTTGGCGCTTCATTTCACGAAATTCTCCGGGAGTGTGTCATTGGTTTGAAGGGGATTAACTGGAGGAGCAGATTTCAGTAATGGAACTTCTCACTGAAACCTGATTGTTTATGACTTTATATACTTTGGCTCGCTTAACGGTCCCTTTAGCCTCGCTCATTCTCGCATCGGTGACGACTGTGTCAGTCGGTTTGTCCACCACTTTGGTTTCAAGTGGGTAAAACAGCCTGTACACTTCAATTTCCTATCGTGGCACTGACATGATTTTACTGGCTTTGGCAAACACCAACCAGAGCCACCAGCAGGGCCAAAATCTGTATGAACATCAATACGGCTTAAGGACTTTGGGTATGACCTGACTTTCCAAAGCCCGTTTCAGGTGGACTAGATAGAAAACGTTCAGGTGGTCTGATCCTTTAAAAAGTGACCTTTCTTTTTACAGGTTTTGGAGGAGTGGACTAACATCAAGTTTTTGTCAAGTTTTTACCAAGTGTCAGAAACTTTTTGGGAGTGTGCTTGTAATAAAGATTAATCAAGTGTTTCTCTGACATTCGTGAACTGATTAAAGACGTCAGGAAATTCAATAACTAAACCTTTTCTTTAAGCATTTGGTGATTTCTGTGGCATCGCGGCGGTTTCCTAATGTCTTGGCTGATTCCATTGAGACGCCAAAGACCTCCTGCCCCTGTCTCTTCTTGTAATACGCGCTGCTCGCCTCTAAGACCGCTCATTTATTCAGCAGATTTAGTTGGATTTAGCCTGAGAAAGGTCAGGAGTGTGCTGAAACCACAGAGACGACAGTCCTCCCTGATCTCCCTTGACCCCGGTGAGGGTACAACTCCACGAGTGTCACAGCAAGAGCTTCTGTGGGCCGTGTACAGTTTCACCTGTCTGCCTTTCAGACCTGGATCTGAACAGGTAGAGGAGAATAGACCTATAGAGCCCTCTCCTTTTCTTCCTTTCTCCCCTCCCTCCTCTCCTTTCTCTGCTCCTCTTTTCTTCCTGGCCAGCTAATCTCTTCTCAGGTTTAGGATTCCCGGTCCGGGCTCTTTGAGGAGGAGGAAATATGGGGTTGGGTAAACATCAGGGCTCTCACTGCAGGGATTACAACACCCATATATCACCGTGACAACTCCCTTTTCAGCGGATGACAAGTCGCCAGGACCCTGTGCGAGGAGGGATCCAATGACACTTCCTATCGCCACTGCAGACACTGATAGCGTATACCGTCACCGTTTTCACAACATCGTGTCAGTTTATGAGGATCCGGTGTCTGCGTGCTCTCAGCCAACATCTTTAGATCAGTTTGAGGTTTTCACACATTATTGCACCCGATGCTTGGCTTGTGGGCATCTTCAGAGAGGCAACAACACAAACGGAGAAAGACTCAAAAGAAGTGCTTTGATCACATGTCCTCTCAGAGAGACCGCGGTTCATTGTCCGTGACTCCTTTCACTCTTGATGTGAAACGAGGTGGCACACATGGTGACAAACTGCAGGGAGCATTGTGCAGTTGGGTGTGAAAGCCCAGTCAAGCTCCATTTGAGAAATAAACTTCTACCCCGAAGGACGTAATTTCAATGAGGTGGATTATTTTCCAACTCTCTGTTTTCATGCGTTTCGAATGGAAAAGATTGGAATTTAATTAGTCAGGCGGTTGTATTTTTCCACATTAGTGGGTGTGTCTAATAATTTATCAGGGTGATACATGAAGAGAGGCGAGGGACCCTAAAACGGTCTGCAGAGAAATGCTGTTCTCTGTGGTGATGAGCTGAAAACAACGAGTCATGTCAGAATCTAAGGATGTAATCATTACGGGAGGAAGGGACTCCAAAAAGACTCTCAATTTGGGGGTGGATTGTCTTAGTCAGGTTTTGGATTATTGTACCACAAAGACATGAGAAAAAGTCAAAACTCTCTATTTCTGAACTCTCAAACTGGAACTGAATTAACGTCGGAACGAACGCCAGAAGAATTTGAAAAGTATTGGTTTAGTTCATGAACAAAACTTGTATTTGTTTTCTGGGTTCAAAATATTTATTTCCATCGTCACGCAGCTCTGACTTTAGGGATCAAGAACTGTCAACAAGCAGCATGTCTCAGTAATGCTTCTCTGAAAATCGTGGTTAAATGTCGAGAAGTAACCCTCCCGGACTTCACAAATGCTATTTGCAGCTTTCATCAGATGCGTCCTGACACAAAGCAACACTAACACCATGTTTAAACTGAGAACAGTAATGATGTTTACTAAGTCATGTTTTCCTTTCACAGTTTGCTGGACACTCAACAACTAATTAGAGGGGGACTTACGCTCATTTCAGGCTTTATATTGTGTTCCTAATACCCGTTTATTGGTTTTACAGATTAAAATACTTATATTATCTAAACTGAGCTGCAGTAGCTCAAAGGTACAGTTGTTTGTCTCTCAAATGTAAGGTTTCCATCCTTGTTCCAGCAGCCACATGCTAAAACACCCATCAGTAAGCCTACTAAAGCACCAACTGCTATCAAAGTATGGATGTGGTGTACTCAGGTGAATGTGATGAGTGCTTTAAGTGCTGGTGTAGCATTTTAGCTGGTCAGAAAGACTGGGAAAGTATTGTAGAGGTTCAAGTCCAATCAACATCCTAGATTTCCTGGACAGCTCTCTGAAAGCCTCCTCCGCTGTTGCCATATAAAATTTGGTAACTTTAAAAGCTCTTATTTCAGCCTCTGTCTGACAGGCTTCCTTTCAGCACCATTTCTCATGAGCTTACTTTCTTTCAACTGGACTAGCACTCCAGAAGCCTCCTCCACTGTTGTCTTTGGAAACCCTTACTTTAGTTTCTGTCTGACATGTACCATTTCAGCACCATCTCTCATGAGTTTATTTTATCTCTGAAGGCCTCCTCCACTGTTGCCATACAAAGTTGTCCCACCATCCTGATGTCTTTGAAACCCGTATTTTAACGTCTGTCAAAAATTCTTTATTTTCACATTGTCTTCCATAAATCCACTTTCTTACTGGCCAGCTCTAAGAAAGCCTCCTTCACTATTGTAATGCAAGGTTGTAACAACATACTGGTTGTCTCTGAAAACCTTCTGTCTGAAATGCTCCATTTTAGCACCATCTCTCATGAGCCCCCTGACTTTTAATTGGCTGGATCTCCGGAAGCCTCTTTCGATGTTGCCAAACAAAGTTGTCCCAACATATATTCGTATCTGAAAGCCCTTATTTATACAATCAGACATGCTTCATTTCAGCACTGTCACTTATAAAGTCACCCTCTGTTAACTAGCCAGTGCTCTGGAAGCCTCCTCCGCTGTTGCCATAAAAAAATTTTCCCAACATTCTGGTAACTTTAAAAGCCCTTATTTCAGCCTCTGTCTGACAGGCTTCATTTCAGCACCATTTCTCATGAGCTTACTTTCTTTCAACTGGACTAGCACTCCAGAAGCCTCCTCCACTGTTGCCAGACAAAATCATCCCAACACTCTGGTTGTGTTTGGAAACCCTTACTTTAGTTTCCATTTCAGCACCATCTCTCAAAAGTTTACTTTATCTCTGAAGGCCTCCTCCACTGTTGCCATACAAAGTTATCCCACCATCCTGATGTCTTTGAAACCCGTATTTTAACTTCTGTCAAAAATTCTTTATTTTCACATTGTCTTCCATAAATCCACTTTCTTACTTTATTATCGGGGATAATCCCAAACAAAGCAACAAAGAACAGAGCACATCAACATTCATTATGATCTTTTAAGGAGATTCACCAATTAGTGACGTCACATATTGAGCAAAACTTTCATGCAACGTCTCATCTTAAAAGAAACTTCCAAAATACGATGATGAGAAACAATCGACTTCATCAGTTTTGCAAGGAAGAGTCAAAAATAATTATAGGTATTACACACAATCACAGTCCGTAAAAGCGTGTGTCCGGTTACAAGTTCAGTTTCAGAGTCCTTGGCCAGCCTCAAGCCTTTGCTGTGCCAGGCTGCTGGAATTTCTGTCAACCGAAGAATCAATCACACGTGGATGTGGTACAGGATGTTGTACCGGCATCTAGTTCAAAAGTAGTTCAGCCAACTTAACTGTCAGTCAGCACCAGAGTTCAAGTCAGAGCAGCCAAAAAAGAAGCTTCTTCTTAGGTGGTGAGGTTGATTTAGACAAGACCGGCTTTGTTGTTGCTCATTCATTGCTCTGTTTACAATGGCACACCTCAAGAGAGAAGGCGTAGATATGACAGGGGTCCTCAAAAACTGGGCCTCATGCAAGTAGCAGGCCATGGATTGAAAAAAGACTGGATGTTGAAAACCTGTTGGGCCTGTCACTCACTCTGGGACCAGCTCAGTTCCTGAAAACAGCTCAGATCCCACACTGATAGTGAATTAAGTTTTGATTTTTGAGTATTTTCCATCGTTTGGTTTGCATTAAGCCGACAGGTGGAGTCTGTTGGGTTTAGTCTGGGAACACCTGCTCTGACAGGTCACTTAAATTACAAAGCTATTACCTTTTTTATGCTTGTTGGAAGTTTGACAACATGATTAAGTCTTCTCCAAAAGACAGAAACCATAAAACTTGATACAAACCATTAACTGCTTTGCGTGGAGAGCCAACGATTGAACCGAGGCTGTTTTAGACAGAGGGGAAAGTCTAAGCACAGATAGATCCACACAGCAGCATTCAAATGGATAAACATCGATTATAAGCTGATTATAAGCTGTCATATCAGTGAGCACTAAGAAACCTTTTTATTGCTGTCCAATGTCATGGTCAAATGTGATGTTTCAGGCTTTTAAGGAGGAAAATAGACTTTTAGTTCCACAGAAAATGTGATCCAGACTGTTTAGTTGCGGGAAAACAAGTCAGCCTCCATGTGACAGAGATGAAAGATCTCCTCTGAGTGTTAAAAATGTTGAACTTTAAAGCAATAATCCTACGTTGAGCCTGGTACTCTGTTACTGCACATAATCACAGACATTTGTGGTTTTCATTTGGGAGTTTTTCATGTTTTAAGTCAAACAACAAAGAACGAAAACAAAATGTGGGTAAAAAAAAACAAAGAGAAAGAAAAAAGGATCTTACACTAATCAAACTGATTGCCTGAAATTCCTCCCCGTGTGTGCGTTATTGCCCGGCGTCAGATCTTCTTTATTAAAGCGGAAGAAATAAAACAAACTCCGAATTTGCGAGGCGTATTCACATCGACTGCAGCGCTGACAGAGGAAGTGTTGGCAGGCTTCACGACAAGTATGAATACCGCCATCTGGAGAGAATTATCTTCATTATAACAAAAAGCTAACAGTGATTTATACAGGCCCGTACTCTGCTGTTCCACTATCTCATAACGATAAGCATTTTATCATGCTGCAACACGCATTATCCGCGTCCACTCCCTTCCTCCCTCCTCTCTGGTGTCTCTGAGGAGTTAAGGCAGGATGACTAATTAACGACATTAGTCTCCATAACTCGGAGGAAGACCATGATGTCCAACATCCGATAGCAGAATCAAACTCATATGTGGACCGGCAGAGACTCTCATGCTTCACTATCAGGGATACAAAGCACCTCGTTTTAATTAGGGCAGCACTGTGACGCCAAGGCTCGACGCTGGATGTCAAATGGCCGACCGCAGGAGAGCGGGCCTCTTCCTCCTCCAGCTCATCGTTTTCTTTGCAGGAGAGAATAAACCCATCCTGTTCAAACATCCCTTTGCCTGAGGCTCAGAGGCTTTTACAATTGATTTGTTTAGCGCCGCAACTGCCAAGAAAGTCAATTTATCACCCTGCTGCTGCCAGACAGGAACATAAATCATGATGGATGTCATATTTAAGCCCAAAGACGCCATGAATATTCAACATTCAGCTTAGGTTTGCCCTGCACATCTGCTGCAAAAGTTGTGAATTGGTTTGGCGGCTTAGGTAGCACGAATCCTGCCATTTCTCGCTGCACTGTGTGAGTGATTTGTCCTTATATAATCCTGCAATAACTGAACGTTCAGCCACAGATTTCAGGTCAACCACATCCACCGGTGTGGCTCCAGTGTGCACACTTGGCGGGCCTCTCAAAAACCTTTCGGAGGTTTGGTCTACACATGCTGCAGTTACGCTACGCGCTGTCTCAGACCTAAAAGCGGCCTCGCATCCTTTTCATCTTTCTGGATTCAGTTGAAACAACACGGCACAAAGCACATGGCGGAAGGTGAAAAGTTGACATCCTCTTAATCACACAATCTCACTCGCACGTGAAATAAAGACCCGTCCAAAAGCGCTTGAACACACACACATAAATTATGAGACAGAAGACAGTCGTGTTGCCTCGAGCATAGATATATGACAAGACAGTGGGACGAGGCATTTCCTGCCCTGTTGTCCTGTTTTGTTTGGCCTGTCTTTAATATTCTGCATCCAAAGCACAGCGCTGAGAGGGAGGAATTACAAAAGAAATGAGTGTAGGAAATGTTTAAAAAAATAAATAAAAAATCTGCACAGAAAAGGCAGCTGTGGCTCAGTGGTAAGGTCAGATGCTTCTCAAAGCAGAGGGGGATTAGTGGTTTGATCCCAGCTCCAACCGTCCACATGCCAAAGTGTCCAAGACGCTGCCAAAGACACTGAACCCCAAACTGCCCCAAAGTGGCGGCAGTGAGCAAATGCATGTAAATAGGAGCTCTTAACCTGATGAGTACTTTGCACAGCATCAGTGTAAGAAGGTATGTGTGAGAGGATCAGAAATAGGGATGCACGTCGGCACCAGACGCCTAAACGGGTTATTAGTATTGTCATAAATGTGAGTATCAGAAATACAGCTCAAGTCAGGGACTGTTGCCTAATGCTTTAAAGCTCTACTACCTGGATGTAAACAATAACAACACCTTTATGCATATTTATAAAACATCAGAATACGATAGTGTGAATGTTTGAAGATGATACCAGCAAAATGGCTATTAAAGGGGATTTAAGGTAAGGTAAGGTAGACTTTATTGATCCCGCATGGGGGATTCTATTCCACCACCAGGACAAGAAGACTCAAACAGACGACAAACAGCATGGAGACATCAGAAAAACAGACTCAACACCAGATACACAACAAACACAGTGAGGACCAATGAAACATGATTTTAAAGTGGTACAATGAAAGATAAGGACATGATTAAATACAACAAAAGCCTGATAAAGATGAATAGATACTTAGATAAATACCTCTACAAACTATGCAGCAGTGCCAAGTCAGACCTGAACATACACTGTTAAAAAAATCTCACTGCTGCCGGAACAAAAGACTTTCTCAGTCGTTCAGTGGAGCACTGAGGCATCACAAGTTGCTCACTAAAAGGGCTTTCAAGATCTTTAAAGACAAAGTGCAATAGATGATCTTTGTAGCCTAGGATTAATTTTAATTCAGACCTGGTCCTCCTCTCAAATATGGCCTCATGAGACTCTGGGACTAAGCCAATAACTAATCCAGCCCTCTTGATCATCTTGTTGATCCTCATTTTGTCGTCAGATGATATGCTGCCTCGAAGAGTCTAAAATGAGTCTTCTTCAATGAGGTCTGGGTATTTTCTTTCCAGTTTAATTTATTGTCCAAATGGACTCAACGATTTCAATCTGTTTGCCTTTCATCAACAGGGTTAGGACCTCCTCTTTTTTCTTCTAGAGTCAATAATCAGCTCTTTCGTTTTTTCAACGTTAAGCTTCAAAAAGTTTGAGTCACCAGTTTATTGAGGAAACCTTTGATTGGCATTCAAAGCAAGTCTCTCGCCCAAGCTGGAGGGTTTTTTTGTCCACTAGCACACATCCCACTATGATACCATCCTTGTCTGACATCAGTACTGGATCTTACCTTAGCCTGGTGGATCTCGATGCCATACAGAAGAATGTTTTGAGTCTTGGCTTCAGAGGCCAGCTCCATGATTCCACTTGGCTCAACCTCTCTCCCGCTGATGGACGGCTCGTCTGATGAGCTCAAACGCACCTATCAAAACAAACATGCCACACATTAGAAATCGCTCACGGTGGGAATCCTTTTACAGAGCAGTGATCGGAGCAATCACAGCTCATTGTTAGAGCTGTCGTTTTGACATGTTGCAACGCAGCGGGCCTGTTTATTTAAAGTTAAGCTGAGAGGATTTGGGAGGCGTGAGCTCTGCTGTGCTGACGGTAAACAGAGGTTTGTTGTTACACACTCATGTCTGAATACATATGAGTCTGGTTGTAAATCTATACGGCCTCTGGGGTCTTGCTTTCTCCAATTAGGGCAGCAAAATCCAGACACATGACTTCCAATTACTTTGTCATCCTTAAGAGTTTTCAAAGCTAAGCCAATTTCCATAACTGCCTCACTGACAGAGTTTTTACTCTTGATTTATTCACTGCAATTATTTTGTCATTTAGCCTTAATCTGTGGCAGTGGCGAAAAAAGTCAGGAGAATCACTTCAGATGTGTGAAGACATCTGCTCAAAGCCTGCAGTTATTACACTCATACTTAAAAATCCATCAAATCTTTTCTGTCATCAAACTAAAATTCATATTGATGACCTCAGCACATTAGCAGGTGTTAGACATCAGTCTGCTGAACGCTGGTGCCATACAAGTATTTCTGCTGACAATGTGAGCGAATGAGTTTCAGAATACCAACTGTGCACAGACACAAGGACAGAGGCATGGCTTCAATGTTCTGAACTGAGTCTCTTTGAATGTGCAAACCTTTCAAAGTCCCAAATGAGTTTGATGCAATACTGAGGGAGGTACATGTTGATATTTCAACTCCACTAAACAACAGTAACACCCCTACTTAAATACTTGTCCAAAGCTCCATTCCCAGAAGTTTCTTTGAAAACCCCCTCTGAGCATTTTTTGGTCTAATAGACGTCTAAATGTAGCCTAGACAACAAGTCTAAAATCAGACTACCACAGGTCTAAAAATAAAAGTTTTTTAGACGTCTAAATTTAGACCAAGTTTAGACTAGCCAGCCATACTATCCTACACTATATATCACTCAACAGCTATCATAATTATTTTGGTTTAGTACTTGGAGATCAGTTATGTAACTCACAGTGGCTTTTTGAAATAAATAGTAATAAAATAATAGGTTAAGGTGCAACGTCTAAATTCCGTGTAAAAATATACAGAATCTAGACGGTAGAAACTAGATCTGAAAAAAATTAGACGTCTATTAGCCGTCTATTGCTCAGTGGGCAGCAATTTACTGTAAAATCCACTCGCTACGTGAGATCGGCAGCTTTCAAGGGATAAACTCTTGAATGTTTCTGCAAAATCGAGGGTTTTTTTTATCCCAGAGAGAACATCAGTGTGTTTCAGAGACTGTCCAGATCCAATACCCTCAAAATATTGAGAATCTGTGATGATTTGTATTAATTTTAATGAAATGGTGTTATTGCTGCTTATAGCTGACTATACTCAACAGGCTGGCATCTTTGGCATAAGTCTATATCTGCCAAAATGCATTCATTCTGCTTAGCTTGTTGTAGTATCTGTGCTCTTTTACTCAGGTCAGTGCCGTTACCCTTTTACACCTCATATGAACAAGGTTACTACTCTGATATCTAGAATTCATATCCACCTTCAGTCACAGAGTTGGTCTACGAAAACAGTACAACAAGAGATCTACAATCAGCCTCTTCACAAACAGTTCTTTGTAAAGGTATTAAAAAGTAATAACTAAAAGTAATACTAAAGAAATTTGCAGTTAGGGAGTTTTTCCGTTTGTAGAGGAGGATGGGACGACAGTAACTTTTTCTTTGACTGAGTAAAGTTTAATGTTAACTTTACATAGATCAACCACCCCGCTGAAAGCACCTGATAAATGTTCCATCGTTCACGGCATCAAAAAGAGACCCTATCACCTGAGGTATGGACTCCACAAGACCTCTGAAGGTGTCCTGTTGAACCTGGCACCAGGACATTAACAAAAGATCCTTTAAGTTTGTAAGTTTAAAGGTCGAGTCTGCGTGGATCTGACTTGTTGTTGCAGCACATCCTGAAGATTCAGGATTGAGATTACGTGGATTTGGAGGCCAGGTCAACACCTCAAAGTAGTCCTGAAGAACAACAGCAGTGTGACAGGGGGGAGGAAGCCAGTGCCATCAGACATGAAAAGATGTTTATGTTTGGTCCGTTTAGACAAAGAAAGGCAACAACTTAAGGTTAGCACTAATATTTGACCCATAATTCTATTTGTGGAAATAAACTGGTGATACGAACAACATGGGGGGTCTTTCTGAAAGACATCGCTCAAGGCTGTGGCACCTCATTTCCACAGACTGTTTGAAACAGTGACCTTCAGTCTGCTCTCTGCCCCAGAGGCTACCACCTCCACTTTAAACTCGATTACCCCTCACTGATCACTGCCATGTGACTCAACCTGTGATAAATAACAACAAACTCCTAAATAAGTGAGGAAAAAGGGTAACTTTGGCTCCGAGCACAAACCAACCTCATCATTTACAACCATGACACTCAAGGGGATGAGTCCAGACACATCTAAAAGTGACCGTGAAATCAGGTCAGACAGAGAGGAACCAGCAAACTGAGAGTGAGCTGACCGTGTTTGGAAGTATTACCTCTTGTATGTGTTTTTATTATGTAAATGTAGAACAATACAACACAGATTAAAGTACAGTCAGGTAAAACAGACCAGCGTACGAGTTTAGGATCGATTCCTGGTCCCAACATCATTGAGTGCATGCCATCCCCCCTTTTAATACATCTGCTAACTATGAACGTATTTGAACAGTAGGGCAGATATCAGTTAATACCTAAACTCAAACAAGAGGTGCAGCCTCAGCAGTGGTTCGATTTTGACAAGACCCCATCTCAAAAAACACAAACCTGCAGTAACAGAATATGCTGAAAAGTTGTTGTAGCTGTAGACGGCAGTTACTTAATCACTTCATACAGGGTGAAGAATTCAAGAGAAGAAAAGATTCAGGAGCTGGAAGTCGACTATGACTGACCCACAAAACAGAAACACAATCAGTGTCTTCGTACTGTATGCTTGAATGATTTAGATTTTAGTGAATAATTTTAATAATGTGTGAAACAAATTTCCCCAAGGGGACAATAAACTGCATCAGATTGTTTTGTATAGAATCATATTAACTCATAATTTACCATATCATATAAAATTGTATTCTACTGCATCATATTGTATGGTTGTGTACTGTATCATTTATATTCTATCCTATCCTATTGTATCAGATTGTAACTTATCCCATCATATCGTATCATACTGCACTGCATCAAACCGTATCGTACAACACTGTTTTGTATCAAATCATATCAAATCGTATCATAATGTATCATATCATACAATATTTTATATTGTACCCCATCGTTTCATACTGTCTCATACACTAACGTACCATAACGCATCATACAGTACCATACCGTATTGTATCCTATCATATTGTATTGTTTTGTATCCAATCGTATTTTATCATATCTTATCGTCTTATATCCTAATGAATCATAACACATCATACAGTACCATACTGCATTGTATTGTATTGTACAGTACCATACCATATTGTATCCGCTTGTATTTTATCATAACGTATCGTCTCATATCATAATATATCATAATGCATCATACAGTACCATACCGTATCATATTATATTGTATTGTACAGTACCATACCATATTGTATTTTATTATATTGAATTGTTTTGTATTCAGTTGTATTTTATCATATCCAATCATCTCGTCATAATGTATCATAATGCATCATACAGTATCACATTGTATTGTATACTACAGTACTATACTGTATTTTATCATATCCTCACCTATAAGCTGTAATGTAAGCATACATTTGTGACTATTAACTATCTATACTTGTTATTTGATTGGACTTTTCATATTTCTAGTTTTTTAAATATTGTTTTAAAAGAATTGATTACACACATCCTAAACTTTTGCACATAAATCTTTAATTAAGAATGGTAAGTTTTTTTTTCCTCCAATCTGTCATCTGCAGATTTTTTAGTATATTTCTTTGTCTTGTTTTTATGTTTCTTGTTGTTTTTCTCGTGTTGTGTCTGTCTGTGACTGCAGCTGCTGTTTTTTATCAAGGATTTGTCAAATATCATTCCTCTCCTCTCCAATTAGAGTAATATCAACAAAGAATAATAGAAAACACAGAATCTACTGGGGAAGGAAAAGAAAAACTGTGGAATAGACTGAAGTGGAATTATGAAGAACAACCGTGGAAAATGGAATAAGGATAATAACTGAAGTGGTGTAGATAAGGAGAGAGTAAAATGTGACATGCTGACACTGGGAGCTGTGGGAATCTGGTTTCGTTTTGGTGTGGCAGAGAGTCAATCCCACCAAAGCCTGGCTTCACACTGTGTTTACATGTGTGAATCCCCGACTCTGAGTGTGTGTGTGTTGCTTATGTGCTCCAGTCTTTATTGAAAGCTTCGGTGTAGTAATGCTGCGTGACATCTGCAGTGATTGAGACTTGTCGGTCTCCGCAGGTTTATTTCTTTCTCATTACCCCGCATCGCTTTGGCACTTGATCCGTGTGTTAGCTGCAGAGGTCAGTTTTCCAAACCGGAGGAGGGTAAACAGGGCTTTCTCACAAATATTTAAATGTTTCTTGGAGTAGATTTGATCAGTTTGTTTAAGGTTTTTCTCCCTGTGAGAGCTCAGGTCAGTGTTCCTCTGTTAGTGGCGGACGTCGATGTTTGAACAGTGAACTGGGAGGCCGAGCTGCAGCGCTCTCCCGGGAGGTGTAGGGTTTCCAAACAGCCACAGAGCTCATCAAGGGACCTGAGGTGGGCTACAGGTGACGTTTTTACAGGCAGGGGGGAAAAAAAGAAAAGGTTTGGCTCACTGTGTATTACATGAACTTGGAAGAAACTGAAACCGTCCTGTGCCAGATGTCTGTATTCAGCAACATGTAAAGAAGAGTTCATTCAAAGTGTGGGAAATGATACTGAGACATGGTTAAACTTTCAGAGCGCACAGACCTGCAGGAGCTCTTTGTGCGCAGACTTCTGAGTAGACGTGAGCTCTGTAGACTGTTAAACCACATCAAGCCTTCATGGAGGCTGTCATGACATTTTGCACTTAGATATCAAATAGTTTGACACCATTAAAGCCTGAGTGTGAGGGGTAAACTCTGCACAAATCACAGCAGGTTCAAATGAATGAGTTGTGTGACATCTGCACTTCATTTTTCTGGGTAAAAAGCATAGAACCAAATCAGCAGCGCGCTTCTGTGGTGGGGCTTTATTTTGGCACAGGTCTGACGGTCCAAGTAGAGATACGCTGAAGTCAGACCTCAAGAAACAATTTTCCTGTTAAGTTTGCAGCCAGAGCTGCTCAGCAGTTATTATAGAGCAGCTCCTGTCCTCCTCTGCACAGGCATTTCTCTTCACTGGTATTGAACGCTCACTTTCAGGCTTTACATTGCTCTCTGATACCTCTGGACTACATTTATATAATTCACAGCCTTATTTTCGTCCGATTGGCTGGCTCTCTAGAAGCCTTCTCCACTGTTGCAATGCTACAAAATCATCGTCACTGAGTTCATCAGTGTTTTTCTGTTTGACATGACAAACTACAAATACTGCCATGTGACCTGGATTTACATTTGGACTCTTGAGGGATTTCTGTTTCATCGTTTATGTTTACTTTTTCTATTTGTGAAGATTCATCAACTGATGACATCACAAATTGAGCAAATTTCAATGATGATAAAAAAACATAATATACGTAGACGCCTCAAAGCCTGACGCCCCCATGCACCTCCAGTGCATTAAGATAGGTAGAAATGCTCAACCATATTAATCATAACTCTTCGAATCTCTGCACGATTTTTACGCTGTTTGGTTTTTACAACGGCAGGGATGTAGCCATGATACAGGAGAATGTCACACATTAAAAATAACCAAAATTATTTTTCAATCCTATTTGTAATATGTAATCCTACGTGATCTGGTTTCAATACTGCGTCGGGTTTTTCAACCTTAGAGTGCGAAAATACAGGCATAGTTGCTCGTTCTCCATTGACCCCATTTGGCTCTTGAGCAAACCTGGAGTGGGGAGACCCATCCAATATGGCGGCAACGCTGGATTACGCTCCAGCACGTAATGAGGCGTCTACATGTATAATGTCTATAGTAACACAGTGTACTGTCATGCTCCGAGTATCCATTGAGCAGGGCGGCTTCATTGCTTCCCAAAGTCATACTTACACATTTTGACAGATTTTTTGAGTGCATTGTACCACATAAAACCAGTCAGTAAGCACAACAACTAATCATACATAAGGCACACAGTCAATTTTTGAGAAAATTTAAGGATTTTAAGTGCACCTTATAGTCTGAAAAATACGGTATTTGTGTGTAAACTCACCCAAATGACGACCAGAGGATGAAGAAGGGCCCGATTTGCTGCCTCCAAATCTCTCAGTAAAGTTTCCACCTCAGAGAGGCAGGAAGAGTCAACCTGGAGACCAAGGAAATGAAAAACTAGATAAGAACATTTAACCTATGAGAAAAAGTTTTCCCATGATGATCAGAGAGATAGTAAGTACGCCGCAAGCTTTCCAGAAAACTTGGACCCTCTTTTTGCCAGAGGTGATCATGAATATTTACATTGACATATTTTTACATCTCATAGAAGTTTGGCGTAAAATGGGAACTTACAGAAACTTGGATGAAGTTCCACTCCTTCAACAGATAGCTGGAGTTTTCTCCCATCAGATCTGGGATGACCTCCAGCTCCTGTAGGACAGAGATACAGAGATATCCCGACGTTAAATATTCTGTTCTGCTTGTTACATCGACATCACTGAGAGCAAAAACTGCAGAGCCAGAGTCCGTGTGCATGTGATGTCAAAAGGCTCCTGGTTCTTGTTTCAGCCACTTCATCAGTCATTCATACTGTGAGTGCGCCCACCTGTTCTCCTGCTCTGATTGATTTTATGGGTTTAAACTACCTAAACACACTCGAGGTGTATGCAGCTGAGAGCCTCGTTTCCATACACTGTAATCAGATGCTTATTAAGACAAATGGACTCTCTTGGAGTCTTAAGTCCTCAGGATCGACAGGAAAATTCTGTCATATGCAAAATTTGGGGACAGCTATCAAACACAAGCCAGCTGAAATTTCATTACGCTGCAAACCGAGTCAAAAGCCGACTGCAGCCAAGAGCCGTAAAAGCTTTTTTTTGCCTGGATAAATGGGACATTTTAGGTCCTGATCTTTCCATTCTGTTCCAGTTTTGGCATATGAGTGACATGAGGCAACCAGATCGCACGCTCTATCCACCCTGTCTGTTTGACAATCATTTTGTTGTTGAGCCCCTAATTGCAGTCTGGTACTACAATTTCACACACACAGGAAATAAACACAGAAATAAACATCCACAGCCTGTGTTTGGCATCCAGATACAGTTGTTGTACCCATTGAAATAACACAAAGTAATTGGGAAGGTGAAATGGATATGGGAAACATATGTCAGAGGGTTAACTGGTCTTGAAAGATAACTGCCCGTGGCTTCAGGAGGAAAATCATTTCAGTCTGAAATGTAGATTTGCAGGGTTTAAGAAATTTGACATGATCTAAACCAGGTTGGGCATGTAATCCCAGAGTAGGAATGTTTATTTAAATTTAGGCGAGGCCCCAGAGCCAAGAAGCCAGGGAGACTTTAGGACTAAACCACTCTGAGGACACAAGAAATACTCAGTTTATGGGGCTCAGCACAGCAGTGAGCCGCCTTCTTACATGGACTTTAACCAGTTATTTATATCAGTGCAGATGGATCTCATTGACACATTGAAAAATCACTTTAAAATGACAGTAAAATGTTAAAGCCTGCTGTCTAGGTTCAGTGTGTAAGAATGCTAGTGTTGGCCAAGTAGCCGAAAACCTGTAGTGCTGTTCAGACAAGGGGTTTCTTATGTTTCTGATTATACCTAAGGTACTGGTTCTGGTTCGAGGCCCAATGGTTTACAGGAGTTTAAGGTCATTGGTTCAGGAGACTATTTCTCATAAGATCAGACAGAGATGCTAAAGCTAGTAGTGGAGGGGGTCTGACTTTATTTGTTAACCAGAGATGGAGAAACTCTTCACACATAACTGTCAAGGAGAGGATGTGTTGTTTGGATATTGAACTGTTGGCAGTTGCACTTCAACCATATTATGTTCCAAGGGAGATCAATACTTTTATACATCCCACCCAAGGCAACGGCTGAAGTTCCATGTGATATTTTCCATGAAGCAGTTGCTAGGATACAGACTCAAGATAAGATGCGCTCTGAGGAAGGTAGAGGCCGTTCTAAAAAACATGGAGCGTCCACTTCATAACACCCTTATGGAACAAAAAAAATAAACAACGGTGGTGGACGGCTCCTCTCTCTTTGCTGCAGGATGGAAAGATTCATACGATCTTTTGTACCAACAATTATCAGACTTTTTAATTCTTCTATAAATATTAGATGAGATGAGATTCCAGATAAACAAATTTATCTTTAAGGGATTAATAAAGTTGTTGTATTGTGTCGTATAAATCTAAGTTTTGGACAAATGAATTTGAGCTGATGAAGACACCAGATGATTTCATAAATCACATGTTCACACTGCTCCAGGAAAATCCTTACTCTCGGGACTAATTTAGCCCGACAACTCATCAAATAGTTCAGTCTCACCTACTGCTATAGGACGCTACAAACCGGTGGACAAAAGGTAAATGCAATGACTGTGTTTTGAAAGGTCATGACTGTGATCGGGAAGAATAACAAGCTTCAAACCCATAACTTCTCACTATCAGAAAACTGACAAACATAAAAGGGGTTAACTGACAGTCTGTTTAACTGACAGTCTGTTTAAGTGAGAGTCTGTCTTAAAGGTTAAAGTTAATCATAGTAAACCTTCACTGGTCTGATAGATAAGACTGAGACTAGACTGTGATCTGAGCTCTTTAAGTAAATGTTATCATACATCAAGATAAAAGAATCAGCAGCATGGAGAGTTTTCATTGATGGGAAGCGAGAGTCCCGTTAAAAATGTACATGTCTGGGATTCAGTGGAGCCAAAAGCACAAATGAAGAATAACTCATAATAATGTAGCCGGAGATAAGAGTGAAATAGTGATGGAGACAAAAAGCTTCAACGGTCTTGAGTGTTTAACCAGATAAGTGATTTTCCTTCGGCTAAATTGAGGTTGACATTTACCTCCGACCAAACTGTTTCATTTTAAGAAGATTTATTCTGCAAATATTTTGAATCTACTTAACTTTTCCGTTTTCTCTAAAAGTCTGGATTAAACGGCCTCAAACGGATCGCTCAGATAACATCCTGCAGAGAGAATCCCTTAATCACTTTGTCTTCATGTCGCTGCCAAACCCTCCACCTGCACACACAAATACACACATGCATGCACACACAAACACTACACTGTCAGCTCTCAGCTAAGCGCAGGCGGCCCAGCCTTTCTGATCCCTGTATTAGATACAAGTAATGGCACGGGGACAAAGGTAATTCTTCTTCCTCTGCTTCTTCCAACTTGTCTTTCATCTTTCTTTCCTCCTCCTTCACAAACTCCCTGAAAAGGATGTATCTAGTTCCGAACACGCGTACCGGAAAAATACAACCCCACCGGGCACCTGAGCACAGACGGGAAGGGCTCCAATCAGCCCTTCTAAAAAGACCGACACCGGCCCCGGCCCATCTCTGGGGCCCGGTCCAGCACTGGACAGCGACATCCGCGGGCTTGAAACCACCTGATGAAGGACTTGGAGCGAGTTTAAAGGAGAGAGGACCGTGTAGATCACAATGGGATGAGGAAACTTGTAATGCAGCGTGTTCTGCTGTTCCCTTTAGCTGTCAACAACCACACTCAGAGGATAAATGCACACGAGGAGGAGGAGCCCAGAACCAGGTTTTAGAAAACAGAGCCATGTGTGAGCTATCCGTCAGTCTGGGCGTCGACCCTGGAGATGATCGGGAGTCGATGGGCGTGAAATATCAGCATGAAGAAAGTGACATAACTTCTCTGTGTTAGCGAACATGGACAACAACTTTGAATAAACACACCAAATTACTGTATTTTAATGCTCTAACTTTTCAATAATCTCACCTCATCAACTTGATATGACATCTAAAATCTAAACATGAAATGGAAAACTGTGTCCTACTGTGACAAAGCATCAGTCAATCAATCTTTATTTAAACAGTGCTGGTTCACAGCAAGACGCTTATCAAAAAACTTCCTTTGACTTCGGGTAGAACCCTCGAGCAGAACCAGACTCATGTAAGATAGTCATCTGCTGAGACTACACCTGGTTTAGAGAAGGAGGTGGACACAGGTGAGACTGATGCAGGTAGTTGAAGCAGCTGGAAAGCAGACAGGTCCATGTCCGCAGCAGCGATCCACATGAATCTACGGCATGACGGAGCTCATTAACTGATGCCTCTTCAGTTCTGATGGAGTTCAAATAAAAACTTTGCATACTTGTTGATGCTTAATATCCTGTTCTCCTCATCAGTGCTGGTATCAAGTGTCTGAATACTAAAGCAGGTCGACATCAGGAGGGTGTACCTCTGCTGAGCAGCTCATTCCAGTGTTTTCTTGTGTTCGTTCAGTTTGAGCTGATTGCTTACTTGTATTTCCCTCAAACATTTATGACGCTGCCCTCCGTTTGGAACTCAACAGTTTAACCAACAAATCTGAAAAAATGATTTCCCAAGATATGCAAAAGACAGGCAAACAGACAGACGGCAATTACTCCCTTAGTTAGGAGGCGAAGGGTTGTATGAGTTAGCGGTTACGTGGCTCGCTCTAAGGAGACCCAACAGCGATTGAGAGAAAAGAGTCTTTCACATATGGAACTTCTATGTGGTCGCTGCCGTCTCATTGAATATTTCAAACTGTCACTCACATACATGTTTTGCATATGGATATTGTTTTCCATTGTCTATTAGGAACAATTTTACAAATTAAACGGACGATGTTTGTATCTTGGGAATTTGACGTGCCCAGAAGATGATCAAGAGTGAAAGGGAGGGATTCGAACTGCGGTGGAAACTGGACGCCTATCAAATCTGGCTGTGCAGAAGTGGTAGGAGGATGGGAGGGGGGGACGGTAAGAACCCGTCAAGAAACACTCAATTAATCAAGCAAACTCCCACCGAGCAGAAAATATGACTGCCATCTGCTCTCCTACATGCAGGGGAGTGAGAGCCGGAGGTCGGGGGCCGGACAGATAATATGAAGAGAAGGAAAAGTTGCAGAGCTTTAGTCTCTGACGGGCTTGTTCGGAGGCCTGACCACAGATGGTGAATTTCACCACCGGGCCACCCAAGTGGAGCTCACACCGAGTTTGTGGGGGGATTTGAGGTAACAGGATGATGGAGAAGATACAGGAAAATCAAAATCGCAGCCCTGCGGGATCAAAGAGCTGTCATCAACAAAACCAATATGTTAATCAGCTGGGACTGTCACACACTTACCAAAGCGAGAGCGCCGACAGCCTTCTGGAGAGCATCAGCCAGAGTCGCAGCATGTGCAGATCCACCTGTGACAATACAGGCCGACCGCGACAGAGTGTCTGAAAGTTAAACATGTGACTGAGAACTTAGAAATGCAGAGAACTGACCGGTCAACACCTCCTGAGTTTATAAGCGTTTCCTCCCCACTATCAATACCCATCCAAGACAAACCAGGGATTTACTCTCAACATGGTTTGGTACAGGTTTGCTGTAGAGTGATCGTGCTCTCTCCACTGTCCTATCTGGGACTTCACTCAAAAGTAGGGGTGAGCGTTTCCATTGCAAATCTGGACTATGTTCCCATTTCTACACACTGTGCATTTAAAGCTAACCACTGAGATTTTGAAGTGTAAGTGTTGCAGGAAAGCTGCAACTTTTAAGTAGGGCTGGGCGACAAAACGAAAATTTACAGATACCAAAATTTAGGACAGTAACCAATGTTATTTTGCCCATGTCAGTTTATTCGGTGTCAAAAAAACTAAATAAAAGTTGGTTTTGGATGTTTTAGGTAGGCCATAGTCTCATGTCCCTTTAAGACGCTGTCCTACATCAGAGACGTGACTCCGCCCCATCTAGTCCGTAACAAAGAGGGAAAGACAGGTGAGGAGATGGAGGACGGTTCAAAAGTTGTAGCGGCTGAAGTAGACAAAGTTAATGTGGGAGGGGGTGTGCAGCTTGTGGAGTAGTTATCATCTATTTATTGTTACCGAAGTGAACTGATCAATATATTGTGATATTGATTTGAGGCCATATCGCCCAGCCCTATCCAAGGGAGTTCATTACTTATATACATCCCACCCAAGGCAACGGCTGAAGTTCCATGTAATGTTTTGTTTCCACATCCATCAGACATTTTAATATATCCCCTTGACAGTTATTTGTGAAGAGATATTTAAAATATCCCACAACTAACACAGGCGTGGAGTAATATGTAAAAGGTTTTCTTTGCAAGTCGCAAAGTCATTAGATCCCTCCACCAATTACTGCCTGTTTTCCACCCTTGACTTTGCATTTCCCCATCTTCTTCTTCTCCCTGCCCTCTTTCATGACTATGTGCACGCTATGCTGCTGCACATGCTCTTAGCTGCCAAAATTCAGACATTTTCAGACACTTTGTGACCTTTAATTCTGATAGTGTAATTTGAGACTTTAAGGTCCTGCAAACACTCATCAGTTCATCGCACTGACAGATGTGAGAACTTTCTTCCACTTCTTCTCAAAAACACACACAATGAATTCATTCATATCGGCGTCTCTGGGAATGATCGCTGCGCTCATTATGTCATCATTAAACAGGTAGTTGTTGGTCCAGGTGCTGGGAGAAATCCGTGGCTGTGTTTGTTTGCACTCTTCTGATCGTGATGTCCCCTTCTTGTCCTGACTTGCTCTCCGTAGTCCTCATTTATCAGACTCAACACTTCAAAGGACTCCTCTCTGAGAATACAGGAGGAGCTTTTCTGTCTGAGCTTTTTAACGTGAACCTGGCGCTCACACAGGGACAAAAACTCGTACGCTAACCTGTCTGAGGGGGACTTAAGCTCTCAGCCTTTCATACCCACATACCTACATTTATCTTCTTTTGTGTATACGTACCAGGGGACATGAAAAATCAATGATGCGTGGTATTTACAGGAAGTGATGGTATGTTAAATGCACAGTGTTGTAGACTTACCTTTGATAATGGACTCTGCAGCAGCCAGATCCCGTTTGTAGGTCACCTGCAGGACAGAATCACAGACTCTGAATCAATCAGTTAGAAAAAGTCCAGAGACATTTGACAGTTTTGGTGATTATAAGGGATCCACGTGAAAAAAAAACATAACCTGTTACTCCTGTTTATTCCTGAAGCTGAGTCATGTTCAGTCTGGGATGTACACAAGCATGAGTAAAAGATGTTTTTTGTCAGTATTTTGATCTTGACAAAGTTGTCCATAAACTTTGGTTAACTTGACTTCAGCAAACAGGGAGGACCAGTGGTGCTAACTCAGCTAAAACACAATCATCATAACAATTTGACATAATTTACCTGCAGATTTGTGATCCTTTATTTATCCATGTTAAACAAATTCTGCAATTTTAACTGTTTTCTAAGTTTCTTCTTACTTTTAGAGTACTTTAAAAATAAAAGTTCAAAATAATCAAGCAGCTCTTGTCTATTTAGCGTTATCAATTAATCTGAGGTTATTCATAAACTGTCAAAAGCTTCATTCGACTTCATCAAATCCAAAGCCATAATACCCAATCCTCCATCTGAGAAAGGTGGCATTAAAGCTCCTGTAAGGAACTTCTGATTTGTGCCAATTTTGGCGCCCCCTGTGGACAGACCAGTCGTAGCTTATCTTGTCTTCTGCATGTTTGAGTTGGGATTTTAGAGAAAAAAATTTCCTCCGCCTGGGAGAAAAATTTTCTCAAGATGTTAGCATCTTGTCTCCACTTCTGTTTGGCCATTGGCTACTTTTTTCCGACTTTGTAACTGAAACACTGATAACTCTGGTGTGACATCATTCCCAGCTCCAACTTCCGACTCCTGACGTAAATGAAACGCACCATTATCAATTTCAGCCCACGTCACAAACATCATGGGAACTTAAGGTGAAAAACATAAAATAATTTTATAATTTTTTATGTTTAGTGCAAATGCTGTGGAGCTCTAGTTAAAAAAAAAAACAAATAAACGAACCCTGAATATTCCTGTAAAAGACTTTTACTCTGCAGTGCAGCTTTAATTCTTTAGTCTATCATTTGACAGTTTTTAGGCGGCCGTGAGACGAAAACAGCAAACTCACACAAGAAAAGGGACATTTAATTCCTGTGGCTCCAAAGATCCAGGAACCTGTCTGGTCCAGAATGAGCTTTGCTTTAAAAAAAAAAAAACCTTCATTAACTTATTTGCTCATAAATAAAGAGACACGCTGGATTTATGTATCGTAAGCAAAAGGTCGGGTTACTGAGGCATTGTCTCTGACAGACGAGTCAAACGTTGACTAAAGGTCGTTCTTGAAGTCTTTGAACAAACAAATCAAATTCTTTCCAGATTCAGTCCCTCGGGGTGGAGACAGAACCAAACCACAGCCATCTTTATGGAAAGATAATACTTCATCTGACTGAAAAAAAGAGGCATTCGGTAATTTAGGTGAACCCAAGTTACACAATCTGACGCAGGGTTAAGTACCGAACATCTAGAAAAGCTTCTACACGCTAATCCTGGATGTCACATTCAATATATTTGTGCTTCTTATTTGCCAGCCAACCTCATTTCCAGCTGATGAGCTCTCTCTGTGCCCATATGATAAATCTGCTGCTGGCAAAGCGCTGCAGGAGTCAGAATGTCACCGAATCCACAACCTTAAACCCAAACTAGGCCTCTGGCGAGCTCACCTTCCACAGCGTTGGCGGTCCCTGGATGAGCTTGGCGTTGGTGCCACAGTACTGGAGAGCCAGATGGAGACACTCGGTGCCAAACTCAAAGTCGGACTCGGTGCACTGCAGAAAGGGACACAGCGGAGAGGAAAGTCCATCACACTGGATGCACTTCGACAAAGTGCAAAGTCATTCTGAACAAAGTAGAGGTTTAAGGTTAAAAGCTTCACTTTAAAGTGCAAATTAATGCAGATTTGAGACTTTTAAGGGGATGTAATGTCAAAATAATCAAACACAGACGTGCTCGAGATAAAAAAACAAGTGTCCCAACAGAGAAAAGAAAGGTTTAGGAGCAGAACTTCAAACGTGGGATCTACGATATTCAGAAAAAATCATGAGAACCGGAGAGTTGAGTGATCTCTGCGCCAAAACGTTGTCAAAATGGAATAGTCTGTCCAGACTAGAGCAGATTAGTGTCACTTAAACTTGACAGGAATCATCCTCTGGGGATCATGAATATCCAAAACAAATCTCACAGATTTCTGGCCAGTGGTTGTTTGTGTTTTAGCTCAACAGCGAAGCTTTCAGAGGACTGATGGGAATCCAAACATGGACATCCTTCAGCTCCTTCACAAGGGGCCGAAAATGTCCGCACGGTGTGGAATAATAAAAGCTTTAATGTTCATTCTGGCATGAAGCGATGTCGGAAAACTGAAGTTAAGAACCGTCTTTGCACTTTTTCCCGAAAGAGTTTGTTTTTGTTTTCAGAGTTAGTCGGGCCTGCTGTGGACGCTCTGATTTACCACGTGTCGGAGAAGAGTCTCCTTCTATCCAGGCATTCCTGAGATGATTCAGTTCTGACCAACACACAGTTGTCTCTTTGACTCTTCTTCTTCCTCAACTATCAGCGAGTATTTCACCAGAGTATCTGATGCATTTATAACAGCGTCTGAACCGTGATCAGAGCTGAGACACAAGCTCGTGATGCTGCCGTCACCACATTTTTCAGCAGACACTTCAGATGATCATGTTTTCGTTGGCTGATGAAATCTTGGCCCTGCAAAGCTCTCATCTTTCTAAATTAGGAACTCTGGTTTCATCTGGTCAGCAGCAATTTTTCCCATAATGTTGTGAAAGATTTGAAGGGCTCTGTTGTCAAACTGGGGATGATGCACATGCTGTTTTTCATGCACTTGCAAAAAGAGAAAATCAATATTGTAGCGCATGTTTTTGTTTACAGCTGTTTCATGTTTACTTCATTACATGGGATCTAACTTAAAGGAAATGCAACAAAAACACATCTGACGCTTGTATCTGCTTTAAAGAAACAGCTTTCGTGAATCTGTTTGCTGTTACACAAAAACATGCGTGACTGCGGCTGAAAATTCAGCAAAAAGGTTGAAGGTCCAGGTCTGCAAAAAATCTATTGATTATCCTTTTCAAAGAGAAATTAATAGCTGAAGGTTAGGCAACAAACTGGAGACAAACCTGTCCTGACAGAAAAGCACAGACCAACCCAGAGTACACGAAAACGGAGCCAAGAGAAATCAGGAGTCTTAATGAGCTTTTCAGATCTGGACTGATTTCAAAAGAGGGCAAACGTGACGAGCATGTAAACGCTCATGGTAAAAGCTGTTCGTGAAGATCTTGTGTTTACTGGATGTTAAAGAACTCCACTGAACTTCAACACCAAACATGAGCCACACTCAGAGGACAGAGGTCGTATAACTTCATATCTGATGGAGCATCAACAAGTTAAACATCCGATGATGATGTTCCTGAAAGTGGAGGAAGATGTCAGCGATGCTGCAGCTCTGAAACAGCAATAGGTAGATTTTAGTTCAGCTTAAGGAGGAGAAGAAAACAAGGCAGAAAGATGCTGCTCACTGTTGAGTGTTGAAGTCTTCCTGCTGAAGAGCTTTAAAAAGTACCGACACCAGTTACAAGAGAAGCATCTAAGGTGACTTTTAGACTTTTACAGAAGACAAGAACACGGTCAGAGTCGGTGTCTGTATTCAAGGTTTGGATGGTGTGTTAGTGTGTTATAAAAAAGTTTGGAGAGACTCTGACATAATTGGAAAATTTTTATTTACAGCATTGAGCGTGTGCAAAGACGGCAGGCTTCTAGTTCGGATAGGTCTACAAGGATACCTCTATTCTACTCAGAGTTATTAAACATCGGGCTACATTCAATATAACCATATATTGAGCAGTTCACATCTTATCTACTATTTGGAGAAGAATTTAAAAAGTCTGATGGATGTGGGAAGAAAACATTACATGGAACTTCAACCATTGCCTTGGGAGGGATGAAAATAAGTAATGAACTGCCTTGGATAGGGCTGGGCGATACGGCCTCAAATCTATATCACGATATATTGATCAGTTCACCTCGATAACGATAAATGGACGATAACTACTCCACAAGCTGCTCACCCCCTCCCACATTACCTTCGTCTACTTCAGCCGCTACAACTTTTGAACCGTCCTCCATCTCCTCATCTGTCTTTCCCTCTTTGTTACGACTGGATGGAGTGGAGTCACGTCTGCGACGTTGAACGGCATCTTAAATGGACATGAGACCATAGCCTACCTACACGCATCCGAAACCATTTTTTATTTATTTATTTATTTATTTTGACACCACATGGGTAAAATGACGTCGGTTATTATCATAAATTTTGGTATTGGTAAATTTTCAGTTTATTGCCCAGCCCTAATTAAACATATCACGCTCTACAGTCTGTGATTCCCCCCCATCTCAAAGAATTAAGGGTGTTGTTTAATGCTTGCTCCAGTAGACGCATGCGCACATTGTTTAGAAATTTCTACATATCAATTACCTTTTTTATACATCACAAAATACAAAATCAGAGTTGCATTAGTAAAAAAAGTTTTCAAAAAGGCACCTTCTCTCTCTCTCTAAAGGAGGATTAGACACATTTTTCGTTCCCGAGGGGAAACCTTTTCTGGACTTCATCCAACTGCAGTTTCAAACGATTTCTCTCCTCTGACTCTAAGCTGGGAAAACTCTGTTTGTGTCGATCACATGAAGTTTTGGGTGAAGGCGATGAGCTCATGTGAGTTAAAAACACTCCGGACTACAAAGACGACCTGCTGCTACCTGAGATTATACCTGGGTAATATTTTATCAACCTATAAAAGAGGTGCGGGTCTTTTATTCAAGGACCCTGAACATTAGAGAGAAATTACAGCAGAAACGCGCTCTCTCTCGCTCTGAGGTAATTCAACCTTCAGCGTTTTCTCCCGGTACAAAAGCTTCCACAGGGGACTGGATAAAGTGTCTCCCCCTTTTGTCTTTTCAGCCCTAAGTTCTTCTGCTCTCAATGCATGTCAGGCTACAAATGTGCAGCTCTCAAGAGATTTTTCACGAGCATGTCCTACAGTGCTAACCTGACACTTTCCCAATCTTTTGAAAGGCTGGAGAAGAGGAGGAGAACAACAGGAGGAGAGAGGGGGACACAACCCCAACCTTCTCCTTCTCCAGCGACCTCCCAAGTTTGTCCTAATTTTTTTTTGCGACTTAACTGGCCCTGACACCGCCGCATAAATGTGAGCTCATTTTCTGAAAGGCCAACAGGAAAGCCAAGCAGGGCTCTCGGAGCAATCTGAGGGTTCATCGGTGCCAGGAATAAAAATAACTGCAGACAAACAGGGCTCCAACTGGAGGAATATTTCCGCGCTTAGCTCAAAGTTTTGCGTGTCCTTCAGAAAACCTGGCGATCTGAGGGCCTGTCTGATGGAGTCAAAGTTGAGAGTGGCTGAAAAATAAATACAGTCAATAACTTCAGCTCAGATTCCCCGTTAGTGTGACTAAGACGATCCTGCCAGGTCTTAAAGACTCGCACACTTGAAGAAATCTTTCCATCTTTCAGGTGTGCATATTAAAAAGCACTCAGCTGCTCCGACTGTTAATCTGCATCCACCTAAATGTGCCATGCTATGTCAACGCTCCTTCACCATTTTCCAGCGGGGCTTTTGTTCACTTTTGTTCCACAGAATAATCCGCAGCGGAGCGGCAGAATATATTAACGTGTCATTTCTTTCCCAGACGCCGCAGAGGCTGAGTGAAAGTGATAGCACCCATGCCACCGGCTCCTCGCGGCCACAGCCTGCAGGTTCTGGCACATCAGCTGAACAATGAGCGCCTGTTATGATGTATGAGAATCAGAAAGTCTTTTGTCATCTAAGTGCTGTAATTTTTTAGAGCATAAATCTCAATCTGACTGTCGTTTTTTAAGATTTGAGAGATTTTTCTGGGCTGTTATTCAACCTTTAAAGTATGCAGCGCTCTCCTGCAGGACGAGATCTTTCCATCCTGTCATGTTAGGTGTGACTCTGACAAATGTGACCAGTGTGGATATCTCTCTGTGGGTTGCATGAGCTCCTGATGAACCCTGAAAGTGTGCAAAGGAGTCAAGAGTGCAGCCACGTTTCTTCAGGCAGGTCTCTTCTCTGCTGTTTTGCAGCATCTTGTTTTAAAGGTGCAGCACGTAGAATTTAGCAACACTCAAGAGACTCAATCAAATATAATAGTATATGTTTAAATTAGTTTATAATCATTTGAAATTAGAACGGTTCTGGTTTTCTGGCATACTAGGGGTGTCCTGATACACCTTTTTTACTTCTGATACAGTACCGATAGTGTTCAGTATCGGCCGATACCGATATTGATCCGATATTGGCACAAACTTGTCCATGACAAGTTTTGCACCAAACTGCCATGTCATTTTTGGACTTATACAAAAAATGCTGCCACACAGCCGACATCACTCCTGCTCCTTGCTACTTTGTTAGTGCCTTAGTACACACTCTTGTTGTGATCACGTGGACTCTGCATGGTGGATCAGGGTGCTGCTAGATAGAGGTGCCGGAGTGGAGTCTGGAATGGACTGCTTGTATCAGACTGCTGATATCGGAGATTTTAGATGCAGGCTGATATAATCCGATATTCTTTTTTTTGTGCGAGTGACATCTAAAAAACACACTAAGAAGTTACCCTCTGATAGGCTTGATAGATGACATCAAATGTGAACCCCTGGGGCATCTCGCTGGCTCTGTACTTGGCTCGCTCCAGAGAGTGATCCAGGTAACCCTCCGCAGTGGTGGCGATCACCGTGGAAACAAGTGGGCGGATAGCTCCAGCTGCCTGTATGAGAGAAAAACAGGATTCAGGATTACGTCTTTTATTAGCTGCTGATGAAACAGTTCATTTACTTTTTTTATAGCATGTTTTTCCACAAAATCTGACAACAATCTACCTTTGCTAGCTGAGCCCACAAAATCACAACAACAGTGTGTACAAAGGTACTAACAAAGTGGCAAGGAGTAGGAGTGATGTCAGCTGTGTGGCAGCATTTTTGGTATAAGTCCAAAAAAGACATTGCAGCTGAGTGCAAAACTTGTCATGAACAAGTTTGTGCCAATATTGGATCAATATCAGTAAATACTGAAGGCTACAATAACGGTATCGTATCAGAAGTCAAAAAGTTGTATCGGGACAACCCTGGACCGAACTATATTGGTAGAAATGCGTTCATGCACCCGGCTTTCTGGGAAGAAATGCGCAGCCGCACTCCCGGATTGGAAGGTTGAGATGTGTACAATCTGTCCTGGTTTAAATGGGTTAAATGAGTGAATGCAGATGCCCAAAGAGTCAATACAGGACACGATTCATAGCCTAAATTGCCACACAGTAACTTGATGTTTTTCTGTATAAATGTGCTTCAATGCACTCAAAGTCAAGGACAGGAAACCATTGCAAGAAACAGTTTTACAACACAGAGAGAAAAAATGACGGAATAAGAGAAAACAGAGTTGCTGGCGAGTTCATAAATCAGAGTGTCACATTCACGGTTTGCTGTTTGTTGTTGCAAGAAAATGTCCTTACTGGCAGCTGGGGAACTTGTCCACTGGCTGACACTGAAACCAGCGCCGTTGTTACAGTCCGCGCCAAATGGTGACATTTCTTTTCACGCTGGATGTCGAATGTAGATGAAAACTATTAAACTCTGCTGTGTTTTATTAGCCTTAAAGAGTCATAACAACAAGCAGAGCCATGACACATAAATAAGGACTGCATGATGATGTTAAAAAAGCAAACAACTGCAGCTTGAGTTCAACTTTTTTTGATTTTATAGGGTCTTTGCATGATTTTAAGGAGAGAAATTGCACTGAGTCGTACACAGATTACTAATAAATCCACAAATCTGAGTGAGCGTGTTGGAAATAAAAGGAAAGCAAACATATGTCCTGCGTGTTACACATGCTATTAGGATCTAAATTATCTGCTGCCTCTTCGAACAGACAGGCCTTCTGCCGTGACCGTGGATACCCGCAGGATAATGAAGACCAGACCGCCTGCTGTGAGAGTTCATCACGAAGCAAACACACACACCCACTACTTCATAAACGCTGGCCTCACGTCAGGAAGCTCTTGCTTCTTTCACGACCTGTGCGACCCGCATCCATTCAGCGGAGACTGTTTCTGTCGCGGCAGCTGTGACTTCAGCCTGAATGTTTTCCATCAATCTCTGATCAAATAAACGCGAACACCAGGAGCGAGGGATCTGTCAGTTTGATAAACAGTTTATGAAAAGATGGACAGAGCTGGTGTGCAAAGGGGAAAAGAGAAAGAAGTGTTTGTCGACTCTGGCCTGAAACAGAACGGAAAACTTGACTGTGTTTTATTTTAAGCATTTGTTTTCGTTCACACTGCACGGTAAAGAGGGAACCGCAGGCCACACACACATTAGTCACATTCTGCTTTTGGGAACCTGTCATCCAAGCAGGTGAAAGCTGACTGTGATGGATCTGTTAACAGTCTGTGCTGTGATGGGACTCTGAAAAGGACGGGATGAGCTAGATTTAATAAACTCACTTTCCTGGATGAGAAACTGGCTTTTTTTTAAGCTGTTCCCTCTATTAGTGAGAGGATTATGATCTGCAGTCCTTTTAAAAAAAACACACACATTACTGACTTTATTTGTTACCAGAAACAAAACAATAAAAACTATAAACATCTTAATGTCATAAGTATAAAGTGGAGCTTTGGAAATCACTTTTACTTTTTCCATTTTTAAGTTTTAAGTCTTGGAAACCAGGCCGACCGGGCAGGATGACTCGAACGCTTGCAGAGCAAAAGCCCCATTTACAAATGACTGAATCACTCTGACTGGTTTATTCTATTGCAAAAACAAGCATCTTATTATCCTTAGATACAGCCACTACAAGGACTCTGGTCTTTACACAGTTTTCAGGATATGAGGACTGACACGTAAAGTGATGAACAATAATTATCTTGTTCATCAGGCTCGCATGCAGGTGTGAGCAGCTTTGATAAGAGGTAAAACTGCAGCTCTTGTCGGTCCAAGTCCAACCTAAAAAGATTCCACCTTGCAACATCCAGGACTAACGGATCAATAGATATCCTGGTGCCAGATACCACAACACACCTTAAAAGGTCTTGTGGAGTCAAGGTCTTAATGGGTCAGGACTGATTTGGACTGAACTGATGAAAGGAGGCCTGCATCATATCAGGCAGGTGGTCATAATGTTACGGATTAGGGTTGATAGATTTGGTGGAGTTAAGTCAACAAGAAAATCCCCATTTTATCGTAATAACCACTTTTATCTGAATTAAACTCACCCCTTGTTCCTTGGCAGCCATGGCGATCTTGTACAGAAAGTCCTCCTCCACAAAAGGCCGCACTGCATCATGGATGATGACCACCTTTGGTCTGTCTATGGCTGCCGTCTCCCCCTCTCCCTCTCCTCCTAGTGCCAGGACCCCGTTACATATGGATCTGTGACGAGTCGACCCGCCTGGCACCACTCTAACTTTCTTGTGCTGGAAACGCTGGATGATGTCCGTCATCAGGTCCATGTTTTCTTTGGCAACGACGACCACAATGCTCTGGATCCATGACACCCTGCAAGAACACAGCAGCTGCTCAGGAATGTCTGTTTTGTCATGAGAGAACCAGATTCAGTCAAGATAACATTGCTAGTTTTTTAATGACAGAGGTGATTTAAGATTCCTTTAAAGGGATATTACGGCATAAAATTAATTTAGGATCAAACACACTGTGACACTGAGTTAGATCATGGTGATTATTACTTCAAGGAAATGATAAAGAAAATGTTCTTCCTTGAGCTGCTTCACTCCGCTGTAGTCCGTAATGGACTGGCCTGAGGTCTCACTACAAACAAGCGGCTGCTGGAGGAGAGTAGGTGAGTTGTGTTTAGTCTCTTTGCTAAAGAAATAAGGCAAAGTTAAAATGATATTTGGTGGCTAGGACCCTACATGTACTGTTGATTAAGTTATGTGCTGTTCTGAGTATTATTTGTGGCTATAGAGTGGCGTTTTGGTTGAGGTTTGTTTATGGCTCCTCAGACTGCTGTGTATTGCTATCGTGCGGTTGTTACTAAAGTTGGTATAGATAGAGAAGAAAGCGGTCGGCAACATTCATCTCCCGGGGGGGTGTCTAACTGTGTGTTATGGTGTGTTTGACCCTAAATTAGTTTTACACTGGAATATCCCTTTGAGGACCACTTTAAAACAAATTACCCATCACCTTATTTGTACATTTAAAAATCAGCCCCATAGAAATAAGCAGGGAAACAGTGACACAGTTCCCTAGTGTGGAGAAAGTACTGTGACAACCAACCCTGGTCTCCCCTACTTGAATGAGCATCCTACACACACTCACAGTGAGGAGCTGGAAGTACTCACTGTGTTCATCAATACACTCCTTTACTGACACATATCATGACATTTTAGTCTTTTTAAAAGTCACTTTCTTCCTACCTCTCGAAAGCCTGGACGGTGTAGCTTATAAGAGGCCGACCGAGAAACGTGCAGAACTGTTTCGGTGTCTGCAGCCCGGTTCTCTCTCCGGTTCCTCCGGCGGGGAGAACCACAGACACCGGGAAGTCTACCGCCCGCGCGCGGTCGCTCTTCCCGGCTTCGTCGGTTAGGAAAATCCGTGGATGAGCGGGCCTGTCCGGGTCACAGTCATCGGTCTGCATGTTTATTTGGTTAAACTCCATAAAGTCGTGAATGGAGGGGTGTGGGGGGTCACGATGGGCTCTTTTGAGACCTGTTCATTCTCAGCTAAGAGGAGGGGTGGTAACCTGCCGGTATATGCATATCCAAACACGAGCTGCAGCTGTCTGTCAAGATAGAACCGTTACATAGCGTACTTCCGGCGGACGCTTTCAAAATAAACAACCCTGTTTTAGTCGGGCTTTACTACAAAAGAAACACACTACAAAGCTCTTAATTTGTAACCTGACTGGAGGGAAGCTGTCTCTTATTTGTGTTGTATGACTTTTGAGAAATACCATTGAAAATCTTAAAGGTATTACAGCTGTGCTAAATACTTGACTGTGATTGGTCAATATTCATTAGCAACGGTCTGTTATTTTTTCATAAAAGAGGATGATGTAAAACAAAGTATGATAGAGCACTAAAAAGGGAAATCAAGTTATTACAATAATCTTATGTTCTAGATATATTGTTTTAGGTAGCTGACTTTTACTTTCAACTTACTTTTTTTCAACACATTACAAAAGATAGCCCAGTTTCATTAGTAACCAGCTGTGTTTGACCTTAACACCTAAAATATTGGCTTGATTTAAGCTGCCCAACCTCCATAGATTCATTTTCTCATAGTAGTGATGACAAATAAAGAGAAATCTCCAAGGACTACAACATGTCTGATAAAAAGTTATATTTATTTCATACAAAGTTATTACAAAAAACAATCGATGACAAAGCTTTTCTAGATTTCACCCAACATGCTGATGCAGTTTAAGCAAAACTTATTTTACAAGTTGCACAGGAAATATATTACATCATACATCATAAATTTTACATGATAAGTCTTTATACACATGGCAATAGTTTAAAAGACAAGTAGGAATTTAGTATGTACAAGTATTTACAGAGAAGTTTTTCAAGATATTTGGTGCTGACTGGTGTTGGTGTCTTAAAATTAAATTCAGATCCCCATCTGTGTATAAAATTGATGTACAATGCATGCTTGTGGCTACATCTGGGGAAAGTGGGTTTGGTTTTGGTTCAAGAACGAACTCTGCTCTGTTAGCTCTGTGAACAAACACCTCAGTTTGTTCACAATATCTTTGAAACATAGATTCAAATGTTACGAAAAGTCCACGGCAGGCTTTTCAGAGTTCTCCAGCTTTGTGAGGAGCCAGCTTCACCTTTATTCAATCCCAGTCACACTCAGAGATAATCCACAAACTCTGGTTGTTGAGACTCAATCCCACCCAGATAAAAACTCCTGTAGGTTTATGTGGAATCAGAGTCTGCATGCCTGTCTGCCATCAGGGTTCAGGCTCGTGCCAGTTTTCACTCAGTCGGTTCTTCCCAAGCCTCCTCTTGCTTTTGGGCTTGTGTCTGTGCAGAAGCTGCGGCTGAGCTACTGACGGCTCCTCAAACTTGTTCCCAGATTCGTTGTGCTGCCTCGAGTACCTCTTACATTTGCAGGAGGTGACCACAGTGATCTTGTACGTCCTGGTGCTGCCGTCCTGGCACTGCAACTGGATGCGCTGGGTGCGGGTCTTGTCGTTGACACATCGCCATTCCTGGCTGTTGCTGCTGCTCCGGCGACCCCAGTGCTTCCTGCTGTAAGAGCCACCAATCCAGTTCTGAAGCATCTGAGCTGGGAGGCACTCACCGGTGCACACCAGCTCCTTGATGGGGTTGATGCTGGTGCAGTGGCCGTCAGAGATGTACTTGGTGGATCTCAGCTCTCTGCATCCAATTTGACTTCGTTCTGTGGAGAGACACAATAAAAAAAGAGTGAGACAGGAAAATCTAACAAAGTAAATCTGAAAAAGACTTAGACATGTCTGAGAGTGCAAATTTCCCATCGTACTGAAATGACCATGACAGGATAATGGTTTAAAAGCTGTGTGGGAGTAAAACAGGGCCAAAATGTTGTCCCCTTATCTTTGGCTTTATTTATGCTGATTGATTGGGATCTTGTGCAACAAAGATTATACACAACATCTGTTGTTTGTTGTCTTCCATGTCTCCCTTTGGGTTTTTTTTTTCCACCTTATTATTGTGAAGGCAGTTAAGCATTTGCAGCATTCAAATCCAAAACAAATTTCTCCAAAGGGGTAATAAAATGTGTCCTGTTGCATATTATCATATTTTTTTGCAATGTATTATATTGTATCATGTTGTGTCATATCATGTCCTATCTTGTTTGTCTTGTCTTGCTGTATCATATAAAACTGTGTTGTATAATATCATATTTTATCATATTGTGTTGTGTCTTGTCCAATCATATCATGTCTTGTTTCATATCTTATCATACTGCATCATGTCATATTGAAACATGTTATATTATATAATATTGTGTCTTGTTGGATTGTTTTGGATCATGTCTTGTTGTATCATATCTTATCATATTGTATCATGTCATATATTGTGTCAGATTACATTGTTTCATATCATACTGTATTATATGATATGGTATGGTATCATATCATATTGTAATGTGTCATAGTGTAACATGTCATATCATGTTGTGAAGTGTCCCACATGTCCCGTCTTATTGTATTGTCTTGTGTCTTATTGTATCATATTGTAATTTAACGTATCTTATTTTATAACGTCATTGCATATTATATCATATGGAATTGTATCTAATTATACGGTTTAATATCGTATTCTTTAGTATTGTGCTTTATCAAATTTGTTGAGTTGTGTCCTGTCATGTCATACTTTTATGTGTCATCATATTGTGTCATATACTATCATATCATATTAGTTGTGTAGTATCAGATTGTATCTCATGTTGGTGTTGTATTGTATTAAATCATATCATACAGCAAACTTCTAAGCTGGGTCCTAAATTTCACCACTAGATGACACAAACATGGATTTTTAAAAGCCTTATTTTTGTCTGTTTTAAAGATATTAAACATATTAACCAATTATAGTGTCTGCCACAGCTGTGATGTTCTGCTTCATGAGCTGCAGGTCAATTTCTGCTGGAAACTATGTGATGGCACATTACTAAAACACCTCAGACATTGTTTTTTTGCATCACCTGCAATTAAAAAGGTTTTACATAGTCACAGATTGGCAAACTTGTTCACCTGTACCGATATCTTTGTTATATGTCCGATCACTTCTGGATGACTTTTGTCAGAAAATGTCAGAAAATAGTATCACCACAGGGTGTTTTATCTGCCAAAAAAAGCAAAATTTCACATTTGAAAGGCTGATTTGACAGAAAGTTTTAGATTTTCAACTCAAAAGTGAATTTTTTTTCATATGTTGTATGACTAACCTACCCCATGCAGTTCCATCGTCAGTCTTACTTCTCTTACCGATCTCTTTTAAGGGTTAGAATACGATAATGGAGGATTACTGCTGAGTGCTTCACTCTGTACATCATATTGTTTACAGGCCCCTTCGTAGCCTGTGGGGAGTCACAGGGACAGAGCACAAAGGTATGTTGGCCTTTCTGCTCAACAGTTGAGGTATTACAGGATTGGAAAAAGAAAAAAAACACAATTTTAGTTCTACCTTTCAGGGATTTGCAGCGGTATTATTCTGCTGCAGGCTACACACACAGCACCCCACTCTCCCCTCCATCACTGTAACCTAAGCTCACGTCCATTCATACAGATCCATACACCTCAGAGACAAAGCCCGCTACTCCTCTGTGACGGAGTTTGATGAATGAACAGGAGTGATTTTCTCTTAATCCCACTCCTCCTCCTTCTTCATGGTCTGCTGCTGGCAGAGCTACAAAATGCGATCAGAGGCTTCCTGTCTGTGTGCTCGTCCCTGACTGGACAGGAGCCAGCCAGGTGTGGGTTGGACTGAGCGTTGGCTCGGCTCAATGTGGGTTAACAGTCTCTATAACGACGGCAGAACCACTCAATCCCAGAGGTCATACGTTATGACGAGAAGATGTGAGATGTTTATAACAGTCCTAAAGTACTGAAACCACACTGTGCAGTCTCTTTGCATGGTTCACCATGAATTTTAATAAGCTTTATGATGTTTCTACCTGCTGCTCTACAGCTAGGACAGTTTGTAAAGCCAAGCACTTTATGCAAATAGCACAGTAAGCTATTCAGAGTGCTTTGGAGACTCATGCTTTCTATTCTCTCTTACTTAATCTGTTACTGATTAGACATGATAATGGGATTAAGGGTCTGAATTGGTTCTTTAAGGTGGAGATGTGAAACACAAAAGAGGATGTTCAATCATTGAATTTGTAGATTAGATTAGATTAGATTAGATTAGATTGCAGTATCAATGGCTGTTTGCACCTCTACAGGACAAAGATAGAGGATGACTGAATAGGAAAGGAAATTGAAACTGCTTTCAGTAAATGCAATTTTTGCCATTTTTGCTCTCCCCTCATGCCCAGTAGCTTAAATATGAAGTAGGTTATGGGGCTAAACTAACAGTCAGTGAATAACTTTGCACAAATAAAGTATTTCAAGAAGGGATTAATCACCTAAATCAGTTTTCAGCTCTGCAAGAACCAAAACAAACAACTTTTTAAGCCTTTTTTCATCATTACTGCAGACTGAACACCTTTAGATTTTGAATCACATCAAACTCTAGTTTTAGGAAATGATTGTGAGACTTTTACAAAGTTTTAAATGGGTCCAAAAAGCTGATTGGTTCACCATGAAGTTCTGCATGTGGTCATTTTCCCTCTTAGGTCATACTGCATCCTTGGCACAAGTGTTAAATAACCAATCAGGATTAACCTCTGACCTGAAACTGTTTAAATATTCAGGTAGTGGCACACCAAAACCTGTTTTTTTTTTTTTTTTAACCCTGAGGACCATAAAAACGCTAAAATCAGTGTGACAGAGAAAATGCCAGAGTCCTCCACGCTGCCTAACTCACCTCCTCTCTCGTGCGCAGCGCTGCTCGCTCCTCTCCCACCGTTCCTCGCGCGGTTCAGGGTCACATTACTCTGGATCTCCGGTACCGGCACGCTCACATGAGAGAAGAGCAGCTCCGTGGCGTCATTCTTCAGAGACTGGCAGCTCCTCACGAGGATAAAAAGGACCAGCAGGGAATGGCACGCGTCGTACGCGCTCAGGTGCATGTTTGTGTCAGGGTGCGAGGGGGGGAGTGTGGAGGGAGGTGTAGATCCGAGCGGTCACAGGCTGATGCTGGGAGGACAACCAGTGGGACCCTGACTTTATAGAGGAGGCCCGCCTCTCGCTTTGGCAGCTACTCAGGTGCGTTTCAGTTGCAAGGCTGTGATTGGTCATCCCAAATCTGAGCTCGTAATATAACCACGCCCACTATTATATCTTCATGTTTCTCATACAGCAGAGAGGACTTAGAGCTGAACTTCTACTTCATAAACCCAGACTTAGTTGTGTTTGAAACATGGGTAATGATGAATATTATGATGTAAATGATGGTGATGTTAATGAGAAATGAGAAAATGTGATAAATGTTTGGAGATGATGATAATGATGCAGAAGACAATGATAAAATGATAGAAATGTATATGATGATAATGATTGTGTTGACGATGATGTTGAAAACAATGGCAATAATGATTATATAATTGTTTTTAACATTGTCAATGATGATTTGTTTTTTTTTTTTAAATTGGTGACCAAGTTGATGGTGATAATGATAAAACAGATAAAGAGGACTTTAATGATGAGAATGATATTGGTGATATTATTGATGTTAATGGGGATGATGATGTGGTTATGATAACGATGGTAATGATAATGATTATGATAAAAATGATGATGATTTTGATGACAGTGATAGAAAAGGACTTTGATGATGATCAGGTTGTTGATAATGATAATATTAATGTTGATGGGGATGAGGATATGATAATGATAATGATAATAATGATGATGATGATGATGATGATGATGATGATGAAGAGGACTTTGATGATATTTAGGTTGTTGATAATAAGATAATAAGAATGATGACGAGTTACAGTGATAATGGTAATAATGACATCTAGGACGCTGTCATTTATAAGGATAATCTTGATGTTTGTTCTGTTTATGATAATGGTGATAATCACATGGATTACAACAACCTTAAAATAGAAATAAAAAAACACGTTATTTCTGGGCTTTCATGCCTTAATTTAGCAGGACAGCAGGAGGAGGAGTTAAGAGAGACATACAGGAGAGGAACCACAGGCAGGAACCAAACCCTGACCACCAGCAGAACCTGCATAACTAAAATTTGATGATTATGGTGATGATAGTTTTATCAGGGGAGTGAGGTGAAGTAGAGTCTTAGATTCTTTACACCCACTAAACAAAGTTAAAGTACAAAGTGCAAACACGGCACACTACACTCAAGAGTGAACAAGGTGGAGAGGTTTCCAAATGAATCAGGGCTTGGTCTAGATAAAGTTGTGACAATCCTCTTGGACTGAGTTACAGCTCAACAATACCGGAACAAGTGTTAGTTTAGGCAATCAAAATATAATAAAACAAACAAACCGAACAAAGACTCTGCTGTAAAGCTAACCGGCTCACCCTGCTGCGTTATCTTAACATGCAAGTACAGATCAGAAGAAGTTTATGTGATTGTTAAGAGAAGGTTTTTCTGGGAGTTCAGACTTGATCCCTGGTCGGCTTAAGGTCATGGTCTGCTTTATATTTAAGTGATCTAAATGCAGCAGCAGACAAACTTTTCATTAGACTTACACAGTGTTTCAGTGTCTTCCAGAAAAAAAAGGTTCTTTAATGACTTTAGGATCTTTCATTGAGAAAATATGATCAAAATGTAAAATAACAACAAAGATCTGAGTCCACATTCATCCTGATTTGGCTTCTGAACACAGAGTTTAAAATGAAATTTTAACGCAGTAAAAGACTTAATTTATGCTGGCTGTAGTTTGGTAGAATAACATTTCCATGAAACTGCTGTTTACCTCGGCTGGATCCTGTTGTGATGCTTTTTCTTCATAAACAACCTTACTGCGGCTTCCTTCTCACCACGGAAAGTTGAGTTTGGTTTGTTTAATGTTCGGTTTTAACCGCGCTATCATTCCCGCTCCTTTAATTCTCCTGGTTTTCATATGTAGACTTTTATAGCTGGAGCTGCACGAAGGAGAAGAACGGAATTTGGAGTTTAAATCCTTGAATTAATCAGTTTATTTGAGGGTTAGTGAATAAAAAGGTTGTAAATGGTCCAACTTTTAAAGCAAAGCTGCTGCAGGCAGAGACGAAGAAGGTACGGAAAGCAGAATGAGAGATGACAACCTTTCTGTGTCTGTTTTGTGTTTCTGTCACCTTCTGTTTTGCAAAATCATAACATTTTCTTCTCAGATAAAAATCCAAAATGAGCAAATATGGACTAATTTGTGGTGCAATAAATGTTTTTATACAAATAAGATGCAATTCTATTGTATTGACACCAGCAAACTAAATGATAGTTGGGGTTTAAACAAAAGAGAGACCACAATATAATATCCTGATACACTCTGACAATAACTGTGACTTAAAGCTCCAATGAGAAGTTTTTTTATGTTTCTGAAAAAGGCTGAAATTCAGATTGATGTCTTTTGATGATGTGCAAAAGCATCTATTTGCAATACATAATCAATGAAGGGGAAATTTCAGACACTTGAGGCTGCATAATATCAGTGCAGAATGACGCCTGTTCACTTTGGGCTCAAATGTGAGTCTTTGATTTTGTTATAATCAGGGTGAAAATCTTATAAAATGCACACCTAGGTGTCTGTTTTCAATGCAAGACAAACCTATAATGTTCGGCACCGTAATCCAATCAATCTGCACAACTCCTGCCGCCTTATTTGCCTCATTCACATCCTTACGTTGACTGAATTTGCTTGCACTGATGACTTTTACACATCAGAGTCAGGGCTCCTTCAAGAAACTAAAAAACAAAGCTTCAGGACCCGACTTGACCTCCTTTAACCTCAATGAAGGACGCAAACAAACTGTCGGATCACCGTCTGAAAACTCTGACTGAATATCGTCTCATTAACTTTCCTCTTTTTTTATCTAAGAGGCCCAAACCACAAAAGCTTCAGTCCAGAGGATCACAAAAAGTCGACCTTTGGATTCCTCCTCGCTGCCCTCTTCTCCTCCTCCTCTTACCTTAATGATATTTGTCTTTCTTTCTGTCTGCTCCTTTGTTTACTCCCTCTCTCTCTCTTTCCCCTTAATCTTTTTTTTTCCTTGTTAAATCCTCAAACTAACCAAAATTGGAGGTATCACATTTTTAACTGACTGCAAAACTAAACATCTTTTCTTCACCACGAGTCAATTTTGCAAATATTTATGTTTGGTACTTTTTCCTAAACTTTCACTGTGGTTTTCGCTAAAATTAAGCATTTCCTCGGCTGCTGATTACGACACCGAGCTTTCTCTCAGAAGAAAGGCACATCCTGGGGCGTCTAAATCCTGAAAAAAAGGTTGGTGTGACGGTAAAACCGCACAGGTAAGTGATCTGAGTATCACTTTTCATTCATACGAGCATCAATTAGTGTCTGTGCACGTCGCCTCTTTTCAAATCAGTAAGACAAGCCTGGATTGAAGGTTCTCCTCTGAAGTAATTATATCTGCTCTTGTTTTGTGCCGAGGACACACAAAGACTCCAGTTAGTCTGGGCACTCCGATCATCAGACGAGTGACTGACAGGGACTGAGAGGTAGAACAACACACACACACACTCACACACTCTCACACACACAGACAGTATCAGCTTTCATAGTTGAATTTAACATGAGGCACAGGGAAGCAAGTTGAAACATGGAGAAGATCTGATCGGAGAAATTAAACGGTTTCACATCATTTGGTGTCACCAGCTGTGAAATGTTTGATTAATGCTCATTTGATCTTGAAGTTGTTGAGTTTTAAAAGGCTGAGGCTGAATCACGGTTAGATAGAGTTTTCCAACACTCAGGACAACACAACTAACGCTCAGCTGAGTTTTTACTCACGTGGTTTTGGGTGGTTTGATTGAACTCTCTGGTGAAAAGTAAGCGATCAATGAAGAAGGGGTAGTTTTTTTAGATGTGAGTGCCCCCAAGTCCTCCTAAAGTCTTAAAAAATGAGGGCAGAAGTGTCCTCTTGGATACTGTGGTAGAAAAAAAACACCTTAAATGCATTCTCAGGTGCTGTTTTTATGTAAAATGCATGAAAAATGGCTTCATAGCTCTATATTTAGCTTAAGTAACCTTCCTCTGGATACTTTACCAGTTCATAAAATCTGAAAAGAGAGAGCCCCCAATGGTAAGAAAGAAAAAAGTGCCTTCTGGATGCTCTGACACATAAAAAAGTACCCTCAAAAGTCCTTCCAGAGTAAAAATGTGAAAAAGTGTCCTCTGAATGCACTTTGAGCATACATAATACAAAAAAAACCTTCATGGATACTCTACCTGTTGATAAAATCTTGAAGATAGAGCCCCTTGAATGCACTTCCAGTTTATAAAATGCAGCACAAATTTGAACCTGCATGTCCTTCCAGTGTAAAAAACATGAAAAAGTGTCCTCTGGGTAATTTATCCCCAGATAACATCTAAAAAAAAGTGCTCCTGGATGCGCTGTGAGTGTAAAAAGCATGAAAAAAGTGTCTTCTGGATGCTCTTCCGGTATATGAAATGCATAAAATATTTGAACCTGCATGTCCTTTTAGTGTAAAAACATGAAAAAAGTGTCCTCTGGATAATTTAGCCCTGGATAACATTCTTAAAAAGTGCTCATGGATGCCCTGTGAGCCTAAAAAGCATGAAAAAAGCGTCTTCTGGATGCTCTTCCGGTATATGAAATGTAAAAAGGCAAATCTTTCTAGAGTCTGCAGCAGGAAGTTGCATTGAATTTTTAATTTCTCACTAATAAATGTTGCATAAATATTCACCAGTCAGCAGGGAGTTAAGAGTTAGTAAACTTTCCCAAACTCTGCTCTCATTAGCTTTGTCTTATCATGTCTAATTGAATCCCACAGTTCACCGTTATTTTAGTTCAGTTGTTCAGAGCTGCTCATCTTTATCAATAATTGGTGTTTTATCCGTGTCTGTTTTATACTACTCTGTTCACAGATCTCAGATTTTATGATTGTTTCCTCTCCTCTAAACAGAGGATCGTTTCCTCTACTCCTGAAAGAAAATAATACACGACATGGCCAACTCCTCTCTGAACACTGTTCACACTTTGACGCCCTTCTGAACTCCTTATGGGACCAGATTCGGTGAATACAGCGACGTGAAAACGATAGGCCTCCAGCATTGTGCTCTCACTTTGTAAAGAAACAGAGAGCCGAGAGCTGCCTCCCTCTCATGGAGCTGCACTGAAACTCGGCAGCAGCAGGAACTCGGCCGCCCCTAACCCTCATGGGAAGTGAAAGGTGACTGGGTTAATGGCGTATTGACAAGCAGGACGCCGGGAGTGTGGAGATGATCAGGAAGCGCCCACATGCAGCAATGGGAGGTGTGGCGAGGGCGAGTGGAGGAGAACAAAAGGAATTCACAACACCTGGAACAAAGCAAAGGAAGAGGGGTCAACGTGGAGACAGAGTTTGGAAAAGATCCCAGCAGAGGACGTGTGATGGATGGAGGGCTGTGTCTCTGAGTCATCCTGTTATTACCTGAGACCCACTTTCACTTTTAGTACCATTAAACACAGCCTCTGTAGGCAGGGAAAGAACAGCATATGTTTCCACCTTGGTGTCAGCCTTTGGTTTTTGTATGTCTTCTTCAATTTGCTTGATGTCTCTTTGGCTCAGCTCCTTGAATGTTTTAACTTAATCATTGTTTTTTGTTGCCTCCTCTCTTTTTTGGTCTTCAGTTATCTCAGGACTCTATAGCAGGTCTAGAATGTAGTCTTACAATCTACAAAAACCCTTTGTTAATCCACCATGAGCTAACATTTTGCAACGTTTGACGACAGTTGCATGGAAAAAAAAACACCGCTTAGCAGGCAGAAACCTTGAGCAGGACCAGATTGGTGAATAGCCATCTGCCTTGGCTGAATGGGAGTTAGAGTGGGATTGAAAGAAAGCCAGGAAGAGAGAGGTGACAAGGGACAAAAAGACATAGAATTAAGTTCTTTTACATTCCTAATAGTCAGAAGCATTTTACTGTACGGAAATGGGCCGAAACTTCTATTTCCAAATATATCCAAATGGAAGAAAAGCCTGTAGAAGCAAGAAACCAGATATTTGGGATAAATGTTGAGGAAATTTGTGCAACATTTTCTTCTGAAGATTGTAAAAGACTCCTAAATTATCAAGATTTGTCTGCAAAAATTACACTGGCTCAGATAATGTACCAAGACACTTCAGCAACTGACAGCTTCAGATTTGGTTCAAACTGCACATCAGTGAAGTCATGAGTGGAAAATGAGATTCTTTGGTATATTTCATATTTCATTTCATAAGAACTCCTATGAGAGGAGAAGCAGGGGACTAAACTGACAATTTGTGTGAAACATCGCCCTCTGCTGGTTATTTACCCTCCCTACACTGGACTGATGTGGAAATTATAACTCCAATCATGAAAATATTTGGCTGAAAAATACTCTGAATCTGTCACCAATAAGGCTTGACAAACAAAATAACATATAATTTATTCATTTTGTTTAAAACAACAGATTTTTGTTCATTATTTTTGTTTGTTTTGATTCCAAGCAGAAGTTTCCCGGCAACAGGTGATCCAAAGGTGAGAGACGATGGGGGTGGAAAAGGTCAGCAGCCTTAACTTCACGTTTACATTTTAAAACCGTCTGATAATTTGCACAGACTTTGTCTTTTAACCACATTTTTGTCTTTCTTCACCCGAATTTCAGGACATAAATGACTCTCTTCAGAAAAGAGGGATAAGACGAGATGTTGATGTCTGCCAGCTCAGCCTTGTCAAAAAGTAAGCCAAACTTTTCTGGACTTTTAAACAATTTTTTTTTTTCCTGACTGCAGCTACAGAAGAAATTTACCATAAAACTGTGAAATTATTCTACTGAAATCAAATATTTTTCCATTTTAATGAGCAGAAAACTCACCAGCGTCCCTGACTTATCACGGTTTCACTTCCTGAGGGAGCTGAGGTTGAATAACAACAAGGTAAACTTCTTTAAAACTTTTCATATTTCAGCAACAGGAGGATTTTTTATGAAGTAAATGTGTGATTGAATTATTTTTCAGATCAGAGAGCTCAGCTGCCACTCCATCAACTGCTGTCTGACTGAACTCTACCTCCACAACAACAACATCAAGTCTATCTCAGGTGAATCTCAGTTTCTTATTTCATCTCTGTGTGAGTGGAAAAGTCCTGGAGGGCAAAGTGGAGGGTGGATGGTAAAGTTTTAGATCCGTATCCCAGAATAGAGAGGATATGAACAGGAAAAATAATTGTAATTTAGAGGTGAAAACTGTCTTTTTAAAGAATAAGAAGTTGATATTGTGCTAAAAAACAGATGATAGATGAAGAAGAAGTGGCAGACCACCTGTGAGCCGACTGAAGCAGCCCCCTGAGGGATGATTCGGCACTTTTTTAACGTTGGAACTTGTGACTGAACATTTAAACTGTCTGACCGTCTTCATTCAGCTCTGAAGCAGTATCCTTCAAAATAATAGCGCAATTTGACAATGCAGGAAATAAAGTAACATGTGCAACACACAAAAACTATTGACTATTCTCATCAATATCTGTCTGGTGTTGAAGACAAGTTCACTGTAAATAACTTGATTCAAAGACACAGATCCTCTTTGATCGTCTCCTCTCTGTCTCTCTTACAGGAGCCTTAAACCATCTGACCTGCCTCAGGCTTCTTCATCTGCACAACAACCAGATCAGAGGACTGGACGACACCATGCATGAGCTCAGGAGGATGCAGCAGCTCCAAACTGCGAGTGAGTGCAGAGAGAAAAATCTTAAACCTGCAATAATAAAGAAACACACTGAATAAATTCTCTATGAGTGTAAGATTACAGAGTAGGTTGAGAATATGTTTGTAATTAATGTTTTTTGCAGCTTTCTACCTCAATCCCATTTCCCATGAGCCCGGGTATCGCCTCCACGTAATCCACCACCTGCCATCCGTCCAGGTGTTGGATGAAAAAGGTAAAACCTGTCAGCCTTTATCTTCATACTCTTGTATTTTCCTGTTTACTTAGTCACTATGCATCTCTTTCTGTCATTCTTTCAGAGGTGAAGTCAGCAGAGAGGAGGAGGGCCTTCGAGATTTACAGATGGGAGCGCCATCGTGTCCTCCAGTCTGTGGCCTTCTGCAGACGGGCAGAATAGTCCACGAACTGTGATCTAAAGAAGTAAAACTGTTTCATTTCACACACTGAAGTCTGTTTACGGGCCTTTCAGTGGGGAGAGAAACATCATATCATGACACAAGAAAAGGGTATCACCTTAAGTCCTCTTAAAATAACAGATGGCGTGCCTCAGGGCTCTGTTTTAGGACCACTGCTGTTTACAATTTATAGCAAGAGGATTGTTAAAAATGTCTCCAACACAAACTTGAATTTGTATGCGGACGATACTGTTATTTACTGCTCTGCTTCAACACAATTTCAGGCTCTAGGTCACTTAAAAGATGCTTTTGATAGTGTGCAGGAGACCTTAATTCTGTCTGCCCCCCAGAGCACATTCAACAAGATTTATATTGTAAAAAAACTGTACTGACTGCAGGCTCTCTTTTTAAACATTAAAAAAATCAAGAAACACGCCCTCATCCCCATATTGCGAGTTAAAACACCAAGAAGCTTAAAGACAGAGTTGCGTGCTGTTTGTATGTTAAATCCATAATAGATTAGTTGCACCAGAGTGTATTTCTTGTAGGGAACACCAGAGGGAAAATGGATTAAAATGCATCTCCTTGCAATGTACAGTTTTTGTGCAGATGTGTAGCCCTCTTCCATCACCGTGCTTTACCTGTGCAGTATTTGAGCCACAGTCTGCAGGAGCATTGACAGCTGTGAAGAACGGATGAACTCTTTGCAGACACTCAGACCCTGTGAGGAGAGATTGTGAAATCCATGCAACACAGAAAGACTCAAAACTGCAAGTTCTCATCTCATTTATGGTGAAATGTCAAAATAGAAAGTTCTTCTGGATCAGTAGTTCAATGTGGCTATGGCTAGATTTTCTTATTAATTGTTGTTCCTTGAAATGATATAAAAACTTGATAAGTTTTGCGTTTTTGCAGTAAAAAGAGAGAAATCCCGAATAAGTTCAGCATAAAAACAACCTGTTGAATCACCACATGAATGAAGTTGGTCTTTATTTGATGTTTTACAGTTTATGTTGTTTGATAGAATTTAAATCAGCAGTGTTTAAGACAAAAATAAAATAAAAATCCTTGTTGGACCTGTTTGGTGTTTGACTTTAAATTACGGCTGCACAATAAATGAACGAAAACTAAAACAGACCACAGCTACTTTTCAAACCAATCAGTCCCTTTAATGCTGGGATGTTTTTTCCAACTACAACGACGTTTGATTGACAAATAATCCTGAGTATGATTATCATCTTTCACAAAACACTAAAATATATTCCGTTTATGTCGTATATATATTTTCAAAAATATACAGTTTTGGTCAAAGTTGTGCAGCCTGGTTGTCCACTCACAATCTGCAGTCAGGCTCTCAGAACCAAACGAACATCTCAGCATGAACTCAGGTATTAACGCAAACAAACGACACCTCTGATTGGCTACACTGTCACTCTCCTCCGGCACAGGTTGCTACATTTCTTAAGGCAGAGTTATGTTCCATCATCGATGTGAACCAATGACTGTATATAAAGATGGACGACACGCCTGCACGGCCATGTTGTACAAAAGTGAAGCCAAAGCACCCCTATAGAGGCAGTGGGTGAGACCATTAAGAGAGAGACCCTAAACCTAAACCTGAAATCCCAAATATATGAGTCTGTTGTAGTGGAGGGAAAATCAGCAATGTGAGGATTTGATGCGGAAGTGTAGCTTTATTTTCGTACCATTATTGATGGGTTTCAAATGGTCTGACTTCCCTTTCACAGAGGTATCATGTCGTCCATCTTTCTATACAGTCTATCTTGTGAACCATTAGCACTTCACATATTACCCACAATACCCCTGTGACCTCTACCTCAAACACACCGTCCTATTTTTACATTCACGTAAGAAAACATCTGAAAACCATGATACAAAAAAGAGAAAACGATGATCACTGTGGCACAAACCTTTCGCGTCTCCCTGCCTGTGTGACAGTCTCAGGTCAGTAATAAATTAAAGTTCTCGTCCCCCCTGTTGGACCAGTCCTTCTCTGGCGTTCAGTCTCTCTGCCAGTTTATCTCTCTCTCTGTCTCTGTGCTGTATGGATGATTTTTTTGGGAGTAGGCGGTTACGACGATCCTCAGTTGTCAGCAGCTGGGATTGGAGTCGGGTTCGGGGTTTCTGCTGCAGAGTCTGAGGGGCTCACCTCGCTGTTGGACTCCATTGAAAGCTCCACCATGGACTCTGAGACCTCCTGTACTGCTTTACTCTCCTCTGAAACACAGACAGGAGAGCAAGATCTAACCACGCTTTTATACAGAGAACAAGGAAATCTGATGTTGAGGATATTTTTGAATGAAATTGCAACTCTAAAAAAAGGTTTGCAGAAATAATTCCAGTATCTTAAAAAAGCTTGTGCTCTGAGGATGGCTTCAACCATCACTGGGTGACTTTGCTGGTTCCTGGTTGTGTCTCTCTTGGTACCTGTGCTCCGTTGCATCCTTAGTTTGGCTGATTCTGCCTCCTGCTTCTCCCTCTGCTCCTGGAGCGTCTTGCAAACTTTCTTGTGGGTGAACCAGTGCATCTTTTGGCACGCTTGGCCACAGTAGATCACCTAGTGAGAGGTAAACACATAAAGTTATTATTTTAGCATGTTCCTGAAGAAAAGCTGTGACCAACGGACAAAGAGGTGAGAGACAAATAAGAATAAGACAGCTTTTAATCCGCAGTTTTCGACTTTTTGATTGTTGCATTGCCAGTAAAATGTTCAAATTTGATTCCTTTTATAAATAAAAGCACATGGCTGATCAATTTTTATGAATATGGGACCTTCAACTGAATAAAACCAAGACAAAGAGAGGGATATGTCTCAAAACATGTCTCAAAATGGTATAGTTTTTAGATTTTAACGATCTGGGCGATCCTTTTTTGTTTCTAAGGTTTACTTTTAAGAATTTGAAGTCAGAAAAACAAATAAAACACTTTAAATAGCTGGAAATTATGTCCACATGACATTTTTTTCTTGCTTTGAAATTCACCATTTTACAGATGGAGCATCTCTTCTCGGCTCCCTTCTCTCCACAGGACGTACAAAACTCTGCGTCCATGAAGCCGACCTGACCGGTGATGGCCTGAGTCAGCACTGACAGAGCTGTCGGGTCGTTCCCCTGCCGCGACAGAAAGAGAAAAACAAAGTTTTACATCTAAAAGTTTGGAGACATATTAGGAAGACAAGAAAACTATTTATTTAACTCCAGACTTCCCTTTCTTTGTCCTTCTGATTCAGATAAACTAAAAGTTTCACATTAATGTTAAAAGAAATCATCTGAAAGGGTTTATTGTCCTGTTCAAAGAAAAAAAAAGTCAAAAGATCTTTAAAAAAAAAGTTTATGAAGTTTGATCCGGACTCACAATCTCCACAGGAGCGATACTCCGCACCAGCTGCTGCAGCAGAGTGGCGTCACAGTACGGGAACTTGCGGATGCACTCTCTGATGAACTTCTCTTGGTAAACGGGGAAGCCGTCCGTCTCCCGACCCTTCAGCAAACTACAGGAGAGGATGATGAATTTAAATCTTTATTTGTGCTGCTGATTGGCTGTAAAGTCTCTTCATAGACTTCATTTTACCCTGAGACAGTTTTGGATAACCACTGATAGATGTGTGCTATCTGACAGTCTTACTTTGCCAAAATCTGGTCCTCTGCATAAATCAAATATCCTCGCATATGTCCTCACCTCTTGATGAGGCCGTCCAGCTTGTCCTCGCGGTCTTTGAGAAAGGAGGCGCACTTCCCCAGCACGCAGCTGATGTAATGCATCTTTATGGCCAGCACTTCGTTCATGTCCTGCTGCTTGATGCACTTTTCACAGATGAGCTCCATCACTCGGCGGCATTTTTCCAGAGCCTCGGGCTCCGCCAGCAGAGGGTTCTCCTTCACCAGCATCACCATCTGTGAGACACAACAGACACGCGTCAAGCTCTTCTGTGGCTCCGCCCCTTTTAGCCCGAGGATTAAGATAACAACAAATGGTACATATCAGTCTGAACTGGTGTATTTATAGCACTAATGTAGTATTACTGTACGTCACCACAGTAGCTGATTATCCCTCTAAACACTCGCCCCCTCGCTTCATGAAGGAATATAATCAGAGTATTTTGCCTCTGCTGCGTTTGAACAAAGAGCCTCTCATATAAAAAATCCCTCTGATGTCAGCGTTACCCAGAAGTATGGAGGGAAAGTCACAAGATTGTGAGGAGACTGATCACACATTTCAAATACAGTTTCAAAAACTGTCATCAAACTAACCACAGATCGCCAATCTGTGTCTCACCTTGACCGGGTTCAAGTTGGTGCTCATGATAACCTTATGGAGCGGTCCGGCGAGTTTAAGCGGCAGCTTCGGTTCCTTTTCCAGACCCTGAGGCTTGGTGTAGTAATCCAATCTCGCCCGAGAGAAGAAGTTGTTGATGACGGTGACGCAGTCGTGCTGCCCTGAGGAGGAGAAGGAGGACAGAGTTTATTATGTTTATTCAGAGTGACTCAATTCAGAGCAATACTTCAATCTTTATCCTGGGAAACAAACGGTACTCTGTGAAAAAGGCCCATATTTGGTAGTAGTCATTGTAAGTTGAGAAGAATTTCAGAAAAGTTTAGAGAGGGGTACGTTTACGGTTGTGATGCATCGACATTTGGGAACTACAGAGACCAGTTTCTGGAGTTTTGAAAGTGAGCCATGTCCTCTTCTTGCCTGATAACGGATTTCACTTGGTCTCCTTTGTCATGTTTTCTGTTTCATGATGCTTCAAATGTTTTCAAAGAGTGACAAGTCAGGACTGAAGGAAGGCCAGTTTTGTGCCTGGACTTATGAAGTCGTGGTGTTGTGGAGTGTGAAAAAGGTAGTTTGTCTTGCTGATATACTGTATGTGAAATCTTCTCAATGCTGCTGCAAACCTGTGTATATTTTTGTAGCATTAATGGTGCCTTTCTAGATGTGGAGGGCACTTTAACTTTAATGCATGCTGGCTTAAACTGATCAAATTCTCCTCTAAAGACCGGGAAATGCAGATTTCATGACTTCCAAAGAGAAGTCATATTCAGGACAGGACAGTTTTCCACTTCACTCATCTTAAACAAGCTTGTACCGATGTGTATCATCATATTCCTTTGACCTTTAGTTTTGAGGATGCAGCTACAAACTGTCTTCACAGGAGATGATTTTTCAGACCATGCAGTGATTTCCACTAAAGGGTCAGACAGTTTTTTCTGAGTGTGTTCAGAGGAGGAAGGATGTGCGATTCCTTGTCTTTGTGTATGATGATATCAGACTCAAGAGCACTGGAAGTCACATCCAGACGTACCAACAAAGGCGGCCATCTGTGCTGCTGTCCTGCCAACAGAGTTGACCACATCCGTTTCTGCCCCCGCATCCAGCATCATCCACGTGATGTCAGTTTTACCTAAAAAGAGCACAAAAGAGGAGAGCGAAGATTTAATTCAAAGTATTTCATGATGTACACAAACATGTCCCTGTTGGGTTATCAGCACACCTGACAGCCCGGCGAACATCAGTGCTGTGTATCCGAACTCGTGCTCGTTGCAGTTCACATCGGCTCCATGTTGCAGCAGCAGCTTACACATGTCTGCTTTTCCTTTGTAAGCGGCGTGCATAAGAGGGGTCATCCCATACTGTGGAAGAGAGAAGAAAAAGGTGAAACAACAGAGGATTTTTAACTTTTACATGAGCGAAAAGCTGACACAGCTTCCGTTATTTAACATCTATTTTAAACACCTGATTTTGACAGGCGGACACTGAAGGGTGACACACAAACAAAGGACATAAGGGACCTTCTTCAAAGCCCTTCAGAGTGACTCGTTAGTCCACTTGTCCAACACATATGTCACTGAAGAGCTTTGCCTAAAAAACATACAACATTTTTCCTCCAAGAGACATATTATGGGTCCTTGATTTAAATATCACTTTCTGTTCATTAAATAAAATAAAACCAGAGTAAGACCTGAATGTTTTAATGGAGCTTTGCGGCATCATGTGGACTTGTCATCTTTTAATGCTAAGATAATATGAATGTGAGAGTTAAGACCTGCTTAGTGAAAGTAGAAAACAAATACAATTTTACAAAGTAGAGGAGCAAATGAATTATTTTACACATGTATAAAATGCTGATAAAATTAGCCAAAATCTGTTTGAAAATATTGGTGTTTCAGTTTGTCCTTTAATAAACCAATAAAGAGGCAAATCCACTATGAAAGGAAGACCGAAATAAACTTACCTGATCCAAACAGTTGACACGAACATCCTTACATCCCAGCAGCCTTGACGCCTCTTGGACATTTCCTAAGTTGAATAATAATAAACAACGTCAGAGTCCAAATATGACACCTTTTGTCATTAAATCATCTTCTGTGATTTCATCTCTGTATAAACACACTCTATCTAATCCAATCCGCTTTATTCATATAGCACACTTTAAAAAACATTCAAGTTTGCTGAAGCGCTGCACAGTAAAACTTAAAAGAACAAACACGACAGAAAACATCAGGAAAAAAATAAAGGCAGGTTAAAAAAAACAAACATTCACAAGGAAATATGAGAAATGAAATAAAAATACAAAAGCATTAAAGTGATAAAAGGACCATAAAAAGAAACAGAAGCACAGAGATCACACAACTCTCATGCTGAACGAACAGCCAAGGAATAAAAATGAGTCTGGTCCTGCTCAAGGTTTCTGCCTGTTTAAAGGAAGTTTTTCCTCGCCACTGTCACTCATGTTCGATGAGATGGGCCAAATCCCATCTTAGGTTGGGTCTTGATAGTTCATCAAACAATGAGTGTGGTCTAGACGTGCTCTTTTTCTTTGGAAAGTGTCCTGGGATGACGACTGTTGTGAATTGGTGCTATATAAATAAAATTTGACTGATTGAGTTTTAAGACGTGATTTAAAAGTATTAAGTGTGGAGGATGTTTTGATTTTGGGTCTCGAATCTCTAGAGCTGCAGAATAAACTAACTATTGAAGGGTAGCGCCAGATGAGAACTTACAAAAACACATTTACAGCAAAATATTAGAAAGTTATTCAATGTGTAAAATCAATGTCTTCTACAAACACTTTGATTTTACACCATTTGGACAACTGGAGATAATTTAGTGAAGAAAAAAACAGATTTTTGGATGTAATGTTTATTTGTATGTCTAATATGCACTCTTTAAAATCTGTTTCTTTGCAGCACTCCTTATTGATATCAATATTGTAAAAAGCTATTGCACATTTGCATTCATACTTTATGTAGTACAGGTCTAATATTAGATTTGCTCTACCTGTTGTGGTTGAAACTAGGAGATAGCTTTTATGCTGTTTGAGTAAAAATAACCTTAAAATATCTAAAATAGGAGTGTAAATTTCAGTTGCAGATATGTTCAAACATTCACAGGTAGGTTTCTATAGAATATGCAGCATAAGGCTGAAAGTTTACATACATAAAAGTGAAAAAAGCTTCATTTAAATGACATGACGCAGATGTAAATGTTTGACACTCTTAAAAACCTTCTTAAGCCTAAAAACTTGGACTTACAGTAACTTATGAAAGCTAACGTGAAGCTAACCCTGCAGTGCAGTTTCAGAGGAGGGATTAGCGTTAGCCGAAGAGGCTTACCTGCAGTTATAACCTCAAACAATTCCTTCTCACTCGCAGATAAATCTCCTTTCTTCGAAGCAGACATGTTGGAGGTGGATACTTTAAAATCAGACGATAACAGCACTAGAAAAAGGTAAAGATATTCCGCGAAACTGCGCCTTCAGGAGCTGCTTCAGTCTGTTGATGCTCGGGCATGAAGGCTAACACAGGGCGAGCTGTCATCTGGACTGTACCACTGTGTACTGTAAGAGGGGGGTTTCAGAGTGGAAGCAACAATTATTTCTAATCAGATTACAACAAAATTCAAGACTTTTTTTTTCTAAGAAGTAAAATATTTTAGCAATGTGTTTGGCACGTGTCAAAACGAAATTGTTCAATTCAGCGTTAACAGTACTTCACTAACAACGGACCCACCCCCTCTTGTTTCGTTTAAGTACTCAGTTCCATCGAAGTCTAGAAAGTTCACTCAAAACTGCAGCACATGGAACAAACGCGGTCATTTCATTCATGTGCTTATTTAAACATTAGAGAATTTAAAAAATAAATTAATATATAGATTTAAAAAAAAATGTTTCGATTAGAATAACCAGGAGATGTGACAAAAAAAAATGCTGGAGGGGAAGGGGCTATTTTTATCTGTTCAGTACAAGTGAAAGATGCTTAATGATATGGTTTTTATTCTTATTCAAAATACATTATTGTTATTTCACACTGCAGTATAGTCAAGGATACATGGGTACTCATTCTGCATTTCATTTACATAGAAACATTAACATATTTTAAACACACTGAAAATTACAGATGTACAACTCCAAAATAAGCAATTATTGAATAAAAACAGCAACTAAGTCAGTACAAGTGATGGTGGTCAAGTCTCCAAACCTTGAGTTTGTGTCTCGTACAGGTTAGGACCTCACATGGATTTATCAAATGAAAACCTCTTTAAAACTCATAAGTCTTTGAAAAACTGAATAAGTTGTAAATTAAACAGTTGAGCCGACCTTTTTTTGGTTTACCAAAGTATGTCTGTGTAACTGGATAACATAAAAAGGTGTGTAAACGACCATTAAAAGGGACCACGCATCGCTTCTTCACTTCACTCTAAGAGCTTTGGCCTAATTTTGGTGACATTAAGAGATTTGAGCTCCTTTACTGTCTATATTTCATCACAGAAGGCTGCAGGCTGGCTTTTCAGAAACACCTGCCTCCTCCAACTCCTCTCCCTGCTCTCCTCTCTCTACCTGTAGCTGCCTGATGCAGGGAGATGGACAATAGACGATTATTGTGTTTTTTACAATATTATGTTCTGCTTAGCATTCATACAAAATCTTTCTCTCCTTTAACCTTGTGTCTTCAGCATCCCAAGCCTTAACTCTGACATTTTTGCCTATTATCCTGGTTTTCTTGCTATGGATGGATCAGCTCACATGAACCTGACCTCTCCCCACCTGTTATAGAAATTATAGTTAGTCTGTGATCAGAGCTGTGTTCTAGAAATTCTTCATAACAATCTGCTATCGACAAATAAACTGTTGCAACATAAAGACCAATCAGAATCAAGTCCTAACACAGGCACACAGTAAGTATGAACAAAAACTCAAAAAAGTTTACAGTCAGAGCTGCTACCCTGATCTGGATGTTTACTCCACTGTAAGAAGTTAACATTTGTTCCACTCAGCTGCTGCTGGATCTGAGGAGCAAAACAAAAGTTAAATTACAAATTAAAGCATTGCAGAAACTTATTTTCCTGACAGTAGTATTACTGCACTTGATTGGTCAGCCTAGTTGCCTGACCTGAACCCCATATTGAATTGCTAAATGGAGAATCACCAAGAGAAAGATGAGTCACAAGTCACAGACAAGCTGAAGGAGCTGTCAAAGCAACCTGGCCTTCCATAACTCCTCGCTCTTCTAATGTTCTGTAACAGTGGATTTTTGAGTTTCCACAAGCCGTAATCACCAAGATTCAAGGAGAAAAAAATTGAAATATTTCACGTTGTGTATGAATAATCTATAATGAATGGAAGTTTGATTTAAACTTAAACTTAATTTTTGAGCTGCACAGGTATTGTAGACCCATAATTCTCAGCTTAACCCGCTCAACTTAACTATTTATTGATAAGACTTAGCTTACAACCAATTTATCTTATTGAAAATGATTTACAGCCACTCTTGATTCAATAATTCAACGTATTATTTATATCAGACTTACACCCTTCAGGATGGCCTCTTTCACTGTAGGATCCTTTAGGTCCACCCCAGAGTCTTTTGAGCTGATTTTCACCTTATAAAAGTTCTTGAAACCTGCAACCAAAGTGAGGGAGAGACAAACAAATTTAATAACAGTCTCCTACACCAAACATCTACCAAACTGAAGAAAACTGACACGAAGCAATCCCAAACCAAATCAGGATTTAGGACTTTGCCAGTGTCACTTGGTTGATTGAGAGGTAATGAAATGCTCACAGAGAAGTTACAGTCTTGTACATTATGTTTTTTTTGCTTATTCTTCTCAGAAAAAGAAAAAAAAGGCTTTACTTTTCTCACAAGAGCAGAGGAATGGCATCTTTACGGTACATGCTGATGGCTGCATTCGACCATTTTCACTCACGAACACACATTCTCTTTGGTTAATGTCTGTGTTTATCTTTTGAGTTTCTGGCCAGTATCTGAATGAAGAGCTACTCCCATCAGACCATTCCCAAGGATCTTTGAAGAGGCCAATCCAGACCTGTTGGGCACCAACTACTTCCTGGAGTATCTTGCTTTCTTCCTCATTCCTCACACTGGTCAGGTCTGTATAATGAGTCCTGCAGTACTCCTGAGCAGCCCTCCACTTCATGGTTCCAGCGGTGAGAACATACTGGTCCAGACCTTGTTTTGTCGCTAAATGAGAAATAAACAAATGAGGAAAGTATTGGGTATTAAAGCACTTTTATAAAAACAATGTGTTTCATCCTTATCGTTCATAAATGATAGAATTTTTGCATCTCAATTTGAGATAGGAGAGGATTTAGGCAGAAAACCAGAGGAGCACAAGATATAAGCCTTCATAGAGATGGTAACTGACAAACTGGCCCCCATACTGGATATTACTCCATGACTGGATGCAACATTGATTCAAACTTAATTAAATCTTACAAAGAGTTAAATAACAAAACAACCTTTAAAGAGACACTAAAGAATACCTTGCAATAGATTATAAACATGCATGGAAGATTCGAGAGCTAAACCCAAAGAGTCAAAGAAACTAACATGAATGTTATTCAAGACAGAGGAAGGGAAAAGGCGGTCAAGTGGACATAGTCACTTCCTGTTACCAGTAGGTGGCGCTTCATCATTTGGAGTTTTTTTCAAAGATGGATGTGTTTAGGCTCAGGCCCTTGCTATGTGTGGTACATTTGGGTCCAATTGGAGCATTTCTGGCTGGGACAAAAACTACTTCCTGTTTATTGGTAAAACATCTATCTTTGAGGGCTCACCAGGGTCACACCCATAGAGAAGGTCGAAAGCTATAAGCAACTTTTAGTCTTCACTTTTTTCGTAACACTGTGAATTTGGAGTTGATTGGATAAAACCTTTAGGATGAGTTAATTCAAATCAACATCTGAATAATCACTAAGAATACACCAATTTGGGCATTCAACTCAAATTTACCAACTTCCTGTTGAGTTAAGGGTATGAGTCCTAATGTAAAAACTGAAAATAATCAGGTTTTAAACAGCTAAATCTTCTCTTTAATTGCAGTTTAGGCCTCACTTGTTTTTACCGTTAAGTCATACTTACCATCAAAGCAAACAGCAGGATGTAAATTATGGCAGGAGATTGAATACAACAATCCACTTTTGTAAGAGCCACAATTGTAACCATTTTTTCTACCCCAAGTCAGGTAGTCCTTCTCTCCCTCCTTGTAGAAATCTTTCCGTGCCAGAGACCAGTGCCACCTCTCTCGACTTCCTTTATGGAGTCCTATCGACACGTTCTGTCCCTTCACAGCTTCAAGAGCATCTTGCATCTCCTCCATGTCGTCTATGGTGGCAAGGTCAACACATTCCTCCCTGCAGTACTCTCTTGCCTCATCCCAGGTCATTGCATTTTGAAACAGCTTGAACTCAATTACACATGAGGACAGGGAACACAGACCTGAGGGAGAAATGAAAACAGATGAAGGAAACCCTTAAATGTACATCAACTAAAAGAAAAATCGACATTTTGTGCAACTTCCTTAAGTTTGAATGCTACATTTTAGGCATTTAGAAAGGAAATAACTTCTGAAAATACTGCTGAACAATGTCAACTTTAAACCTAGAATTTTTACAAGTTGAATACAGAGAATGACACTTACCTGAGAGAAGCAGCAGGAGGTGTATCTTAGCCATATCTGTCTAGAAATAAAAACCATTGACTTTCTCACAAAATAACATTGTCCTGTATATTTAAAGTCTACATACATGTCTCAGTTTGGCTGGCACATGCACACAGAGAATATGATTGTGATTGCGTGATTTTAAAGTTATAAGTCTGATCAAATAATAAACTATATTTGATGACTACATTTATGTTTGTGTAGGTTTCTTTGCAAACCAAATACTGTACATCAGTGTTAAAATTCAATAAATGACCCTGCAAAGGGGGATTTTCATGGCAACCCTAAAATCATCTAGCTGAACGTCCCTAGTAAACAGAAATCTTATTTGTATTACTTCAAATAAATTAACAAATGGTGAAAACGTATCAGGAAGAACAGAGAAACTGGATTAAGGTAAATAACCTTGATTTCCAAAGTAAAACATATGAATATATTTAATATTTATGTCTAATTGTCAAGGTTAATCTATTCCAACGATACAGAAGTGGCTTACCTCTTCGTCTTTGGATGCTTTCCAAAGTGTCACTGTGTTTGTTTTTTCTTGGCATTATACGCCCATCTCAGGAAATTGGAAGGACTTATTTGCTTATTCTTTTGACCAAATCCAAGAGTCTGGACGTCACAGCACGCACACTACTCTCACAGGAAGTCCTCCAAAGCCAGGGTTTGCCTAAACAATCAATCCCATCCCAGCCTTGTCTGTAGCTCATTGAAATATGTAACATGTTCAAGAATCAATAATGATAAAGGAACAGTAATCTTAAAATTTACAATGTACAAAGAGGACTTAATACCACTACAGCAGCCTATTTAAGGACTCTCTAGCACAACAAATATCTCGTCACCCTGTTTTAGCCCATTGGTGACGTCTCATTCTTAAATCCTCCTTTGGACAAATCGGTCCCATTGCAGGTACTTTGCAGACATCATTACATGTTCCTGTTTGCAAATTACCCTCATAACAATCTCAGGCAAATTATGAAGCGATTCATTTCCTGTGATTTCCAAGAGGATGCATCTTCCTCAGTAATGGACGTCATTCACGATCTAAGTAGAATCAGTAGAAGGAACCACAACACTAAACCTTAGTTCTGCTGTATTCAAGATTGTAACTCAGCAATAATCAAATATAACCTAGGACTGTATTCTGGCTGCAGTAGTTGCAAAACACTGCAGTACTGGCTAACTAATGAGCTGTTCACCGAGTCCTCTGTCACTGCTGCGTCTTCACCTTCAGGAATAAAAAATAACTGCAAACCTTATCTGAGTAAAAGAAAGTCTAAGCCTTAGACGATCACTCTTCCCAACAATTTGAAGTGACCCTTAGGGGTACCACAAGGATCAAACCTAGGACCATTACTTTTTTAATTTGTATATGCTGTCACTAGGAGACTTGGTATCTCGTTCCACAGTTTTGTTGATGACACTCACCTCTATGTGTGCTTTTATTTTATATTTGACAAGTTATCTTTACCTTTTTATTATTTGCTATGATTTGATGCTTTAAGTTATTTGTATAGCTTTCTACTTTTCCTGTTTTAATTACATATATCCTATTTCTATCAGAGTGCATTAATCTCTCTCTTCAGTTTTCTCTATATATTAATGTTCAATCTTTATTGTTTTAAATTTGGTGACTAGTATGGAACAAACCACAAGGAGGGCAAAATTCTACCAGTAGAAGACAGCCCAACAGAGACACCCTGTGGTCTATTAAGTCTACTGCCGAACATAAAGCTTATTTACTTTTTTTTTTTTTTTACAATTTTAAAGGTTTACCTGTAAATTCTTTGAATAATTCCAATATTTATTTAATTTTAAGCAATGAATTCACAAACATTTTAATTGTTTATTGTCTTCTTTTAAATGTGTTTAGCAGGTTTTGTCATGGAAGTGAATCAATTCAAATGACTTGAGTCAAAAAGACTGAAAGTTTTTGCTCTTTATATACTTACATCAATGTACATTACTTGACATAATTTACAAAAATAAATAAATAAAACAGAAGAAACATTTCCTTACTCATACTTAAAATTTAAAGATTTACAACTTTCAAGTAGCAGCAAAATTAAAGGAAACAAGCAACCAACAAAAACAGCCAGTCAGTACAGGTTAGTGTCGTAATTCAGTCACCAAACCTCAAGTTTGAGTCCTCAGTGTTTTTTTGCATCACTCTCAGAGCTTGTGGTGTTTTCCATATTCATATCTTACATAATATAAAATCTTAAATTTCGTAGATTTCCAAGTCATAGCCTCCTGAGTCTCTTTCTTGGTTGTTCCACCATAAATGTATCAGCGTCCAATGAACCTGTCTTCTCTCTGCTCAGTGATATAATTGAAGTGAATCCTCAGCGGTATGTGACCAAGTACTAACAGAGACAAACAAAACTTATGAATAAAAAAGTTTACAGCCAGAGCTGCTACTCTGATCCGGCTCTCTTTTATCAGGATGTTTACTCCATTGTACGACGCCAACATTGGCTCCACTCAGCTGCTGCTTGGTCTGAGGAGCGAAACAGAAGTCAAATTACAAATCAAAGCATTGCTTCATTGTATTCATTTAAAAGTTCAGAATCACAACAGCCCGATTTATTGTGGTCGGATAGCTCAGACACAGAGAACAAACTTTTGTATTTTCTTATGATTTTGAGCTAAAGAAAGAGTCAAAGATTCACTTGAGAGTTATTGAAGAGGACTAGTTACACAGGAATATTGTTTTTCTGATAATTAAGAGCATTCAGAGGTATAAAATGGGAATGTAAAATTAAACCTGTATGGAGATGGAATAAGTATAACAGTCAACATTAAAATAATGCTGGTTATGATACAGGCTGAAATTAGTCTGAGTTTGTCCACACTCTTCTCATTAGCTTTTGATTATATATTTCACTTAAATTTTTGCAATGGAAACAACAGTTAACAAACACACTGGACTTGGTCAGCAAGAACCAGTCTGGAATTTGCATGCGCGTTGCTCTAGCAAATGTGCTTGTAAAATCTGTAACACAGAGGTTGAAATGCTCTAAGCTTGGTGTCCTTTGAATATTTCACTTCTTGTAGACAGAAAAATCCCAGTTCAAAGTGCTGGGCTGAACTAGTTATCAATAAGACTCAATTTAGATGATTAAGATGATGAATGAAGACGATTTACATTCACTCTTATTCTAACAAATAATGTCATTTGAATTGGACTCACATGTTTCAGGATGGCCTCTTTCACTGCAGGATCGTTTAGATCCAGTCCCGAGTCCTTTGAGCTGATTTTCACCTTATGAAATTGCTTAAAACCTGAAACCAAAGACAGAGAGACACATATTTAATTACACCAAACAAGTCATTTCACAACAAGGTTTCATAAGACTGAATATCTGAATGTTCCTGTTGACAATGTGGTGAAAACGAGACCTGGCTGATATTTTTAATATTACTCATGAGTTCTTTGGAGAGCAACAAACTTAGGATCAGTGGTTAAGGGCTGACTAGACCTGAGCAGACAGAGTAAAATAGGAGAAAAATGGTGCAGATAGTGGGAGATGTTAAAATGCACAAGGAGTGGAGTGAAAGAGACATCAACCAAATTGAAGAAAACAGACACAAACAACCCCCTAAACCCAGTAAAAGACTTCCTTCAAACACATTTTATCCATGAGGTCCACCTGATTATGTAAGACCAGGATTTGGATCCTTCTTTTGTTTCTTTCAGGTAAACAAGTTGACTGTGGGTAAACCCAGTAAGCCAAGCATCATGTCTCTGCAGACCCAGTGGCTGCAGATTCAGCGCTGTATTTCTGAGGACTGTGTTTGCAAATGCACCATCTGGTGCAGTGGATCCCCAAGGACTTCATCTTGAGGACAACATAACCACTTTGGTGTGTAACTATAACCACCACCCCTATCTTTACCCTGACCATAGCTGGTGTAGCAGCACAAGGATCCTTGAGATGTGGTCCCAGATTTATGGGTCTGAGACTGCAGCCTTCAACTCTGCAGATATATGATATTGGTCAGTGTGTTTACAATGTTGGTCTATCTCAGTGACATACCAGTGCCAAACATCTGTCACAAATCAGATGTGTCAGCAGTACGATCGGCGTCAGAATAATGTCAATGGTTTATACTCCATCTGTAAAGCATATTTTTTGTCCATTTTTTAAAAACAGAGAAAAAAGTCTTACTTTTCTCACAGGAGCAGAGGAACTGACGCCGATCTGTGCATTTTTGTGGTTCCCATCGACCACTTCCTCTCACAATCACACATTCTTTTACTGTAAGGTCTGTGAAGACAACTAGGTCTGCCATCCAGTGTCTGAATGAAGAGCTGCTGCCATCAGACCACTCCCAAGGGTCTCTGAAGAGGCCAATCCACACCTGTTGGGCACCAACTACTTCCTGGAGTATCTGGCTTTCTTCCTCATTCCTCACACTAGTCAGGTCTGTATAATGAGTCCTGCAGTACTCCCGAGCAGCCATCCAATCCATTTTTCCAGAGCTGAGAACGTACCGGTCCTGACCTTGTTTTGTCTCTAATAATAAATAAACAAATGAGGCGAGTTTTATGAAATATGATGCATGACTTTTAGTTTCATGTGTGATTTCATACAGATTCAGCAGTACTTCTCCCCTTTCTCATTTGTTGTCACATTATTCTTTTTGTTCGTGCTGTAATATTGGAGAAATCTGGCACTTACCATCAAAGCAAACCGCAAAATATAACCTATCACAGCTCACTGAATACAACAATCCATTTTTGTAAGAGCCACAGTTGTTATCAGTTTGTTGCCCCCAAATCAGGTAGTCCTTCTCTCCCGCTTTGTAGAAATCTTTCTGTGTCAGAGACCAGTGCCACCTCCTTTGACTTCCTTTTTGGAGTCCTATCCACACGCCGTTTCCTCCCTTCACAGCTTTAAGAGCAGCTTGCATCTCTTCCATGTCGTCTACGGTGGCCAGGTCAACACATTCCTCCCTGCAGTACGCTCTTGCCTCATCCCAGGTCATTGGATTTTGAAACAGCTTGAACTCAATTACACATGAGGACAAGGAACACAGGCCTGAGGGAGAAATGAGAATAAATGGAGGAAACCTTTTTAATTACATGAAGAAATTTATAAAAAATACAACTTCTTCTATCCTTGAAATGCTCTATTAGAAGGTGGGAAAAGAGTCAATAGAAGACTGGGAAAAATTAGGGCTGTGTATGAAATGGATCCCTAACCCCTATATGGGCAACTTTATTGGGGTGAGCGCCATTTTGAGGGGTGTCCGAAACCTAAGTGATCAATTCCAATGCCCCATATAGGCGACTCAAGATTTCTCACAGAGCATTGCAAAATGTAGTGACCATCCGATGGTCACTCACGGGTGGTGGGCATCCCGTCATGCATGTAGTGTCTGGTGATTGAGCTCACTACATAGTCAGCTATATAGTGAAACCCCATATGGGGGTTAGGGGTTGGGGATTGAGTGATTCATTTCGGACACAGCCGAGGACTCCTCCAAAAACACCTGTTTGGATTATTCCACAGGTGAGCAGGTTGATTGGAAACAAGTGGGGGTCATGATTGGGTATAAAAGGAGCATCCTCAAAAGGCTCAGTCATTAACAAGCAGGGAGGGGACCATTTTGTCAACAACTGCATGAGCAAATAGTCCAACAGTTTATGAAAATCTCTCCCAACTTACATTTTTGATGGCTGTAAGACAAATTTTGATTCTTGAATGCAGAAAACACCTACCTGACAGAAGCAGCAGCAGATACATCTCATCCATATCTGTTTATAAGAAAAAACTTAATTAATACATCAAATTAGACAATAGTTTGAGTTGATAGCTCCCTCACTCTGACACTTCTCTAGCTTAGGACACTTGTTTGTGTTTCAGTTTATATGTGTTGCATGTTCAAGTCAGTTTAATGGCTACTAAAAACTCCAGTGACTATAACAGGTTATAGAGAACATCACACAATATAAGTCATATAATGGTACACAAGGCACTGAGATGTAACAGACAACCAATGACTTTTTAAAAGAAATGCTAATGAAAAGAAACTGCTCTGGCTTCATTAAAACTTTCTGCATTAAAACAATAAACACAGCAGCTTGTGAAAAAGAGATTATGGAAGTGACTTACTTCTTGGTCTTTGAATGCTCATCCAAAGTTTCACCGCGTTTGCTCTCTATGTCTTATATTCTGTCATATGTCTTCAAAGTTCTCCGAAAATCAGAGTGACTCCTTTGCTTAGTCTTTTGAATAAACCAAAGTGTCAAGAAAACAGCAGTAATGCCAATCTCACTGGGAAGTCGTTTACGGCGAAGGTTTGCCTAAACAAATAACCCGGCATCTTCGGTCTCTTCGCTGTGCTGACTTGACTGTAAATCATCCCATTGCAAATAGTTTGACATCATCTACTGTCCATGTTTGCAAAGTAGTCTTCATGCTCAGTCAAATTATCAGCTGCATTGTTTCCTGTGGTTTCTTGGAGGACGTTTCTTCGTCAAGAACACATTCAAAGTTAAGAGAAGCTTTTTGAATTTGGCAGACTGAACCACAGCAACTAACTTGGACTTGGTTATAATCCATCTCAATACTCTCCCTTTAATCTCAAAGTTACTTTGCTCCTGGCAATTGAACAGTTTTAAATATTTTTAATGTGAAAAGCGAAGTCCGACCTTCTACCCAAAAGGTAAGCATTTCCTGCTGCAGCTCAGACCAGTCATCCTCTGATCTCACAATCCCCCTCAGAGTCCACACGCCAAAGACTTTAAGTCAAGCAACATCAACTTGATGATTGTTATGAGATATAACTGTTTTTTTCTTCTTTAACTTGTCTCTCCTTACGGAAACAAGATCAAGACAAGAGGGGAGCAACACTTCACCCTTAACTTATTTTAATCTTGTTAACAGCAACAACTTCCACATCTGCAAAGTGGCTGTACTTCTATCTCTGCAGAAGTCCAAGCTTGAAAAAAATCCAATTGAATGCCATGCAATTTGTTGAAATAATGAAATTGACTATCTAGACTAAACCCACACTTATATGTTCATTTAGGCCTATGTTTGTATTTGTATTGTCAGTATACAAGTTTGAATTGTACCTTTTTTTTTTTTTTGCTTGTATTCTGAAACTCATCTTTTTTTAACCTTCCGTTTTTGCTTCTCTTTAGTATCTTTAACTTTTAATAACTTTTTTAAAGGATTTTAAAATTTTCCTTTAAATGTTTTTTTGTTTTTTTTGTTTTCCTTCCTACCCTGGCCATTGTAGGTTAATTATTCTGAAATCCTTGGTTTATGAAGTCAGTTTCCAAACCCCATTATAGTAAACAGGCAGGTACGGTCGACATTATCCTTTCAGTAATGCAATGAATTATTAAAACGCTTTCTGAGGAATTTAATTCAACTTAATTTACTCCTTTTTCATCATGTTTTACTTTGATGCCACGATAGCCTACCTTAGCTAGCTTGTCCAGTGCAGATGGCTCACAGATCGAGCCGTTATTTGGACTGTACCAATGCTCACTGTAACGAGGGGTGTAAGTAAATGTCTGCGTTTACTCCAGCATCTTTGAATTTCTTTTTAAAGATCAATACTGACCAGTTTTGAAGACAGTCTCATGAATCAAATGATGGACAATTGCGCAGACTAAACCTATTGTTACACTCCAGCCCAGCAGGAGGCAGTGTTACTCATTTGTCTAACTCAGTGTCAGGTCTGCAGCTTTAAGCACTACACAGAAGGGTGCAGAAAACACTTCCTGATGTCTGACCATTGAGACGAATTTGACGTGAAGCTGAGCGTTTCTGTTTATATCCCTGACAGCTATGGTTACATTTCCTCCCCATCTTTGTAGAATACGTTGTTCTCATCAGAGGAGGAACTGAAGAAATAAGGCTTGTTTCTGTCCAGGTCACTGTTAAGGTAAAAACTATTTTCCATTTAGATATGTGTTTGTTAAAAGGAGTTGAGTTGCAGCTGCTTGTGTTTTGGAAAGTTTGTCTCTAGGTGAAAGTATCAAAAGCTATCAGAGAAGAAAACAAATCATAAATATGCCAATTAAGGTCAAAGTGGGGCTCTTAGTTTCATGCCATAATTTTACCCAACTAAATATCTGTAGGTAGTTTGATCTGCAGACTAGCATCATTGTACAAGTTATTTAAAAGCTTTTCAGACTCATTTTCCTTTGAGGACAGCTGAAAAAAGGGCACAAATCAAAGATATTTGTAAATCACACAGTAAAACTTAAATTGGTCGACCACAGTGTCAGATTAATGCTACCACTCATAGGAAGTAAGAATATGGATTTGACAATGCTTGTTTTTCTTCTTTCTTGTGTTTCAGCTCTAATTGGAGATGAAACAGGAGTACCAGGACCTCATCCTGCAGACCTGCGGAGCCTCGTCCCTGCGTGTTGGTGAAAGCATCCAGACACTGTGGAGCGGTTATGGCGAGATCGTCCGGCTGCACCTGGAGGGCTGTGATCGACCCTCTGTGGTCGTCAAGCATGTCAAGTTTCCTGAAGAGGCGGAGCATCCCCGAGGCTGGAGCACGGACCGCTCTCACGCACGGAAAGTGAGGTCTTATCAAGTGGAGACACACTGGTACCAGAATTACTCAGCCAATCAGAGCTGTCGGATCCCTGCTTCTTTGGCTGCTTGTTCCCATGGAGACGAGATGCTGATTGTGCTGGAGGACCTGGATGTGGCGGGTTATGGTCAGAGAAGGTAGAGTAAAGAACATTTGACTCACTCTATTATATCACATGAGTGCGCAAAATTCCACATTTCTTTTTCAGTGTTTTTGGTGAAATTATAAGATTAATTTGAGCACCAGACCTTAGGTACACCAGCTATATGTAAGTTCAGACGCAGCCTAGTCTGATCTTCACTTCTGATTTAGGATACAGTTGCATCAGTTGAGATAACACCAACAACTCAAACCTTGCACCAAACTTACAGTCTGCAAAACACCAAGTATCATTGTCTTTCAGGATACAGAGAAAAAGAAGAGGCATGATAAGAGGATATTCAAATTGTATTCTGGATACTAATCCTCATTTGTTTTTCTCTAGGACCAGGGTGAACAACAAAGAAATGAAGGCCTGCCTCAGCTGGCTTGCCCACTTCCACGCTCTCTTTCTCGGTGTGGCCCCAGAGGGTCTCTGGCCTGTCGGTACCTACTGGCACCTGGACACGAGGCCGGATGAGCTGGAGGCGATGGAGGATGCCGAGCTCAAAGCAGCAGCTGGAGACATTGACAGGATACTGAACGAATGCAGCTTTAAAACCATCGTTCATGGAGATGCTAAATTGGCAAACTTCTGTTTTTCACAGAGCGGACGGGATGTAGCAGCCGTGGACTTTCAGTATGTAGGCGGGGGATGTGGGATGAAGGATGTTGTGTATTTTTTAGGAAGCTGCATGGAGGAGAAAGAGTGTGAAAAGAAGGTACCAGGCTTATTGGACTACTATTTTGCAGAGTTAAAAGTATCCGTGAGAAAAGATGTGGACTTCTCTGCGTTAGAGAAAGAGTGGAGGGAGATGTTTGCATTTGCTTGGACGGACTTTCATCGTTTCTTGCTGGGATGGATGCCTGGACACTGGAAGATCAACCGCTACAGCAAACAGCTGACCAAGGAGGTTCTGCACAAACTGAGACTTGGATCAGAAACCTCGGGGGACTGAGGGTGTAACTGGAAGATGTTTACTTTGAACTTGGCAACCTTTATATTTTAAAATAAATCACTTAAAAAAACAACAACCTTGAGTCCTGCTTTCATCAGCAAATCAGCTCTGAATTAGTTTGGCTGATATATGTGACAAAGTGAAGACCACATTAAACTGTCTACAAAACAAATGTATTCAAAACACATGTAGCAATATGACAATTGTAGATGCAGAAAAGCTTATTGTGTTTGTTGTAACACAGACAAGCACAGAAACAGAGAATGTATGAAATAATAAGTTTAAACTACAGACAGCATGAATTCTGTAAGACAAAAAGTAAACAGGGGTTACTGTAAAAAAAAAAAAAAAAAAAAAGGAGTTTTATATTGTGTTCCTACCACCCTCACAGAAGATACAGGCATTAAGGATTACAATATCCAATTTGTTGGTTTTATCGTCAAGTGTTTCATTTGCTTTTTTTTTTTACATAATAAAGACACTCTTATTTCTCTATTTGTGTTTCATAACCCCTAAAAAAACTGCCCACATGGGCTTTAAAGGGATATTCCAGCGTAAAATGAATTTAGGGTCAAACACACTGCAACACAGAGTTAGACACCCCCTCCAGAGATGAATGTTGCCAACTATTTGCTTCTCTAGTTTTACCAACTTCAGTAACGACCAAACGATAGCAATACACAGCGGTCTGAGGAGCCATAAACAAACCTCAACCAAAATGCCACTCTATAGCCACAAATAATGCTCAGAACAGCACCTAGGCAAAGTTAAAAAGATGTTTGGTGTCTAGTACTATGGCTGGGACCCTATATGTCCTGTTGATGAAGTTAGGTGCTGTTCTGAGCATTATTTGTGGCTATAGAGTGGCGTTTTGGTTGACGTTTGTTTACGGCTCCTCAGACCGCTGTGTATTACTATCATGCAGTCGTTACTAAAGTTGGTATAACTAGAGAAGCAAGCGGTCGGCAACATTCATCTCTCAAGGGGGTTTCTAACTCGGTGTTACGGTGTGTTTGACCCTAAATTCATTTTACGTGGGAATATCCCTTTAAGGTCGTGAGTTTGCATTATTAGGGGCATGGCTGACTTGAATAACAGGTAGCAAACTCATGGCCAAAAGGCAACCCAACCTCTAATGGTTAGTTGTTCATTTAATAACTGAATGTAAAACAGTCCTGAATCTGTAGGATGCTTAACGATGTTTTTTTATAAGTCAGCGTCTCAGTCGGACCACCTGGGCCACCCAGTCTGGATCCGCCCCTGTTTCACTCCTGTTTCTTCTTCCTCTTGGCATTTCTTCCTGATCAGCTGTTGAGAGGATGATGACGCGTTTCCGCTCTCACACCCGACATTACAACAACAAGGCAGCGGGCGAGCCGAGTGGAGCCGAGCCGGGACGAGGAGACGACGGCACGAAAGGAGCGAGCAGGTATAAAAATAAAGCTCTCTGCAGCGGTAACAGTGCTTGGGTCCATGTTGTTTAGTGGTTTAATGTGTTGTCACTGTAGTAACGGTTTATTAAGCAGAATAAATCTAAAGAGAGTAAAAGCGACGGTAGCTGTCGTTAGCTGTGAAGCTAACACTGTTTGCTAGCTCGGCTTTAAAACAAGGGTCAAACAAAATATGAGCAGAGCTGCTCCTGTTTAGCTGCTTTGTACAGATACTTTCTTCACTGTATGACTAAGTTTAAGGAAATGTTGTTTTCAAGCAGTAAACGGCTTCAACTCTTTGTACGAGTCCAATAGTTTCGCTTTCTCTGAATGATATCCAGCTCGTTAGCAGGTTGTTTTGACAGTTTCGTGGAAATATGACGCAACACGGCAGGTGTGAGGAAGAGTGACCTGATACACGAGACCTCCACAACTCCACAGGAAGGAGGTTTTTATGTGTTAAAACGTCCTAAACAAGCACAGAGACTCATATTACTGCATTCTTTCCCTACAGAAACCCCTGAACAAAGACCCCAGAGGAAATCCTGTTGAAACAGTGAGGACCCTCCAGATATCCTCACAGATGAGGCTCATGTTATAAAGGGGGAACCACATGCCCCCTTCCCACAACAGGGACTGTTTGAGGTGTGTCTCTGAGTGCAGAATGGAAAGGATTTGAGGAAACCTTGTCCTCAGGTGAGTCCTGAGTCGTGACACTTAAGCTCATCTGAGCTCAGATTCTCCGGAGACCACCCTGATAGTAATATGAGCCATGGACCCTGGGGCTCTTGATACTCCCGTGACCTTGGTCATTAAGGCCCCGAACCAGAAGTATGAAGATCAGACCATCAACTGCTTCCTGAACTGGACTGTGGAGAGGCTGAAGAGCCACATCTCCAAGGTGTACCCCAGTAAGCCGGTGAGTGGCTGACTGGTTAATGGTTTTCTTGCAGCGTAATCTTCAGCTCATGTCGTTTTCAAGTGTAAGCTTAGTATGTTTAACAATCATATGACTCATACTGGGCTGTTAATGATCGTGTTGAGGTTGTTAAAAGGTGCATTGTGTTGGTTTTCAGCACAGAAAAGGGCGTACACCTCAGCTGAAAAATTAACTTCTCTAATGGTTATTCTTTGGCACTTTTCACAGAGGCTAAAAACAACAATTAAACAACAAATAAAACCCGACTCTACCCTCTCACTCACCCTCGCTCACCCACACATACACACACACAAGCGCACACAGAGTGAGAATTTAAGATATATTGTTAGAGACATGGCCTGACATCGAGACACTACATGAGGAAAGAGCTACCTTTAGGAAACACTGGAGATAAAAGATAAAAGATTAAAACCTGATGGACTAAAGCAAATAAAATGAACAAAGAAATAAGAGCTCTTTACCATAAAAGGGTAAAAGAAGTAAAAACCTCTAAGGCGGGAGTTTAGAAAAGGACTAAGAACAGAGATAATTAATAAGATTATAGAAAAGAAACATTAAGAATTTCGATTAAAATGAACATTTGCAATAAGAGAAATATAAAATGACTCATATTGGGCTCTTTATGATAGTGTTTACGTTGTTAAAAGGTGCATTGTGTTGGTTCTCTGCACAGAAAAGGATGTACACCTCCTGCACCTCATGCATAAGCTGAAAAATAAACTTCTCTAATGGTTATTCTTGAACAGGGAGACTGCTTTTGCTTATGGGTTGATTGATTGAAGTCTTCACAAGCATTCTTTTGTCCTCGTTTGCAAAGTTTTTGTCACTTTGCAGAGCAGAATACACAAAAAGAAGACAAAGAAATAGTTCAAACAATACCAGTTTACACAGATGTGCAGTTTGAGAATAAAACGAATCGGCTCCACCAGACCACACTTAGAAACAACCTGCTGCTCGTGGTAAATAAAGATGGGCATCGAGAATAAACTGAGCTATGCAACCATAGCAACAAGCAGCACATGCTAAAACAGGGTTATGTTTGGGGACTAGGGTTTCAGTGTGAAGTGCATCTCAGGTCACGGCCAGTAAGTGAGGGTGCACTTCTGATTGAAACAGCTAAGTAACTCACAAATAAATGTAAAAAATCTGCACAGTGCAAAAACTCATTCCAGTCATACTCATTTACTTGATTTGACGACTTAAGAGCAACCTGCCAGTCAGCAATAGTCATTCAGTTGAGGGTCTCAATTTCAAAGCAGTTGGTAAACCTTTTTATTCAAAATCTTTATTCACTTTAAAGCAACCAAGAAACACCCTTACACTTCCTTACAAGAATGCATTACATTTTTGGAAAGCCAGAGCCACTGCATATTTCATCCTGTGTCCCGACTTCCTCTGCTCAGTGAAGTGTAGCCTGTTCAAACAGGTTTACAGTTCTGTAGCTCTCGTTCAGTCACATTGGTCTGAAATGACAGGTTTCAGAAGTTTGCAGAAGAGCATTTTTGCAAAGAGATGCAAGTTAAAACACGTCTTGTGGCGAGTCTTTTATGTGAACTGTCCTTTCTACTTCAAATGTTAGCTTTCCACCGCGGTTGAGTGTCTATTAAATGAGATGAAAAGAGGAAGTGAAAGTTTGATGATGCACAGAGAATATGATTAAAGATTTCAAGTATGCTTCAGGTAAACTTTGTAATCTGATGATCCAGACCAGCAATCTTGTTTAATCTGTAAACGCCTGATCACTTAACACACATTGAGGATTCAACATCATGTGTCATACACTTCACATAATACAGTTTAGCTGTTAAATACAACCCAGACATCTTCCCTTACTGGTTTAATCTACTGTGAAACAGAAACTATCCTGCTTGACTACAAAAGAAACCCATTTTCTTTCACTTCTGCTTCGTGTCAGTGTGCCAACAGACTCGAAATGACGGACGGGTTTGAGAGTTGATCCTGAAAACATATTTGTCCGTGACATTTGAAACCCTTGTTAAGAAAACAGGAAGTCCTGTCATATATTGTAGATTTCATTTCAATTCTGTCGCTCCAGACTGTCGTAAAGTTTGATTAAAAGTCCATCCTTGACATGAGAAACACCTGGAGCTTCTGTGGATGTTTCTGTTTAATCTTAAATATGAGGCCTACATTTGCTGTCTGACTCTGTGCAGGATCAGTTTTACACAAAGGGTCACATGACTTAGTGGCACATAAAGAAACAGCATTTTTATCAGTTGTTTCTCTTAAAGGCAAATATATCTTTATCTGGTTTTAGTAAAGATTGTCAGGTGGCCGGCGGGTAACCTTTATGCTTGTCGTCACATGTAGGTGTGTTTTAATAACAAAAAAGAGTGTGTGTTTATACTCTCCGTGCTGTGTTTGTGTTACAGCTATCCAAAGATCAGCGGCTGGTGTACTCAGGGAGGCTCCTTCAGGATCACCTGCAGCTCAGTGATGTGCTCAGAAAGGTAAGATCTGCTGCAGTGCTGTTTTATATGTGTGTGTGTGTGTGTGTGTGTGTGTGTGCGTGTGCGTGTGTGTGAGTGTGTGTGAATGAGAAATCTGTTTACATGGGTAGGATCCAGTTTTGCAGCACAACTAAACCGAGTCATCTCTTGCACATTTAAATTTTTCTCTTGATTTCGTGGACTTTAAGGAATATTTGGCATCTCACTGTCCTGTATGTAGTCAGCTGTCCGTCAACTTGAATTCACAGCTAAAGGGTCAAACACAAAGAGCTTGTGCAGGATCAGCACTTCCACTTGTTTGTATTTTTTCTGTATTATTTCATCGCTGTTATTTCTGTTTCTAAGTAATAAAGCAATAACACACCAAAATTATATGTACTGAATGAATGTACTGTACATATGACTATCAAACATGAGCGGTAAGATCAGTGAGCGCATGATTATAACCCTCACTCATCAAATCTTCAATCATTAGGTTCCTGTTTTGAATGAGAGAAAGGCCTCAAAGGAAAAACCTGAACTTGGCTCTGCCCTTCAATCTGAGGGTCATAACTACCATCACCTTAAAAGTTTTGTTCGGTCAGACTAACAGAAAGAAAGAAAACTTCATCAGGTTTGATAGAGGAGAAGTAGGATACAGAAGGTTTTCTGTATTTTTGCTTCAGGAATTTCTCCAAACAGTTGAAAAAAACTGAAAATAATCATTTTAATTGACTTATTATTGAATCTCTGATGGAGTCATTTGCATAGAGGATAATACCTGCGGGTTATTGAGTCTGTGGGTTTGAGTACACAGACACAGTGTTTGTGTTAGTGTGTGTTTGTGTTTGTGAGTTTTTGGGAGGTAAAACAGTCTGTGTGGGAAACAAAAGCTGATGTGATGTGATTTACCAACAAAGGCTGAGCTTTGTGTTTGTCTTCTGGACATTTCCACAATAATCCTCTCTCTCTTTCTCTCCCTCTCTCTCTCTCTGTATTTGTCTCTCTGTTACCTTCACTTCCTCCTTCCTCCTCTTCTCTCCCTTCCTCCTCCTCCTCTTCCCCTCACACTCCGGCTCCTGTCTTAACCTCGTCGACCCGCAGCAGGATGAATACCACATGATGCATCTAGTGTGTGCCTCTCACAGCCCCCCAGCCTCGCCCATGCCTCGGAGCCCCTCCACAGCCGGCTCTTCTGCCTCGGACTCCAGCGTGAGTACACAGCACTGCTGCTCTCCTGACCTCCTCCTGTACGGCTCAGTTTATGAATGACAGCTTTGTTCAGGCTCGTTCCAGGAAACACGGCGCTGAAAAGACTCTCTGAGGTGACAGAAATATGCTTAGTCAAACATTCACCAGAGCCTGTGAGCCGTGTTGACTCTTACTCGAGTGTTTTAGCGCTTTGTTGTCATGTTAGCAGCTCGTGTATTCAGCTAAATCCAACGCTTGGATCCTGGAAAAGCCTGATATTGTAACTTTAAATTGTCCATGCTGTATTTTATCTTTTTTAAGAAGAGCTTTTCACACTCTCAGCTGTAATCCCGGAATGCTCCCCTTTTACTGCTTGTCTATCACTTTTTTACTGTAACATACTTTATTTTATCTGTGTTCACGCTGGTGTAACAAGCCGATGTGGCATTAAGCCTAAAATTAATGACTATTTGGTGCCTGAACTATTTCTATCTCCCTGTTATCTCACATAAAAGTGATCCAAATGAATTCCACGTAGAGAAGATCTATAAATATAAACTTGAAGAAAAAGGAGTGTGTGTTTGAGTGTTGCTGAGTCCGATTTTAGCTCTTCAGATTCTCGACTTTTCTCAGACTTTATCATCGAACTCCTCAAATGCCTCGTGTCTCCACAGATTTATGACTTATCATCAAAAAGTTGATACAAGTTTTGTAACGTTCACATTTCCTTGAGGCAGTTTTGGACAAAGAATGACCTTTTATGACACCTGATAAAGACGCACAGATAACAATATCTTATCTTGTTGCAGCAGGTGTTGAAACTGTATCAAGAGTTTATTCTGTTGGTTTTAATACCGAAAAGCAAACATTGATAATGTTCTTTAGAGAGCTCACGAATCTCAAGTTCCTATTCTGTTTGTATGTTGTCACACTTTAGCCAGGACTCTCTTTGGGTACAGTCTGAAATGCTGTTAAGGATCATTTTGTGTCTTCATATTTATGACAGAGATCATGACCAGCTTCTGTTTTTTTTGTTCTTTACTCAGAGTTCAGACAACGCTGGCTCCACCTCGCCTGCCAACACTCCTAATCAAGATGGTCAGCCAGTCTCCTCCTCCTCCTCGTCTTCTTCTTCTGTCCCAGGAAGTTATGATGGTCTGAGATATCGTGGGGGCTTCCCCCAGTACAACCCCCACAGCCCCCCTGCTGTCCCTCAGTGGTAAGAGTTTCTTATTATTTCTCGAGCTCAGACTGAGACTTCGATAATCGTATTTGAGGAATCTGAACTCTGAAAGATGCCTTAAATACTTGACTCTGATTGGCTAATTGCTGCATTCTGAAGTCTGCTATTTCTCTATTGCACACAGTTGCTTTGAAGAACAGACTGCTGCTCTTATTAGAGATTCTGGTTATAAATAAACATAATTTTTTATTTCCAGAAAGACTTCTTATGTAGTTTAGACATGTGATTGGTGAGGTAATGCTGCTGTAGTGTAGGTTCTTACAGCGGAGGAACACCTTCAGTATGAGACCCTTCTGCTGAGCATTGAGGCCCTAAACTCTGTCAGGGCACTAATCTCTTAACAGCCGTCTTGTTTAACACGACTCTTCATGTAACATCTTCACAGCAGGTTTTTGAAAGGCACATTTAAAGACTGAGAGAGCTTCATAATCTGATGTAATCCAATTCAACAGACTTGTGAGAAATCAAACCATTAAGAAGCTTTCTTTAATCAGACTTAGTCGAGACTGTGGGAGAGCGTCTATTAAACACAAAACACAGGTGGGAGTCTGATTTCTGGGCTGGTGTTATGTTGTATTATGGTAGTCTGAGTTGTTAAATACCTTGAATCCCTCGTTAAATCCTAGTATTTTTATATTTCCACAGGCCAGGGGGAGCCCAGGTCCCTCTACAGGGTGGTCTCCCTGCCAACATGGTTCCCCACCCCATGTACATGCCCATGCAGATGCTGTGGTGGCAGCAGATGTATGCACGCCACTACTACATGCAATAGTAAGTCATGTCTGTGTTTTATATTTCTGTTCTTTTATTCCACCCGTTATCAGTCACAGGACTTTGAATTTTTTGAATTTAATCTAAATCTTCTCTTCATCTTCCCTCTTCAGTCAAGCAGCAGTCGCCGCCTCCCAGCCTCCTGCTACTCCTCCTCCTCCCTCTCCCTCCCCCTCCTCACCCCTTCAACCTGCCCCGCCCAACGAAGCCGTGCAGCCGCCGCTAGGACCGAACCCGAACCCGGACCCCAACCCTCTACCAGAGAACCAACCGGCCAACCCCAACATCCAGATGAACGCACAGGGCGGGGCGGTGTTGAATGATGATGAGCTGAATCGTGATTGGCTGGACTGGCTGTACACGGTGTCTCGTGCCGGCGTGCTGCTCAGCATCGTTTACTTCTACTCTTCGTTTAGTCGCTTCGTCATGGTGGTTGGCGCGATGCTGCTTGTCTACCTGTAAGTCAATGATTCCATCACATACATTGTTTACACCTGAACTTATCGCAGTTGATTTCACTGCTGTGATAAAGCCACGTTCAAGTTGCGTCAGAAGTCAGATGTCGGGGGTGAAAATGACGTCACACCTAAGTTACCAGCGTTTGAGTTACCAAGTCGGAAAAAAACAAAATCAGAGGCGGAAACAAGATGGTTACATGTACAAAAGTTATTTTAGCGCTTACCATCTTGTTTTCGCCTCCAATTTTGTTTTTTTCCGACTTGGTCACTGAAACGCTGGTAACTCGGGTGTGACGTCATTTTCACCTCCGACATCTGACTTCTGACGTAACTCGAATGCAGCATAAGTCTTGGATTCTGATTGGTCATTGCATAGCAACAGCTCATAGCAACGGTCTGTTATTTCTCAACAGCTGACTCTTCTAACCACACACATACAACTGCTTAAAAGTGGCTCTAGTTACGGACTCTGGCAGACTAACTGTGATCATATCAGTGTTTTCATGAATGCAGGTCTAAGAGTGTGTTTGTGTTTTTCTCCCACAGGCACCAGGCTGGTTGGTTTCCCTTCCGGTTGGAGCAACAGAACCCCAGAGCAGGAGACGGAGCCAGAGCTCCTCAGGAGGAAGCAGAGAGACACCAGGACATACAGGAAATGGTCAGTCGGTCCTTGAGGCACCTTGTGCGCAGCAGCTAGTGTGTTTACTTATAAAAACATTACTATTACTATAATCTTTGCTCTTTGCAGCGCATGAGTCTCAGTATTTGTCAAACACGGTCATGACGGCCAAGAACAAACCCACAGCAGCTCGTAAAGGCCAAAATAATTAGTTACGTAACCGTGGTGATTGAATCGGGCTTCTAACTGCCTTGACTTGTCTAACAAGTTTTCTTTTAAAGGGCAGCCGGGAATTAAATCGAGGCATTAACAATCCCTTTAAGGTTAAACACGCAAGTGACTGGATAAACGTGCCTACGTGGAGACAGTAGAAATAACGCTGTATTTACTCCCAGCATTAGTCACAATGCTGCAGCCTTGTGTTGTATCTTATCAGCTGTTCTGCATTTCTGTTAACAACAGAATTTTGCATATAGATACAGTTTTAATACCTTTTTTCACCTCTTAAATATGAGCTGCACCCCCACACCTGTGTGACCAACATACCAGTATAAAATAGAGTGGTCATATCTTGAGTTAAGAGCATTTTACACCCAAGAAGCAAGTGTGTGAAGCCTGCTGGATTCTTAATGAGGCAGACCAGTCTTCACTTCACTCCCTCATTGGATTATAATCATGCATTTAAAGAGAACAGCGGTACGCTAATAGGCCTGGGAGAGCTGGTTTAGTTTACAAGACTCCTCACTTTAAGAGAGCAAGTGGCCACGAAAGAGGGATGATCTTCAAATCAGGAGCAGTGGGTCAACAGATGATACAGAAACAAGCATGTATACACAGTCCAAAACCTTTTTTCCAGCTATTTTATAATAGTGAAAATATTGTGATTATGCAGAGCTCTAAATGACACTCAAAACCAATAAAAGATAAAAGAAAGAGAAGAAACTAGAAGGACACATAAACGCGTTTGTTAATTTTAAAGTGGAGTCAAAGGCTTGAGAAGTAATACTGATGAAAAAATAACTGGGTCTATAAATGGCGAATGGTGAGAAATCATACTTTAAAGATTTCACTGTAGAAAAAAGGAGCAAAGAGAAAAATGTACACAGTAAAGCTCTGGTGTTCAGGTAGAAACAGCAACAGCAAACAGCAAACAGATATAGGTTTAACAGATCTTCGAGAAGGAAATACAGTGTTCCAGAAGCTTCACATCACTTTGGAGAACAAATACTAAGCGGAAGTCAGTATCCAGCAGACACAGAAGTGCAAAAATGGTCTTTCTTTAGTTGGATGCATCTCTACACCCTCACTGTCTTCTGTCATCTGTGTCCCAGGAACGTTTAATGGACGAGGGTTTGGAGGACGATGACAGCGGAGAGGAGGGAGGGGGAGGACATGACGACCAAGCTGCTGCTGCTGCTGCTGCTATACCTGAACCAAGCTTCCTTACCACCGCGTGGTCCTTCATCAGCACCTTCTTCACCTCGCTCATCCCCGAGGGAAGACCCCATGCAGCCAACTAGTCCAGACCCCCCCGACCCTCTGACTGACTTTGTCCTCCTGCCAGCAGGTACCGCTCTACAGAAGAATCCCAATACTTCATTTTACCGTCTTTAACACCCCGTCTGCAGAGACATGAGTCATGAACCCTCTTTCCCAAGATGGCTGAACCCCAGCCAGTCAGCTACTAACCTCTGACATGCTGCCAACAAACAGACCTTTATCCCAGACCGGTACTCTGAAGTGTTCGAGCAGGTGCGGTGTGAGTTCTGCAGGAGGGGAAGCAAATATTAAGAAAATAAAAGAGAAGCTGTTTTAATGGATTAAGTGCTTCAACGGTGGAAGTTTTTATTTTTTATTTTTGTCTTCATTTGTTGTGAATTCATTGATACGTGGTGAAGAAGTGAGAGCCTGGAGGGAGCTGTCTTCCATCTTAAGCGTTGAAAAATAAGGTTGTTGAGACTTTTTAAAGGTGGATGTGGACCACGAAGAAGAGAGGAAATCTCCTGAGAATAAAAGGGAGAGATGTCCTGAACAAACCATAAGAAAACCACATCCCTATAGACATTATCACGTATGCACATGACGTGCATACTGACATTGCAGCTACTGAAGCACATTGTTTTCCCACTTTGTGTATTTAAACATTAAATATTTACACATGTAAGTATATGCATCTTTAACTCCTGAATATAATAAGCTTTTTTTTGGAATAAAATCTTGCTGAGGTTTGACTCGTCTGCTGTGGTTCTTATTCTCTAATTCCACATATGACCTCTAGGTGGTGATGTTCACACACAGATCTCTGCAGAAGAGGTCCTGCTTCCTCTGTGGATTAAAAGAACTCACTCTGGCCCTTTAAGGCCTGAAACCACAAATTATGACCAGAAAATTCTATTTTTTGGAGCTAAAATGTTTATTTCACTTACTACTGAAAACCAAAATAAAATCAGAATGTCCTTAAAATTTAACAAATATATTAATTTATCTCATTTGATACAGTAGATGTTTTTGGAAAGTGATAAACCACAAGAGGACATTTTATTATTAATCAGACTGTATTCAGGTGTTTTTTTAAATAATTTGTTGATCATATTGATTCGATAAAAGTATGTATCAAATATGATACAAAAGACATTATAGGGTTAAGACAGCAGATCCACTGTGATTCTCATGTTTGGATGACTGAACAGTGAAAGAGACAGTTCTCAAATATATGTCATAAACATCCTATTACTGCTCAAAACACCCCCAACCATCACAGGGCTGATGAATAGAGAGACACAGTCATTCACACTCACACTTTCAGGACAATTAAGAGCGACCAATTAACCTAGGGAGCATGCCTTTGGTCTGTGGGAGGAAGCTGGAGTTACCCAAACTTACATGAGGAAAACATACAAACTTACAGAGGCCCCTACCTGGCGAGGGATTTGAACCAGGAACCTTCTTGCTATAAGGCACCACTGTGCAGCCCTTGCTTACAGAACACTCAGACTTAAACCAGTAAAATCAAGCGTCCCTCCTTGGATCAGCAGGTCAACACTTGAAGTCCTGTTGGCCAAATGGATTAAGCAGAGTCTACTGTTCAGCGGTCTAACTCGTCTTCATGAAGACACACATTTCCTCTGTAATAAAGGCAAAAAATGCCCAAAAAGATAACCCGTACTTGGGGCTGGGCGATAAAACAATAACGATATATATTGAAAATTAATTTACCTAAATATCAATATAAAACATGGTCCATATGCTTTTCGATAGCTGGCATTCAGCCATGTTTTGATAGACTTTAAGAATAGCCAATGAAAAGGGGAGTTGCTCCAGGTTCCCTTCACGCTGAACCAATCATGCGCTGAATTAGAATCAAGTAGCAAACAACTGCGTAGTAGCAGGCTGCAGCTACACGCAACCATAGCACTTCAACATGTGAAGCCGACAGCACTGTCAGTGAGAAGAAAAGAAAATGAGTGCTACCCCCGACAGAAATACAGATAAAGGCTCAACAGATGACAAAATCGTCGGTGGAATGACATGAAGCAGAGTAATGTTCACTGCAAATTATGTCGAGTACATGTTCACACAAAGTCAGGGAATACCTCAAATCTTTTTCACCAACTGAAGCAGCGCCACGCAGCAGAGCACGCCCATGGCGCCTGTGCAGCCGAAACAGCCGCAATGCCTTACGACAAAACGTCAAAGAGACACAAAGACCTCACAGATGCAGTAGCTTATTGTATTGCAACAGACATGCTACCAATAAGTACAGTTAAATTTCATTTTTTTATCTTGATATATATCGATATCGCCCAGCCCTACCTGTACTTCATTGTTTCTGAGGGGAGATGATAAAGTGGCATACATCGAAGTGTTACAAACATAGAATAAAAAACAAAACATAAATAAAGCAAAAGTGAAAGCGCTCTAAGCAGTGCCACAGATTCCCATCGGTGACCGTTTTAACACAGACATAAAAAAAAGGTCAAATACTGAGATTTGTGACCAAAACTAGAGCCTTTCCCATCAGCCACTGCAGACAGTCAGACTGGGGTTTACTGCCGAGTGAGTTTGTTTACGAGGCATTTGTCTCAGTTTGTCTGTGCAAAAACAATTCACACAGAACTACAGCAGAAAAATAGAAGTAAAAATGCTACTAAACATCCGTGTTATGACCGTCAGGGGATCTTAAATAGAGTAAAAAGCATGGACCACTCATTTTTACAGGCTTTTCTGGAGTACACACTCATACTGAAGCAGCTCTAACACCAAAGTACCTCTGAGCACAGGTAAAAGTTTGGATTAGTGTTGCTGTCTCGGAGTTTTAAGCATACACAGGCTGACGTCACTCTGCCACCTTCCTCCCAGATAGAGAGGTGAGCAGGGAAGCAGCTCAGACAGCGATGCACTTCAGAGAGTCCTCCAAAACCCTCTAATCAAATGACCATGGATTTTTGTGTAGTTGGTCGTAGAAGGCCCAATTAATTATGCATGACAGCGGCTTGACGGCCATTTGATTTCGTTACGCGCGCCCCCGCCGAGCCGCCGATCCAATCAGGTTAGGACCCCCCACCCTCCCCCTCGAGTAAGACTCCCCTTATCGGAGGAGAGATTTCTCTAAGAGGGTGTTTGGGGTCTTGTAGGACATTTCATCATCATAATAAGTCGTTGTTATGCAGCCGGTCGCTCCTGTTTCCCTGCTATCAGGCCTCGTTGTCTTTGGAGAGGCAGCAGTTGGGCTGGACACATGCCACAGAGATACACTGAGTTTATTAGGTAAACACAGAGAAGATTGAGGGGAGAAGGGGAGAGTGTGTGACACCTGTAAGGACAAGATGATGATGCACTGCAGCACCTGCTCCCAGTGAAGTGTCCGGACTGAGCATGTGCACGAATTTCATGTTTAAACTCCAACATTACATCATATAGGGAAGATAATCAGATTGGTGTAAAGAAGGACGAGTTGGAAACCGATACTCAATGTACCAAAAACAAGACACAGTTTTCTCCAATCGATTTAAAAATTGAAAAATTTAACAACATTAAGAAAAACATGACGCTCAGCTCAAACAGCGTAACCCCCTGGTGAGCTACGCAATCTTTGAACGCCCATAGGCTATATCAAGTGTCAATCATAGTAAACATGAACCCCCTAATAACTTTTAAAAATGTAGCTGTACAGAAAAAAGAGGACTTGAGCACAAACCAGTCTTACTGTAACTACATGTCAACATCACAACCAGGGAGGAGAAATATTTATATTCTGTGTAATAAATTTCTAAAGTTTGTTCACAGCTCCATAGGGATTGCTGGAGGAGGCGGGATTTATGACCTATACTCCAGCCCGTCACCAGAGGGTGCTGTTCTCGCAGTGTCTTCACCTGGCGAGGAGGCAGACGGCGTCCATTCTATATGCAGTCTATGGTCATCATTATATTGTGAGGTATGTTGGTATCACGTCATGGTGTGTATAGTATTGTGTCATATTGCGTGGAGTCATTTTATGTCATGCTCTATCGTGTTATATAATTTGATGTTATTGCGGATCATAAGGTTTTGTATAAATGTCCATCATGTCACGGGTTGGTTCATTATGTCACGTTCCAGAGTAAAACAAAAAAGAAAGGACCCAAAATGCAGAACACACAAAAAAGGATTTATTTAAGAAGAACTAAAACAACAAAAAAATGGCTTTCCAACTTGTCCAACCCAAAGAACCACAAAATCCAAAATAAGACACTGGCATACAGACAAGAAGATGTACAACATACAATGAACCAACAAAGAAACAGGAGAAGACAGAGACTATATTTACACAGGGAAACAAGCAACGAGAGGCAGGTGAGACACTGAGACACAGGTGCAGACAATCACAGAGGAAGTAAAACATGACTAGAAACACAGGGAATAAACTACTACAAAATAAAACAGGAAACACTGAAAACTGATCTGAAGAATAAAAAACTGGGAACAGGAGGGAAACACGGTCAGAAAATAAACTCAGATAACCAAAAACCAGGGAAAACTAAACACCAGAACATATCATGGCACATCATATCATATTTTATCATCGTATCTTTCCACATCAAACTGTATACTCTGTGTGTTTTGTATTTCCATGCTGTAGACCAAGAGTTCTGCAACTAATTCACTGACTTTTGATAAGCAACTATAACAAAACTATTTACAAAAATGAAACTAACCATCCCTTTAAATCCTCAAATATAATGGATTAGAATTACTCTAAAGTCCTAAACTTCGTCAAAGTTTTATCAGTTTTGCTTTTCAAGTATTTTAATATTATCTACTAAATGTTTTTGTCTGTATGCTGGTGTTTGTATAGTTGAGAAATCTTTGAAAATCTGCTCCGAATCTGTTCGTTTTTAGGGTTGTGAGAAATTTGTTTTTCAGTCTGTCAGAGGACACTCTCAGGACAAAAGCAAAGAGACTTTTGAAAAACCATCAGGTCTCATCCGTAATGAACTACTGCGTCCAGCATTGGTCAGCATGTCTCCTGTATACAGTAGACTCCAGCATGTGTCAGGGGCAATCTTACACAGTGTGTTAAGTGTGTCTGACACTGAAGGGAAAACTTTTACTTGAATCTTCTGGCCAGAGTTATCCGTCCACCCACTGCTGTCAAAATGACAAACATGATATGTTGTGATTAACGTGATTATCTCCTGATTCAATTTATCCCAAAAGATAAATACATTCATATCAGACCAAAAGATTGTTTTTGCATCAGTTTTGACATTTCACTAGATTTGTACGATACAGAGTTTGAAGTTTGGAGCAGGTCAGTGTAATTCATCATTCACTCAGAATTCTTTTGAATGTTTTATGCTCGTAAATAAAACTATGAACTGTTTCTGTATTTAAATACTATAAAGTTTTAATGAGCTGTAATCTATCAGATAAATATCCTAATTATAAGCATAACTTTCCTTTTTTTTAACATTAACACATTTTAAATTCGTTATTTTTTCGCTGATTGTTTGACGTTTCTGCTGCGACATCTTCACGCCACCTCAGCCGATAAATACTTAAAGGGATATTCCGGCACAGAATTAATTAAGGGTCAAACACACCGTAACACTGAGTTAGACACCCCATCGAGAGATGAATGTTGCAGACTGCTTGCTTCTCTAGTTATACCAACAAGATAGCATTACATATAGCCACGCGCTCAACCAAAACGCCACTCTATAGCCACAAATAATGCTCAGAACAGCACCTAACTTCATCAACAGTACATATACGGTCCCAGCCATAGTACTAGCCACCAAAGAAATTTTTAACTTTGCCTGATTTCTTCAGCAAAGAGACTAAACACAACTCACCTACTCTCTTTCAGCAGCCGCTTGTTTGTAGCGAGACCTCAGGCCAGTCCATTACAGACTACAGCGGGGTGACGCAGCTCAAGGAAGAACATTTATGATCATTTCTGATTGCATTTCCATAAAGTAATGATCATAAATGTTCTTCCTTGAGCTGCGTCACCCCGCTATACTCTGCAATGGACTGGTGTGAGATCTCGCTACAAACAAGCGGTTGCTGGAAGAGAGTAGGTGAGTTGTATTTAGTCCCTTTGCTACAGAAATGAAGCCAAAAAGCTGTTTGGTATCTAGTACTATGACTGGGACCGTATATGTCCTGTTGATAAAGTTAGGTGCTGTTCTGAGCATTATTTCTGACTATAGAGTGGCGTTTTGGTTGAGTGTGTGACTCTCTGTATTGCTATCCTGCGGTCGTTACTAAAGTTGGTATAACTAGAGAAGCAAGCGGTCAGCAACATTCATCTCTCAAGGGGGTGTCCAATTCGGTGTTACAGTGTGTTTGACCCTAAATAAATTTTACGCTGGAATATCCCTCTAAATAACTTTCTCCTGGACTATCGCTGTGTCTCAGTCATGTGGGGTTCACTAGCTTTACAGATGTCTCAAAAAAATACCTCAAAACTTCTCAGTAAAGTGCACAGCTGTCTCTTTTCACCACTAATTTGTGTATATCCTCTAAAGGATTACAGGCCTCATGAGTAATCTGCGAAACGTTAGTCCCCCGTTTGAGCTCAGAAACCCTCTGACAGACTCGTTTGTATTCGGGTTGAAATCCAAGCGTTTGTGGGCACAAAGTGGAATTAGTTGAAGCTCTATCAAGAAGTCTTGTCGTCTCTGTTTGTCCTCCGCCAACTTTGCTTTCATGGAGTATTTCCTCTAAACTGATTCCCATTGTTTGCCAACAGGTTCCACATTTCACCACAAACTCTCCCGTGTCCTTTGTCCTCCCTGAAGCACTTTGTGGCCTGTTTGTTAAAAGCCCTTTTATCGCTAAATTTGACTTGGCACATCTTGTCAGGAGCGCTCGCGGCTGATGAGAGTCTCGACCTGCAGATAAAACATCCATTAAAGTGGTTTGTCTGGGCCGATCCCGTACTCTTAGGCCTTATTAGCATATTGTTAGCCATTAGCAGGATGGGACAGCAATGAAAACACACACACATACACACTCTGCCAGTCACCACACCATCAAGAAGCACCTCTCACCCTGCTGCTGTGCTAAATGTGGTCTCTGACATTGTAATACTCGCTGGCTGTCTTCTGCCAGACGGTTCAAACGACCGCTAAAAGCCAGAGGGGGGGGGGGAAAAGGTCCAAAATGCAAAATTGATGGAAATGACATTAGATTCAGCTCATGCTCCTCAGTGTGTAAATTATGCCCCAAAATGGACTCTCTGGCTTGACTGTAAACTCCAATTTGTTGGGCAATACCTCACGGTGGCTCGTCTCGCCCTTCCCCTCTCCCTTTAATCCAATCAGAGCCACACTGGATGTTATTTATTTGTTTATTTATTTATTTTCAAAGGATGTAAGCGATTCTTATCAGGCCAGAAGTGGGGCCTTCTTCCTGGTGAAACAGTGACTAACGTCCAGCCATCGATCCATCAGTTTGTCTGTGGTGGCGGGTGATGGTTCTGGTGATAGACAGCTCTTTGTGTGGATGAGTGTGTGCACTTTGTGTACCGGAGTGAACAATACAGTTATGGGTGTGTTACACAGTCTACTGTCGAAAACATAAAAAAAAAAAGAAAACTTAATGTATGATTCAGAAATTTCAGACACGATTCAATAAATAATCTAACAAACAAAAAACAAAACAATCCGATTTGATGCAATAGAACATAATATAATACAGTATGATAAGATTTGATAGAATTTGGACCAGTGTGCCTAATACAATTTAACAGTATTATATGGTATGATGAGATAAATTTAAAATAATACGGAATGATATGGTCAGACAAGATCTTACAGAACTGAATACAATTTGGTAAAACAAGATAAGATACAATATAATAGGATAGACATAAAACAGTTCAGTATTTTAACAAAGTATCACATGATACGATTTGATATGACTGTCTGGAATGAGATAGGACAGGAAAAGACATGATACCATGTGATGGTATAGAGTACAGTTCAGTGTGATATGGTATAACGCGTCACAACACAGTACAATATGATACAAAATATAAGGATAGGATATTATATGATATGATACAGGACAATACAGAACGATACGGAATAATACAGAAAGATACAATACAATACTGTACAGAATAATATAGAAAGATATGATACAAAATGATACGATATGTAACAGAGTGATTTGTTACAATACGATATAATACAATCCAGAACAATGCGATACAGAACAGCACAATACATAACAATACAATATGATACAGAACGATACAATACAAAACGATACAATATGTTACAGAGTGATATGTTACAATATGATATGATACAAAACAGAACAATACGATCAGATATGATACAGGAAGTTATGATACAATACAGAACGATACGATACAGAACAATACAGTATGATACAGTTGGTAGGGTATGATTCGGTACAATACAATACTACAAGATACAGTACAATTCTGTGCTATACAATATGACACGAAACAATACCATACAATGCCATGTGATGTGATATGACACAACACTAGGATAGGATAGGATAGGATAGGATAGGATAGGATACATTATGGTACAAGATACAGTATATTACAACGCAATTCGAAACAATACAACACAACATGACATGGTACAGTACAATACAGTAACATAAGATACAATATGAAATAATAAGATGTGACACAAAATAGTAAAATACAGTACAATACTATACAATATAACACAACATGGTTTGATAAGATACCATACAATACAATGCAATACAGTAGGATAGGATATGAAACAATACGATACAGTACCATGTAATACAATATGATATAATATAGTAAGATGTCATACAATGTAACTCATAAAATACAATATGCTTTGGTTCACTATTTTGTCTTGTTTAGTAAATTTGCTTCTGCTCAACTGCTGTGTTCACTTTGGGAGACACAAATATAGGTATTTAGAACATAAAAAGCAGCAGATTGACATAAAAAATTAAGCTACAATAATACATGTATAATATATAATATACATGCTTTAATATATAATTATTGCACTTTATTGTTTCAGCCAAATCAAATGTTTTTCATCTTTATTTTGTGGCCTAGAATACACACAAACACTACTTTGACCCGGTTTGATTCCTGACCTTGTTTTCTTTTCCTTATTTAACCTAATTGACAGTTCTGTATCTGACATACATTAACATTAACTACTACAGTTAGAGAAAAAATAAAGTTGAATTTGATTGTCATGCATCTGCTTCTAATCTTCCATCAAACCCTTAAAACAGTTGGTAAAATTCCCTAAATGCAAATCTGCAACATTTCTGAGCTCCTATTAGAGTTTAAGCATTTCAGTCCTGAGTCTATTAGCTTCACAGAGCATTATTATTGATGATCTTTGGCTGTGCTTTAAAAATTCAACAACTGCCCAGACTTTCTGAGGGGATGTTTTGTTTGATTTAATACACATTTTATTAAGTCAGGACTTTTACCTCAGTGTGTCAAACTTTCTTACCAGAGATCCCTGAAGTCCAACGACGTAAACGCCACTGCTGCAATATTCAACATAAACAACAAATATTGTGAATAAACGTGATCAGAACTGCTTTAGTAGTTTCAAACACTTTCCCCTTACTCATGACTTTAAACACCAGAGCTGCTCATAATAAGTTATTATTCATAGGTTCTTTAGTTTTGTCTTATGAACAACTCTCCCTTACTTATTATGTGAACTTTTTATAATTGTATATCTCATTTTACATTGATTATATAATCTGCATATAACCATAGAGTCAGATTTATACTTTTAAAAGTTGAATATGATACTGTTATGATGTACGGTTTCAAATTAATTCAAGTTCATATAAAAGTAATGAGCTTCTATAATTGAAATAAAACATTAAATATCTTTATTTTTAGAACAACTTGATAATAGTTGCAAGTATAAGACTAGATATTTAAAATTTATTTAAAAGGAAGCTGGAAAATAAATTAACAGTGTTTGCGTCTTCTTCACACTCCTTTTCAGACATGAATGCAAAATAATCCAGTGTTTGATAATCTGGTATTAAACTTTATCTTGTATTTAGTGTAATATATTTATATTTTGTATGATATCTTATGTTTAAAATTAAATTATATCAATCACCTCTTTTGCGGTAGAGCAACAGTGATCTGACACTTTAATGCCGACGCATCCTGTGATCCTGCTCGAACACTTGATACCAAACACTTCTTGTCATGAATATATGATCAATATTTGCAGTTTGATGCCTCATTTTCTGTGAAGAGTTAAATGTTGGACAGTTATGGTGCTTAAGTGCTAAACTGACAAAATACACATGACTTTCCAAACTTAAAGGTTGTGGATAAATGTACGTGTAGAAAATATTAAAGGATTTGAATGGCCTTAAATTGTGAGATTAATTTTATTTTATACTTTTAATAATAAAAAGTTCTAGGTAACAGTTTAGTCTTACAGATTGAGCTTGTGCAGACTTGATAAACTAAGATTTTCTGCAGAAAGAATTTAAAGAAGAAACCAAAAGTTGTTGTTTTGCCTACAGGCTTTTTTTAAAATTCAAAGTTATTTTAAAACTCATTTTTATTCAGTTTATGAAGACAGATTTTTCTCCTCTCATTGACTATAATGACATTCAGAAATTTAACTTGTGTGGGCAGAATTTGAGTAAAAACTACAACATGAGTTTAATTTTGAACAGCTGACCACTAGGTGGCAGTGTAACATCTGTCTAGAGTTAAATCAGGATGAAGTTAAGACAAATATAATTTTTGTTTTTGGCAGCTTCTTAGATTTACACTCAATATTTTATCTTTAAGCTCTTAAACTAGAGGGAGGAAGTTCATAAATCCTTTCACAATAAAATAATAACTCAATGAATGTCTTCACCCACTCATCAGACGTCGGTTTCCCTCGTGGTGTCAAACTGTTTCAATGACTTTATTTCTTCCAATGCAGTTCTTAGAAATAAAAAAGAAAACTGTACACATTTCCATAGAGAGAGAGAGAGAGAAAAAAACTCAGAGTTTAGGTGATGATATATATATTTCTCAAGGTTTACAAATACTATTTTTAAATGCCACATGGTACATTACACATTACTTCCAGAGAGCAAAATAAATATATTGCACTTAAAAATCATCCAAACACAATCTCATTCAGTGACGTTCATGTGACGGCATACAAAAGAAAAAAAAGGTCTTTACAAAGAGTAAAACAAGTTCTTCTCAGCGGTGAGTCAGGACTGTGCGGACACTGATGGAGATCAACATTCGAACATAACAAAGATCTGGATTCAGCAACACTGAAGGAAATCACTAAGATAAAGAGTGTTTTTTTCACTGCCTTTAAAAGTCAAATAAAAATCCACTTTTTGACACTGATGATAAACGTGGAGTCAGAGCGGATCATCTGTGTCTGAATAGGGAGTTAAAGAGTGAGCACAACCAGCTGAAGCAGGTCTTTGAACGTCCGTTTGTTCACACAGCGAATCAGAAATTGTCACAAACTGCGTCAAACTGCTCCTGCATCAGAACGCTGCTGTCATGACGGAGAAAACTGTGAGTGTTTCTTTGGATTGATACATAAATAAAACCTCGCTGTGAAAAATCCGTCAGGAGTCATTTTATCAATTATTTCTGAATCATTTTCACAACAGGAAAATCATCCGAGTAATTTTTTCATACAGGTTCTACTTTTAATAAATTTAAAATATAGTGTCTTTTTTTTAATGAGACAACAAATAACCGTCCTGTGCACATTTGTGGGTTTTTTCCCACATGTACTTAAAAAAACCATGTTTTTCAGACTTATTAAAGCAGATTTTCTTCATTTTTTTGTTCTACTTTTAATTTAATATTTTCTAGTTTTGTAACTTCCTTTTTAATGACTAAAATAAAGCTTTTGTTTCATGAGGAAGCCTATATAAGAGTCTGGATTTTTCCTGCAAAATAAAAGAACTAACTTTTATTTTGCTCCTTTAAATATGAAGCATGTACGTGAAATTAAAAGATACAATAAAATATCACTGCTTTTTAGGCTGATGTTGATTTTTAAAAACATTTCTCTATATCAGATGTTGATTTATTGACTTATTTATTTGATTAGGATCTCTCAGTTACTTTTACTGTTTCACTTCATCGACAGAGGGCATAACTGTAAGAGTAAATGATTTTTTTAGGCTTAAGATAATTAATTTCAGGAGAGTAAAACTCTGAAATAGAAAAAAAGGAATTTTGCATCCTGGATGAAATGTTTGTTTTCAGGATGTGAAGCACCTCAACCCAAAACTGATATGTTTATGAATAAATTCATGTTAAATATTCCTTCAGGTGGTTGTCTAATTTGTGTGTTTTTTCCTGGTTCATGTATTTTTGAGGATGACTCTGTGAGCTGCTGTTTTATGAAGCTGCTCCGTCTCTCTGCTCTGTCTGCTCGTGTTGTAGTTTCCTTCCCCCGTTTTAAATGAGACAGCAGAGAGTCATTATTTCCAGGTGAGGACGGCCTGTCGACACGCTCTGATGCAGCCGTGAATCAGCTCGCTAACACCTGCTGCTAACTGAATACAGCCGAGGAGACCGACTTCGTGTTTCTTCACAGATGCTGTTTCATCTTTTCACAGGGATGTCATCCCTCCTGCATAAAATGTTGCTTCTCTTATCACCAGAAAAAGCAGATTTCTGACCTAAATTATAAATAAAACTTAAAATTTGAACTCATTTCATGGTCTGTTAAAGGCACGGTCACACCAGAGACGAAAATAACACACTCCTCTTCACACAGACCTGCTTATAGAATCAGTTTGGTGACAAAGTGACTGATCCAGTTGTTAGGGTTCGTTTAGAAACTCTGTAACTGCTAAGAGTTCATCCTCGTGTTTCTAGGGTTAAATTATACAGATTGAAATACTTATCAGCTTTGTGACAAGATGAGACTCCTGAGAGGAGTGTCTCATGAAGGGGAGGATGGGTCTGAAACCAGAGTTTTCAGGGTCATGATGCTATCTGGCTAAATCACCATGGAAACTAACCCTAAACTCCTTATCTCTTTTCTTTGAATCACAGCTTTAACCCTCCTCTAAAGTCCAGACATACTTTTTAGATCATCAGCTGGTGTAGTATGAAGCATTTTGTCACCTTAACCCAATCTAACACCTCCATCCTAACTCAGATTTGTTGTGAATTGACTCTATAGAAAGAACTTCTCTCTTCATTTGCAACAGCAGGGCTGATTTTAACTTCATGTGAGAGAGTTAAGAGTTGAAAACCAGCCTCTTGATATCTCTGTCTGGACCTTTAGACTCTGTAGAGCCAGCTTGCTAAGAAAAGCCAGGGTATGTAAAGCTTGTTGCATGGTTTTACCCCCCTGGTCAGCCCCCATACTTTCCTCTACAACCTCAGATCGTCTCCAAACTTCATCTTTTGTTTTATATATTAAGAGATCCCACTTTTTTGGACTATATTTTGAATTTTGAGGACATTTCTGGTGTGGCCGAGCCTTACAGGTGTATTAAAAACTCCCTCTGCTGTCACAGATCCGCTCATTCACGCCTGTCTTATTCCATATAAAGTGAGTTTGTCTACTGCGCTCAGCATGCGTCCTATAACTTTGTTTTTTTTAACTCTACAGTGAGAATTGTCCTAGGAGTAAATGTGGATTTTACATCTCTGTACACGTCTTTTTCTCGTTTGCTGTGAACATTAGACTGTGAAGCTGGCTCTCTGTACAGAATATGGCTGCCTCTCTGAAAAAAAACAGAGGAAGCTGAGATGGCTGCTTCGCCACGCTGATATGCTGAAATCCAACAAAGTGTCACATCAAACGAGTCCGTTCAAAAAGTCATTATTTTAGGATTCACGCGACAGCCTGCCGTCTCTTCTGAGCCTCAGTGGAGACCGATCAGTCAGACAGGCTCTTCTGGATGAGTCTAGGTTGAGGATTTGAGGATCCGCTTCCTGTTCTTCAAAGGCCAAAACCAAACATGCTCCTTTTGTCGTCTTGCGTTAGTTTGTAAATGAGGTTGTCGATCTTTTGTACAAAGTCTCCAAAGGGTTCGTAGGTCCCGCAGAGGCTCATCGTCTTCAAGTGGCGGTCTGCAGATGAGTTATTTACAAAGTCCAGAGGGGAAAGACTCAAACAGGATGAGGAGTGACGAGCTGCAGTGGAGGAGTAACTGGTTCGTGGACGAGCATCAGCGGACGCAGTCATACGAATGGAGTCATGACCGTGGAGGAGTGGCGGAGTCCCTGGATGGCGGCGTAGGGCCCCTGTTGGAAGTAGTGGTGGTAGCGAGGCATGTGGAAGGACGGGAAGGACGGCCCGCTGCCCTGCATGGTTCCAGCCAGAGCGGTGGGCGTCAGCGGCATACCCAGCCGGCTGTAAGGGGGCAGGGAGCCCTGGATGGGGTGGGGGAGGGAGGCTGTGCCGGTGCCCATGGCGGACAGGGTCTGAGGGTGCTGGAAGCCCGAGAAGCCGGAGGTGGTGGTGACCCAGGAGCTCAGGGAGAGGTTGTCTGAGGCGGTGAACGCTGACCCTGCAGAGAAACACAAGACTGAAGTTAATCAGTGACACACACTTGGATTAAAGAGTAAAAGTTCTTGATTTGTTAAGGGTTTGAGGATCCGTCAGGTGTCACAGCAGCTCACCTCTGGTATGCGCCGAGTGCCCGTCCTCGCTCAGGTTCTCCTCGTCACCGGCGTAGGTCCGGATCGGCGATCGTGCATATGAGTGCTTGTGGATCAGATTCTCAACACTTTCCCTGCAGCAGAAGCCGAAGAGAGAGCCCCAAAATAAATCTCTTTTTTTCATTTGAGAGATGCAAACAAAGAATAAAACACAGAGCACGCTGAATTTAAAGGGATATTCCGGCGTAAAATTAATTTAGGGTCCAACACAACATAACACCGAGTTAGACACCCTCGAGAGATGAATGTTGCTTAAAATTAAAGGGCCGGAATATCCCTTTAAGGTTGCATGACTGATCTGATCAAACTTCTCTGATTGTTTGGTTTGAATATCTAATCATGATTTCTATGATCACTTCTGCTTCTCCACAACAACAAAAAATCTCTTTTTACAGATTTCTTTCAATCCTTGTGGCGTTTTTGTCCTCGTCTTTAAATGTGTGCCCACCCTTATTTACTGTGTGTGTGTGTGTGTGTATGTGTGTGTGTGTTTACTGTCCCACAAAGTGCATTAGCTCATTTGAGTCTTGTCAGAAAGCACTTCTCAGACACAGTGACACAAATTGTTGGGGGAAGTTGTGTGCATGTGTGTGTGTGTGCATGCATATATATGTCTGTGTGTGTGTGTGTGTGTATGGCCAGTCAGGCGAGTGGTCTGCATCATGAGAGCCATGCGTCCACATTAGCAGCCCCCTCCTCTGCTGCCCCTCCAATTAGGTTAGGGAAGTGCAATATCTGTCAGCAGAGGAGTACAAATGTGTGTGTTTTTATCAGCGTCGGGCCCCTCCGGCGCAGAGGCCGCAGCGAGCTCCCACAATGCACAGCAGGGACGGAGGGGGAGACAAGGGGGGCGGGACATGCTGGTTTCAATCAGTCAGCGCAGCCAATTGAATTACAGTGTGTTTTAGTGCAGTGGCCGACTCCAGACTAATGTGATTTCTGCAGCTCCCCGAAGATCAATTGATCAGGTCTAATTCACAGCCCTCAAAAAGAAAAGACAGAAAGAGAACAAGAAGAAGAAGAAGAAGAAGAGGACGAGGAGGGAGGGGGGGGCCTTGGCTGTCTCTGCTTTGGGACGTCTGATTGAAGGAAACTGGACAGACGGTTTGACTCTGTCAGCTGATTTTGATCGTAGTGCCGGAATCAGGAATTACGAGAAGTGTGTGTTTCGGCAGCAGCCATAAAAAAATCCTTCGAATGGGAATGTGTAGCTGTGAGAGTGTGTGTTTGTTTGTGTGTGTGATGAGTCTGTGTCAGGCACAAAATAGAAAGTTACACAAAACAAAAATATTATATATTGACAAATAATGCAGCAGGAGAGGCAGAGAAAGGAAAGGAAGAATGAAAAATGTAAAAGAAGAGAATGCAGTGATTAAAATTTAGGAAATAAACAGACAGAGGTTTAATTGAGAGGAGATATTAAAAGTAAAGAAGGAGGAAGAGACGAGGGACTAGACGAGGAAAAAAACAACACAAAAGAGAGAAAACATTAGTAATGAAAAGGAAAAAGGAGACAAGAGCAGGAAGGATGAGGATGAAAGTACAAATGAAGAAAAGCAAGGTAGAAAGGGAAAAAAGGAAACAAGTGAATTTAAAACAAAAATGATGGATTGAATAAAAGATAAAATAAAAAAAGAACAGGGACAGAAGAAAAGAAAATAAAATAAAGGAAAAGGAGGAAAGATGGTAAAAGGATAAAACAAAAAAGGGCGGATGAGAAAGGGAAAATATAAAATAAAAAGGAAATAAAGATTAAAAAGAAAAAAAAGATGGTGAGGAGACAAAAAACAAGCAGAAGAAAGAAGTAAAGATGAGAAATGAGAGGTAACAACGAAGACAAGGAGTGAGAGAGAAAAAAGTAAAATAAATTAAAATAAAGTATAAAGCTGACAAAAAAACAACAAAAATGCAGCACAAACAAGAGAAAAAAAAACATAAGGATGAGGTCACAGAGAAGGAAAGATAGAAAAATGGAGAAAGAAAAAAGATCAGAGGAAAATAGAAGAATGAAAAGAAAAAAAGACAGACTGAGGAGAAAAAAGTCAAATAAAAATAAAACGAGACGTTGAAGAGGATGAAAGAAAAAGATATAAATACTAGGAAACAAACACAAACGCTGCAGCTTCTGTGTGTCTACTAATGAGCAGCAGGATATCCAAAATACACACACACATAAACACACACACAGAGAAACACACACACACACACTTCCTTGAGTATCTTATCAATGGTAAACAAACAGTGCAGGACCCAGAATCCCCTGTACCTCTCCATATCTGTGAGCCGCGACGAGTCCCGGAAACCTTTGGCAAAGGGGTTACTGTCAATCTTCAGTTTGGTGATCTGAGAGCGAGAGAGAGAGCGAGAGAGAGAGCAAGAGAGAGAGACAGAGAGAGAGAGAGAGAAGCATTAATGTCTCCACTTTTGTTTACCCCACTGCAGTCTTTTCACACTCCTTTATTCTCAAGTCGTCTCATCATCCATTCACGTCTTTTCTTCTCTCTCCTCCTGCCATAACATGAACCTTCCTGCTGCTCACAACTATTCAGAGCAGTACAAACAGACTAAATCCAGCAGAGCTCAGACATTAATGCTCTTTATCTATTAAAATAGATACACAGGACGAGTTTTTTTTTCCTGTCTTTTTTTAGCCCCAGTTCACTAATGCAGATAATCGGGAGTTTGCTGCAAATTATTGATGAACAAAAACTTAATCTGATCTACTTTCAGAAGCTGTGACCATCCAGAAGAACAAAACAAATGTGTGAGAACTGATCAAATCCTGTTTGAAGTGCATGCAACTTTTCAATCTTACAGCTGTGTATGCATTTGTTCAATTGTGTGAAAGGCAAATTTACACCAACCAGCTGGTTTAATTCTGCATACATATCATACTGTATTTGTTTAAAGGATAAGTGGCTTTTATTGGTTTTAATACCGAGGCGCATCCTCAGGAGCAAATAAAGCACGATGTTGCAGATTTGACAGGGTGAAATTTTTTTTCTGATAAAATATATTAACTTGATTTCTGATTTGACATAAAAGCTGTAAGACCCTGGTTTCAAACTACACTACTTCTATAGTGGTGTCGTCTGTGTTTTACCTGTTAATGATTAAAATATTTAATATTGTGATCTTAATATTAATGAGCAGGTATTAACTAACCCGTTTCTTTTGTCTCACTGCTGGTTATTATATTTTACTAGAAACCTGAATGTGCAACATGCTTATCCTGAAAGATGCATCCAATAACCTGTTTTTTCATCCCCAGATTTGCAGACACCTGGCTGAGGTCTCCTTTCACTGCATTTTAAAAGTGTGATAGCATGGTCATAATACCCAGGCCTCCATCTAACAGGTTAAAACACTGGTTTTACACATGGCATAATTTTTTACATGAAGATCTTTATGATGTCTATTCCAACTGCACAAATTGCATACAACTAAAACTGGGATTTATTGTGCAGCTACATTGTCAAAACGTTTTGCTTCAGTTTTTGTTACTGAGTTTTATTGAGAAGTGGGACGTGATCGTTTTTTACTGGTTGATCACTCACCAGCTGGTTCTGATAGGCCGTGACGGCGGTGAAGACGGTCTCGACGAAGACGAAGGTGCGAAACTCCTCAGACTTGAGGTTGAGCAGCGAGGCGGTGTGGTCCTTCTTCTTGATGATGTGGACCCTCGGCTGGTACTTGTGCATGGAGTTGAGGATGATCTGCAGACGGGTGAATGAACAGGGACAACAGTCAGATCAGTAAAATTATTTAGAATTTAGATCTTTGATTACAAGCAAATATTTGCACAGAGTCCTAAATGTATCACAAGTATAAATTCTCAGATTTTTCTTTTTGCCGAGCAGGTTATTATACTTCATTTTTCTGCTTTGCTGTGAACTCTGCGCAGGTTTGCAAATTTTGCTTTGCATACTGAACTATCCAAACAAAAATCCAACACTACAGACTGACTGAGGCCTGATGGTGCCACTGAATGTCAGGCAGTAAAAACAGGGATTAAACAAACGGGGCCGAATAATAAGGATGTGGAGAGGAACCGGGTGAGCAGAGAGATAGAGAGAGACATGTGTGAACAGATAAAGTAGTTAACACTGTCACAGCTGCAGGTGAGAGTTTTGTCCATAATCACTTGTGTCTGGCTGCAGCCCAGAAACACTTTATATTTATCCCTCTCAAACACACTGACTCACAACGCTGGGTATCAATACACACTCCCCTACTGCTACTATGCAAAAACCACATTTCAATCCAACAATATAGATATATTCATTAATTTCTGTTTTGTTATTTGTTACTGTGGATGTCTCTAAGGTGAAGCATTCAGAGTTTTATTATGCATTATATTATATATTTCTTATATTCCACATTAAAACAGCAGATTGAATGAGTATGAAGAATAATCTGAGCTGAAAGATAAAGGTTAATTCAGATTATTGTTATATATTCCAGGTTAGCTGCCTTTTTCAGCAAACAACACTCAGAAAAATACCTACTATCGTTGGGTTCTCATCTTTTTCTAAACATTCCTTTAGGCTTTACTTTTAAATGTCGTTATTAGGATGATTTATTAAATTACAGCAGCTGTTTTGGAAATTATTCTAGATGTCAATCATCATATTTTAAGCTGCAAAACACAAAAAGAGCAGTAACTTTGCATTTGGTCCTTATTAGAGTAACTTGATAGTTTACTGTTTAGGTGGCTTTTTTGCTTTTAAAAAAATACATCAAATGATAACATGAATTTTATGACCCACACTTAGTGTAAAAACAACTTTAAGGCAGTGTGAATGTTATTCTATTTAATTAACTTTTATTTTCCACACATTTCTAAGTTTTTCTATGAAATCTGCTCTTTCCAAAGTAGGATTTACTACCAAAATTAAACAAATGTTAAATTGACAAAAGGTTTAATAAAACATTAAAACACAGATTAGTGCTAATATTTATTTTACTTTGTGTTTACAGTGTCTTTAAGTTATTTTTAGACACTGTAAAAACACACCCATACTGACAATAGCCTAATTATCAGGTTTCCCAGGCTGTTTTACGGTTAGCTTATTAACGGATAAAGTTAAAATGAGTGTATCGGTTAGGAAATCATGTTTTCTTTATTTGTAATTTGTATGAAGCCCTTTAGTGAAAGGTGGATTAAAAGTGATTTGTCCTTAATCAGAATGTCAAACTGCCTTCAAATCAAACAGGGAGATCCAACAGCTCGACTTCTACGGTTTTAATTTTCACTGACATGTTCAGACAGATAGTAATTGTTCAAAAACGGTCATTTTAGAGACTTCCTGACGGTAAAATTGAGGCGGAGCTCTTGTACCGGATTCAACCGGATCACTAACCACGCGTTCATGACACGGGTGGTCGGTGTCTGTTTCCGTGGGTTAAAACTCGACGTTTTTCCTTCACACACACAGAAGTAAGTCACAGGAGCTCACATGTCCGTGTTGATCCAGCTCGTTGTTCGTCAGTTTGACTTTCTCGAAGGAAACCATCTGTTTCATCAGCTGCTCTCCGGTAAACGGTGAGTCCGGGTGGACGTACAACCTGCGAGGGAAAAACAGGAAAAACGGCGGATTGTGATTGGCTGAGAAACATTCGAATCGAACGTTAGATATCCAATCAATGTATGGGTGATTCCAGCAGTAACGGAAAAATGACAAGTCGCTTAGCAACCAAGGTCTGACTCGTAACGTTCAATATTTTTTTAACGAACAATTTTGAATTTATTATTAGTATATTATTTTTCAATTTTAATGCATCTGCGTTTCTATATAATTTAACAAAATACCAAATAAAAAATCTAAATATTTTTTAATCATTTTTTTTCGAACATAGTTTTTCAATTGCGTAGCAACACAGAAAAAAAAATCTACTTCTCTCCACGTCGTTTCAAGCAGCTAATATTTTCCTTTAATTTTGGCATTTATGAAGTTTTAGTTAAGCAGCAGCGGAAGAGAGGAAAGTATAGTCTATTTCGCCTACAAGAGTCACATTAAAGGCATACACACTTTTTATCTTTCATTGAAAAATAATGTCCTGACACAGGAATCTCGTTTTGTGGAGAGATGGTGAGGTGAACTTCCTATTTATTTACTCTTTTATTTTTTAACTAAAATTAGAGACATCTGAGAGAACTGACTCGTACAGACTAGTTAAATCGAGATACTAAAAAAAACGTAATCTGAATAATTTCCCAATTTGTTATGTTTGAACTTTAAACCCCTGAATTAAGTGAACAGGCTAATCAAATTTAGCAGATTGTCATTGTTTGCTCCATCTGGTTATACCCCAAATTGGCATCTTCGCCGTTTCAATGACTATTTGGCCTCTGGTTTCTATTCACCAAGTTGTTGGTTTCAATATAAGCTTAGAAAAAAGAGGGGGAAATCCTCTGTTTTAACAGCAAGAGTTTTCTTCATGTCAAAGTAGGACTCGTTCATTTGTCAGCACCCCAAATTAATTCAGTATAAAACACCTGGGGCACAGTGGCCTAGTCTGACAGAAGCAAGCCATAGCCTGTCTGTCAGGTAGGCCTTGTGCAAATCAAATCAAATCAAATCAACCCTATGAACTGAGGCAGAGTGAGATTATTATCTCACTGTTTTATTTTGCTTTTAACCAAACTTTGATTTTTAATACAATTTAAATACACCATCAAATACAAGTCTCTAATCTTATCATATTATATTATTTTTCATCATTAAAACAGTCAAGAAACCATTAGAGACCATAAGCACCCTGCCTCGGAGTTCAAACCTGAAGCATGTTTTATTGTAATGCAGAGGATTTCATAAGTCTGTGTTCAGGATGGCATACCTGGCGGGCAGAGGAGGGTCTGCTTTCCCTGCCACCAGCCATGAGGATCGGTGGTAAGCGTACCGATACCGCTTATTGTCAACTGGGACGATGTCCATCAACACAATGTACTTGGAGTCCTGGTCCACCCCAGAGAAAGAGACCCGGATGGTGGGGAACATCCTCCTGATGGAGAGGTAACAGGTGAGATTATATCATCTGCAGCATTAGAGCAAATACAAACCTGCTCTCATTAAATAAAATATCAAACAGTGGACGATTAACCTCGATAAAGATCGTGTGTTTTGCTTCATAATATCGGAATCAATTACCATTAAGCCATTAGCAGTCTAAGTTTGCTTGTATTTCATTTTATTTTATTACACCTTAATCAAACATATTTAGCTACAGTATATGCATGCAAACCTCCCTTTCACTGAAGTCCAGGACTGGCATTGCTATTGAGAACAGGCTTATTGATGTCAAGTGAACCCCTCCTATCTCCTGTCCCTTTTAGGAAACTCGGATTAGTAGGCAAACATTTTCTTTTTTGTTCATCTGTTTTATTTGACTATTCATAATCGGATAAACGATATTTTATTTATGCTTCTTATCCAACGAAATGTCATGTCTCTCCAAATAACATTAAAAAAATCATCTATTTTCTATTTTGATGTGTTCAACCATTCAGACCATTACGGTACAATGTGTTTTTTTTTTTTCTCCAAGGCTACATCACGAGCTCATTCCAGGTTATTAAAACTGCGTGACCACATTGTCAGTCCAGCCTTTACATCGTGCACCTGCTTTGACAAACAGGGAAACTATTTCATCTGTTTTTCTAGTTATATATGATACAAATATGATCGGAGAAAACATCCAACATTTCTTATAATAACGATTTTTTTATCGGGATAACCCTATGTCCTTAATTCTGAATGGAGGGCCGTGTAATGCTGATACTTAGTGGGCATTATACAGCACTGATATATAAATAATGATAATTATAATTAGGCTTTAATAATTAAGTAACTGCCCGGTTTACCTTCCTGATTTGGTGATGATCATCTCGGTGCCGAGCTCGTGAAATTTGTCCCACAACTCTTTGGTCTCCAAGCTGCACGAGATCTTGGCCATCTCCTCGCTGGGGATGCCGGGATTGGTGGGGATGAGCGGCTCCGTGCAGACCGGGGGCGCGCTCCCGGTGAAGTCTCCGTGACTGTCCAGAGAGGACAGGTCAGCCAGGGACTGCTGGTTACAGGAGGACTTCTCCACGAACTGCTCTGTTGGGTTTCACGGACACAGGTGATCATAATCATTATTATAACCATTAAAAGGTTAGTGGTGATAAGGGTTGGAGTTTATTTTATTATCCTAAAAGGGGAAAAACAGCCATATTAGAAAAAAAAATGATTCTTATGTTTATTAGCACAGCCATTCTCTTGCTAGTGTTTAATTTAATTTAATTTTATTGCTACTTTTGCCTCACAAACCATGTTGTGTTTTATTTAAACTGGACAAAACTGCATCTTAACATGACTCCTATTCCCCATGAGCCCCACCTGATATTTTCATTAAATTAACTACCATTAATACTGATATTTCCTTTATTTTTGATGTTACAGACCACAAAAGCTCCAATAGCCTACCCAACATTTTATCAGTCCAAAACAAAATTGTCTGTTTACCGGAATCCTTGTAGATCTGATGATTTAAATATTGACTTTGCAAAATATAGAAACTAAAATCGAGCAGGTAAAACCTTCCTTTCCATTCATTTGTCATTTTGATTAATTTTGGATTAATTTCCAAACTACTAGACGACCTACGATATAACTTTTTTTATTTTATTTTTATATTTTAAAAGACATCAGTTTAACCACACTCGTTTCTCTAGTGTTGTCATTTTAAGGAGATTTCTTTATTAGAGTTAAAACAGGGATTATACAAACAGAAGAATTACGCACGATACAGCTCAGGCCTGCTCATTCACTTTGATCTAAAGTCTCCACCTTGTTTTTGCCTTTTTCTCTTCTTAAAGCACCCCTACAATTAGAACAATACATTCTTGTTGTCTCTCAGCTTTTACCAAAATACCATAAAGGATATTTCACTTGTTAAAGGTACATGTACTCTGTTTGCAGCGGCCCTGTCTGCCTCCTCTCAGTAAGGTTACACCTCCTCCTCGTCCTTCATTACCTCTCTGGATTTTTGCGTGAAATAATCTTTGACAACCGTAATCTCACACACCTGACAGCAGCTCGTTTACAGTTTTCTTTTTCTGTTTTCCATCCTTACCGAGAGGCTTGATGGTGTTCTCCTCCGTCTCCTTTTCTTTGCTGGGCTTCCCGCTGGACATCAGGGCGGCTATGGAGAAAGCATTCGCCCGGGATGAGAGCTGCGGTTTCGGGGAGGACGTGTACTCCATGTCGGGGAAAAGTCTGAATATTTCCCTTTTAATGATAATAATAATAAAAAAGACTCCTCCAGAAAGGCTTAACTCCGCCCGTTTCTAGCTCCCAGCGGAGAGAAGAGAATTACGCGCACTTTGTCCTTGTTTTCGCTCTTTACGCACAGCCCACTCGCTAAAACGGAGAAACTCTCTCCACCCTCGGAAGCACTTGTCACTGCCGGACTGTGGGTCTGCTTGGATGCATGTTGAAGGAAGCAGAAAGCAGGACTGACTCCACTGACTTCTCCGGTGCCAGATCTGAGGGCCGGCTGTGTTTGGGAAGCTTCAGATCGATCCACCCTCTCCTTATAATTCCAGGCTGCCCTCCAATCACTGCCTCTCTTTCCACGTCACACTCCCACTGTCCCGCAGCAGCCCTGATACCGAGCAGCCAATTAAAAAAGCCGGGGCTGTCATGGCTTTCTCCCCCCAAAGACCCCTGGAGAGGGTGTGTGGTCGAAAAGGGACAATATGTGAGATTTCGATGACTTCAGTCTGACTGCATTCTGGTGACGACAGTGAAATTTACCAACACTTGGTTCTTGAAATGGAAATCTTCACTCCTCCTGCCAAATAGGCTCTGGAGAAGGGTACTAAAAAGTTAAATCAACTCAATTTTGGCCTTGTCTTGGACCCATCAGGGCCCCCTTGACCACAAACTGGGAGTCAAAAACCTGTAATGTCAACAGTAGAGACGTTTGCCCAAGATGGTGCTGTTTGATTATTAATGGCAGGAGTGAGGTGATGATGACAGTTTCACCAAATTATAAACGATCATAAACCATAAACCCTGTCCTGTCAGCATCATCAAATAAAGTGGAAGAAATGAAGAAAAGTGGGCGAAAAACAGTGAACATCGTGACCTCTGACTGTGAATGTGCAGAGTCTGTACACTGTCTTCTTGGTGCCAGAGATACTCAAAGTGTGGAACACAAATCTCAATTTCAACTCTTTACACTTGTTTAATGCAAACTTTACTTATTTAGTCTTTTTTTGTTTAGTTTTTGACAACTGTGGCCTATTGCTAAAGAATAAAAATCTTCACATAGTCTAAATAATCTCTTAGTTTTCCCCAAAACAACATTAATGGGGAAGCCTGCTGACTTGAAATGACCATCGACACGAAGAAAAACAGAAAACTGATGACACCTTTCTTATTTACATAGTTTTATTTACAATATAACACATTTAAAAATATATATTTTCAAAATAATCAGCAAATGACCAATTTTAATTTTAATAAAATATTTTAATTTGCTTTTTTGAAGACACTCACACTTATCTTAGCCAAAAAATATCAGAATAGCAATATTAGCAATATAGGCCTAACCATGGAAAAGATTATATTTACAAAAACATAGCACATAAAACTGAGAAAAAGCAAGAAAATAGTCAAGCAACATGATTTTGTAAATATAAAAGCCACAGATAACTATCATCATCATCCATTTCTTATTATGTTCAATTGAAACTTGTCCTCATATTATGACTTATTTTTGTCATGCTTTTATTTTGTTATTTTTTCCTAAATTTTAAAACTATGCTTTTATTTTGAAGAGTAAATTATGGAATCCATTAGTAACCCAAAGAAACACAAGCTTAAAAAATCATGAAATGTCAGTTTTTAAAAGTTCTGAATCGTCTCTGTGAACTGAGGGTGTTACCGTTTGCTCATTTTTAGCACAATATCAACATTTAATAAAAAATAAAGATATTACCATCAATACCCGGACAGCCCTACTTATCTAGTGACCCTTCAAGGTGTCAAGACCCCCACTTTAGAAACCAGTGTTCTAGTTTAGCTGATTTACAACTTGATTATTTTTTTAACAATAAGCTAAGCAACCAAGGAGAAAAGTTAGCTTTGAGCTAACTCTGGTAAAATACATTAAATGGCAATATTTGTTTTGTAATTTAAAAAGAGAAAGCAGAAACATGTGCTTTGCAGGTTACCATGTTTATTTCGTTAAATTAAAGTCTACTGAGCGAGCACAACAAGATAACAGTAACCAGACGGGCCGTTATTTACATCAGGATTAACTTTCTTTAAGCTTATTTTGAGACTGAACACACTGATTCTGCTTTTTGCCCTCATTATGTGATGTGAGGTGTGTGTGAGAGACCCTCAGCAACTGTGAGAACTGCCTTTAACACACACACACACACACACACACACACACACACACACACACACACACACACACACACACACACACAGGAACCTTATTGAGAGTGAGAGCAGCAGTCTTGGGTTAATCCGTTCTGTGACACACACCAGTGAGCCCCTAATCTTTCACACACACACACACACACACACACACTCACATACAGCTCTCATGTGACAACAGGAAATGCACATTATTTTTTAGGGCCTCCTATTAACAGTAGCAGCAGAAGTTGGTGAAGAATTATCATTTGACTTTTAACTAGAAAGGAAATCCAAAGAGTCTCTTCTAAATGATTTTTCTTCCTCAAACAGCTGATATGTGTGTAAAGTTTGGCAGTTGTAGACTCATGGGGTTGAAGATGAATTCAAGTGAAACAACCAAAGGTCCTTTTCTAACCAATCAAACATCCACCAAAACACTACATCAAATTTTCTCCAACAACCCAAATTCACTTCAGCATGTTTTCTCCACTACATCACTGTGTTGAATTTGGGTTGTTGGAGAAAATTTGATGTAGTGTTTTTTGGTGGATGTTTGATTGGCTAGAAAAGGACCTTTGGTTGTTTCACTTAATTTCATCTTCTACCCATTGAGTCTACAACCCCAATTCACTTCGGCATATTTTCTCCACTACATCACCATGTTGAATTTGATAGTTCCTCTCCGCTAAATGTGAACCCTAAAGAGCTCTTGATTGTGTTTTCTCCACCTGAAGAAGGCACTACATTGGATAATCTACACTGGAATGGCACTCTGGGTGATTGATTACTTTCTCCACTTGAAGGCCAGTCTTAGAAAGCCCCACAACTTTCTCCAAACCTGCCTAGAAGACAAATAAGACCATGCGTTAATTTTCTCTACTAAGAGAACTTTCTGGAGAGTCTAATCTTAGATGTCTTTTCTCTACTGTAAGGGCACTCAGGTGAAAAGTAAGCTGAGGGACATTAGATTACATTTCTCCATAAGGAGCTCCACCCAAAAGACTCTTCATCATGTAGATTTACAGAAGAAGAGGTACATTTCAAACTTTATTGCCTTGAGAACATCATGTCTGACTTTCTGCTCCAAAAGGGCTGCCAAAGAGGAACTTTCACACCTACGTTGTTTGGTCCGGACTTTCAGACTTTTCTGTTTGGTGTGAAACCTCCCCTGGACCTTGGTCTGAACTAAACCGAACCAAGATCTGGTTCATGCCCTGTGTGAAAGTATTATTTTGAAAGTTTCTGACCTTCATACCAAAGACAGGAAAAGACGTGAGGAGTACAAGTTTCTATTATGTTGAATGGAGATTGTCCAAGAACAGGGAATTTTATTGTTGTAGATAAAGTGATACCTCAGTATTGACATACTTTCTCTCCCTAGTCAGTGTTGCAATGGCTCGCAAGATTTCATACCTTTTTGTCTTTTTTTGCCAACGACAATAAAGCTGTCATCTAATGATGTAACTCACAAGACGAGCTCAGACCAGCCTCGTGTACAGCTCTTCAAGTTGTCGCTCTTGGTAGTAGAAAGTCAACAATAATACTGTATGATGGTGGGAATGTAAAGTCTGTTAGTCCGTTTAAAATATTGAGAGTGTGAAACCCAAACAGACCAAACCAAATGTAACAAAAACACAGACCTTTGTCTGGACTTTCAGGAGTGAAATTCTACTTTCTCCGCTAAAAGGGCGCCAAAGAAAGATGGGTATCATGTTTTCTCCACTGCAAGAGCCACCTAGAGAGAAATCCATCATTTTTTCTTCTGAAACAGTCACATAGATGTAGAAGAAACTCTGTCATGGTTTTTCCATCATAAGGGCCCTCTCTGTTTTCTCCACTATTTAGTCTTTTATCAAGTTTTTGATTTCTTTAGCAGGCACATTTAAGGGTATTGCATCTTCTTCACTCCTCTAGTATTGCTCTTTACCATGTTTTTCTTGCACGTTTGGGCATCAAAGTGGCACTTAGACCTTTAACAGCTCTCATGTTGGCATCTTCGAGGGCACCTTTTGCTCGTGGATGCTGAGAACGACGCTCAGGGTTCTGAGGATCACCTGACGGTATCATGTTTCCAGAACGCTGACTTCAGATTTTTCCTAAAGGTGTTTGTGTTCGTGTGTGTGTACATGTTTGTGTGTAGGAACAGGATCACCTCTCCTCTTCAATGTCACTCCCTCTCTCTCCTCTCTTTGAGATGGAGGCTCTGAGCCAGAGATCCGTGGAGCAGCTAAACCCATTAGGAGACTCCTGAATGCAAATCCGCTGCTGCAGATATTTAATAAGAGACCTGTGCCGGCAAATTAGATTACCTTGCAATTGCCAGTGGATAATGTGCTAAAAGCTTTCCCACTTTAGCGTCACTCCTTACTGAATATTATTCACACTTTGAGGGGTCGGTGCAGCCTTAAAGAAACAGCCGGTCTGTGAGACAACAGAGGGAAACAGATGGGGGTCAGTGTTGATACCTTTTAGATCTGAAGTCTGAGTCATAAGCCAGCTGACTGAAATTCACAGCAGATACTGAAATACTGAGAATGGAATTAAGCTTACAGAAGTAAGAAGAGGAAAAGCTTTCCAAACATCCCTGTTAACTGTAAATCTTTGTTCGTATTCAACTAAAATAAATCAGTCCAAGATGATTTTGTTAAATATTTGCAGACTTGTACGCTAAAATCTTTGTTATGCACCATTTTCTTAACCTTGCTTCATATGTTTCAGATCCTATTTGTTCAGTGTAACAAACAATGATCCTGCCTGGAAAACTAATGAAAAGAAGTTCATATATCTTACCTTAAAAACATTGTTCAGAAGTAATTAGTCAAAATACTGTTATAAGATATTTAATGGAAGTCAAAATTATTGTTTAATCTGTAAAACAAAATTCATAAATTATTTAAAAGAGAAGCACTTGTACCCCAGCTTTTTAAAAAGCCTTTTAAAGTCAGTATGAATATCTAAAAAGTATTATTATTATTATTATTATTATTATTATCATCATCATCATCATCATCATCATTATTATTTAGTATGAATGAATAACCAAATGAAAGTTAAAATGCAGAAAAACATTAAAATATTGAAATTAATGATTTCATTCTGTAAAAAAGTTTTTTT